TGTGTCAAGGAAATAAGTTGCAAAAGATAACTAAACAAAAATATCAATTAAGAGCGATCAAAGTTAGTTAATATATTTATATTGATACAAAATATTTTTAAAGAACTCAATTATAGATGGCTTAACACTGATGCTATAAGCTGATTTCTAGATAGATATTGAAATTAGTGTTTCTCTGATTTCAATGGTGTGTTATGCTATAATTCATATGTCATCATGATTAAGTATGATATGCAGTAAAGAAATCGAATCACAGGTATATGGTAGCATACGCATACAAATTATAATGAGTAATAGAAGTGTCTTTGTTTCTATATAAAATTTACTAATTACTGTATTTCTGAATTTTCGCTAGTACATCTTTGGTATATTTCATATTCATAGGACAAATGAATCGGAATAGTGAGCATACTCAATCTTATTTATTACGTGATAAGTGATTGTCACGGTACGCCGTTACCAATTAAGTAACTGTAAATTTATGAATGCTTATGAATAGATAAGATAAGGTTATGTGCTATGTTTTAATGCGCTTGTAGCTGATAAAAGGATGGTAGAAATGAGATAAAAATAGAAGTTGTTAGCAGTTAATTTACTGTAGGTTTATAAGGTGTGTTAATCTCTAAAAATTGAGCTGTACATGGACGAAGGTTAAGCGTCTTAACACCTGATAGCTTGTAACTATCTAAGTCTGAGAATATCGACATGTATATTTAGTAATGGTATTATACTAATTAATGTAACTTGTAAAGCATGAATTCTCACTCTTTAATATTGGAATTCACTGTAGAAACCTATTTAAGCGCGTGTTTTTGTAGAATAAAGTTAGTAATTGCTCAAGAAACGGCAAGACTCATATCGTGAAGAATAGTGTAATAATTAATCAGTTGTCTGTGGAGATCAGCCGAGAAATCGAGTTCTCAAATACTTCTCTCATAGAAACTGAAAATACTGGGAGAAATAGCCCAAGTTTTAAGTAACTACACTAGAGTTCTTTACTTTCCTTTGCCACAAGTGAGGGTTGTGACAGTGATATAGAACGATGGCGGATAGATTAAAACTAAAGTATAGTACAAACTATTTAAAATACGAATATGGTCCAGGTAAGAAATAAATGATTTTGAAATGTATTTTATGATATAAAGTTTGTACATGAATAATTATGATTAAAATAGAAATATAATGCAGACTACTTAGAATTGAACATAACACCGATAATAATTATCAAAGTTCACGTATTAATTAGCCTTCAAAGACATCTCATTATAACTAACAGCTGCTTCCATTGCTCTAGAAATAATAAGCCTACCCCAACGATAATAACGTCCATCATTTTCCAGGGACTGGTACAAAAATTTACACAACCATGTGCGAAAAAACTGACAATCAGTTCACCAGCAAAAAAAGAATTGATAATGATCTCTAGCATACTAAATGCTGATGGTGATGACGAAATTGTATTTGTTACTCCGTTTTCGTTGATGACCTAAAAATTTCACAAAAAATTCGTTGATGTCTTTATTTGATTTTAAAATAAACTTCAACCATTTCTATAAATACTTTTAGATTACTGAAAAGTAATTTATTTATAGAATTTACAGCTTAGCACTGAGATATATTAATTACTGAGTCTACTGTTCTTTCTAGTTTATAACAAAACTAGGCATGATAAATTTCACTGCTAAAATTGTATATTCGAGTGATCTTGGTTACCCTCACCAGTATTACGCAATGAAATATGATTAGCAAAAGCATGAAGGTTTTATACCATCGATTCTCTATAACAAGCAACAATTTCTTTCGAATATAAGTAATCAATCGAACTAATTTCCAGTCATAGGTGACTTGGCAATGACAGAAGTTGGTTAGAAATGACGGGAAAAAAGCCGGAACGGTATTTTCCGATCCGAATAGGAATGTTAATGCCCGTTGAAAATTTTTCTGTATCGAATTGATAATATATTGATGGTGACAGTTTAAAAGTACATATATCTATTTACTGAGAACGGCTGTCTTGCTATGATTATCTACTAAATATTGAAATTAATTAAAATCATCTATATTTACCTTTTTAGTACCCGATTTCTTTCCATCGACTCCATCCTCAAGTTTTGCTTCAATCCTTTCACTAAGTGTGCCGATCGATGCTTGTGTCTCTCGTCCCGGATCTCGTTGGTAAACATGCCTCCTTCGATCAAAATTAGTACTACTAACACTTAATTTTCTTTCTTGATCATTTATATCAGTTGCGGGTATCTGCATTGTATTTGAATCTTTCCGAAAATGAATATAGTCTTCTCTAGTAATGCTAGACAATTTAGATTAATCAGATATTGCCTTCGTAGATATTCTAATTCATGACCGTTATCATAGTTTGTTTTTAACATTTGAAGTATGCCTATGCTATTTTACCATGTTTACTTATTGTCATCTATATGCGATTGGACAGAAATAAATTCATTAGCCCTATCTTTACTGATTCGATTGCTGCTTCTACTGCTACGTATCACTTACCCATTAAATATCTTTAAATTAGTTGCATTATTTCTTTCTCTTGGACTTAGAATTACATCCTTGGTTACTTTTCATCAAAGTAAATAGAAAATGAAATAAAAAATATTAAACTAGAAAGCAAAATATGCGATTTCATTTCCTTCCTTCTATAAGCGATATAAATAAATATGTACCATCGTCGATATTAGCTAGTGCACCGAAATCCTGAGATTCAATAATCTTTTGCTTGTTTGTTCCATCATCTCATAATTTAGTCAAGAACGAGTAAATTATATGTATATAAATTATTGTTATTATGATGAAGCTGACGAAAGCAGATTAAAAATAACGACTGGTGCAATAGTCAATCTGCTCTTAATTAATCGTATGAACTAAATTTTCACTTTGCTAATGTTTAAAAATTCTTATGTAAGCCTACCTTCTGTGGTATCTTCAACAATCACTGGCGAAGGTATATCTGACGATGGTAGATGGTATGACTCGGACGAAGTATTATACGTTTTATCTCCTCGAAGGGAAGAGTTGTTGAATGTATTTTTATGAAAGTAGTTACTGATATTTCTCTTCTCATCTACGCTTTCTACTAAAACATAATCATCTTGTGAAGCTTCGGTTCCAGGGAAATCACTAGCTGTCTTTTTTAATGTCCTAGTCCGAAATTTTGCTACGTTAGCCATTAGATCATCTTGATCTGATTCATTTTGATCATGTAAGTCACCAGCTGTAGAACTATTAATGACATTCCGGTTGAATTTTAAGGGTTTTTTTAATCTATTTATGGCGACTCTTCTGCCAATTTTTGGGGGACTTTCTTTTAATTCTATATTCTGTTTCATTTGAGGTGTACTCTTACTTTGTGACAATCTACCAGAAAAAAGCATTTTTCTTTTCTTGACATTCGTCTGCTCAACGGTGTTTGGATTTAAAATAGCGACGCCATGAATGCTAGCACCTTCTATATTATTGCTATGCAAGGTGGTTAGTGAATGAGGATCTCGCTCAATTGAGTTACGAGAGGAATTACGATTAGTTTCTCCACTGGTGCCACTTTTTATCTGATGATGATTGCCTATTTGTTCATTTTTTTCAATATTAGCATTGAAGTCTTTCGTGATAATAGGTTGCTCTTTTTGAGAATTTATATCCACCTTATCATTCTCAGCTTCAATTAAAATAGGACTATTCGTAGTATTCGATGTCATCAGTGTCTCACTAGTTAATTTGATAGGGTTCCTGATCATTAAATTACCATTATCATCTATTGCCATTTGATCTAGATTACTATCATTGCTTTTGGTATCTGTTGGACCATCTTGATTTGTATACGCATTTTCGCTGGTATGATAAATACTAGTCTCTGAAGCAATTTTATTTTCATTTGCAGTACTGATTGGCACCGAAATCAGTTCTTCTTCTATATCTGAACATTTACTGTCTTTCTCTTTCCTAGAATGATGGTAGCATGGATTAGTTAAAGTTGCCCACACTCTATCCACTTTCATAGCTCGAGACATTCTCTGCATTCGAGTTAGGCCTTCTTTCTTATTATCATCATCGTTATCACCATTATTACAGTTGTTAACTTCACCATTATTGATGCTATCCTCTTCAATCGATGCGTTCTCCAATGAGCTAAGTAACATAGCTAAAAATAAATTTAAAACCTACAAAAAAATAATCAAAGATATCAATTCTATTAATACCTCTAATATTCCTTTTTCTACAGTTTTAGTTTCAATTTTAACTAATTAATACAATTTTAATGTGCCATACAATTCAGCATACCAATAAATTGCCAATAATATACGCGGAAAGAAAAAATACGATAGATACATATGAACCAGTGGCTTTTATAGCATCGTTAACAGGACCCGACCATTCACCACATATAATGCGAAAAATAACTAAGCATGAATTAAAGAAGCCATCAAAATTAAATCTAGGCTGATTTTTGCCAAATGTTTTTTTATAGCCTGGTTCAAATAGTTTTACGCCCAAGACAGCGAATATGTAGATATAAATCAGAACCATTAAGCCGATATACATGATTGCTGACGAACTTTTACCCAATGCTGATAATAATTTACGCATAGCCGGCCATGATTTAGCCAACTTGAATACACGAAACTAAAAAGTTGGTATAGATATTAGAATGACTTTATATCAAATCGCTACTAATAAATTACAAAATTTCAACGAAATATGGATTATGTCAATAGAAAAATAAACAGGTTAATCACATATAGAAAATTTCATAACATACCACGCGGCAAGTTCTCAATGCATTGACAGTTGCCGTAGAAATCTGCATTAAGGTTAAAACGACATCAACTATACCAATAACGGTAACGATAAAGTCAAGAATATTCCATTTACTTTTTACATAACAATGCGGAGTTAGTGCTATTACTTTTAATACCATTTCCACCACAAATAGCGATGCAAATGCCTATTAAACAATAGATAAAAGCATAAGTAATAAATTTGGTAATTTTTGTTCATTATATATTACTTATATCTTTAAAAGTCTTTAACGATTAATAGATACTTTATTTTAAGAGAAAGTGCCGCAGTTTGTAACATTAGATTCAAAATCTTGTAATTATTAATTGCATCAATAGCTGTAATCAATATTAACAGTGATATTGTATGATAAATTGATCTTTTTCTTTGAATAAGCAGTTTTAGACCGTATCTATTATTAAGCATAATACTCGTAAAATTTTTAATATTTAATAAACTCTTAAAATACTTGATGGTATAATTCGTTTGCGTTCCACTATGGAATGAAAATTTAATCAAATTATCTACTAAGGATTCAATTTTAATATTATAATGCGATATGTACGATAATAGAGTAAAGACGTAAATACTGAATCAATATACAAGTACAGGATGTGAACATGTCGAGATTCTGCACGAAATGTTGTTACAACATAGAATTTTAAATTTGATGCCTTACCATGCGAAAGACAATGCCGTGCTTAAGCATATCTTCATATTAGTTATACTTTTACTTACAATAAATTTCAATCCCTATCGATCAGAAAATACTGCCGTTAATGTATTCTACTTACATAGCCAACATACATCTCCCATGGCCATGGAGTTAAAGGATTAGAAAGAGCCAGAATCACAAAATCGCAAAGAACGCAGGTAATCATAAAGATCTCAAAAGTAACACTTTGAACTATTTTTAATAAGAATTTTCTTATTTTTTATTTGCTGATTTCTTGGTTGTAGCTACTGCATGTATGGCAATGACACAATTTAATGTAGTATATTCAACCATCCCAAGAGAATCTAAAAATCCAAGTTAAACACAGTGGGATGTTATTAGTTTACCAATTTTGAAATTGAAATATCATAAATTTACAACTAAACTAACAATAGCCGCAATGTACACTACAATTTATTAAATAATTAAATTGCGCATAGATTTCTCAAAGGCTTATAAAATTATAAAATACATAAATACATATGGCTTCTTACTTCTGTTTTCATTCATTCGAATGGACTGATTGCTAGCTTTTGATAAATTAATTTCTCTACCATTTATTGATAACTTGTCGGAAAAGTCATTACATGGAATCAGGAGCTCACCACTAGAGTTATTTTTCTTGCCACCATCAGATAAACTAATTTTCTCTAATCTTAAATTATTGGCCGAAAGACTACTTTCCAAGGCTCTTTCAGGTACATTTTCCGGAGCTGGCTTTAAAGCATTATGATATTCTCTACCATTAACTTCTTCGGAAAGTTCAATATTTATCAAATCATTGCACCTCATGTTATCTTCGTCATTACTATTTATAGTATAAGAGAAGGAAGGTCTTGGTTCGATGATTTTACTTTGATTGACTGAAATTTTATTCTGATGTTGTTTTTGGGGCTTTTTAGGCTTTTTAGCTAGTCTTGAATAAAAAATGGAGAAGCAACCAGCGTGTCCTGCTGGTTGCCAAAGTTGAGGTGGGACTTCTAATAAATAGGGAATCAGCGTTTCATTTCTTGTCATTTGGATAAATTTTTCGATATTTGTTTGCTGATTTAGTTAAAGGAAGTAAGAAATGTGAATTATTAAACTACTAGGGAACCCATATAGATACCGCTAAAGCTTAAACTGAATATAATCTTATAATCGATTCTTATCCTAAGCCAGTTGTATAGCCTCAACGCTACTATGTTACACCGGTATTCAAGAAATAACATAGCATTAAAGTTATTAGGCTGTGCCATTAATTTAATTAGTAAAAATGATCCTAACTGAACAGCAAGCTACCAATAATAATTTACTTATATATTACTTATAGTCTATGTATTACTAATTCAGTTCGTAACGTAAAGTATGTTAGTTGTCATACCTGTTCTTTTACAAGTTTTTGCTGTTTACTATAAGCCATTGATACAACAGCTAATATTAAATTTAATAAATAATCGCTCCCAAGGAAGATGATAGCTAAAAAATAAGGGAAGTACCATATACTTGTAGCTCTAAGAACCTAACTCGAATTAAAAAAGGAGCGCCATAAATATATTTATAGCGGAACTATGATAGCTATAACTTTGAAACAACATAAGCATGATTACACTAATTCAATAAATAGAATTTAATAAAAAAGTACTGTCACAACACTAAATAGTAAGTTTGATCATTCATATCATACGGTTTGATAATCTGTATCCCATTGATCTTGCGTCACGATTTGTAAGTTTACATATAACGATAGAGGAAAGTTATCGAAACTGAGTAAGCCACGGCCGGGATTAGGAAATAATCCTTCATAGCAGGAATAGCCGCTTGGACACAAACTTTAAGGAAGCACATATAAATATGTAGAGAATTGTGATTATCCCACTGTGCTGATTACACATTATAACTACATCTAATTACCATCAATCTAATATTAATAACATGCCACGAAAAAATTCAATGGCACTACTTACTAATTATCGGAAGTATTACCACATACTTTTGTTTCACCATCAATATAAAGCCAATTACCTATCCAATATTTAAAGAAAGCCTCAGAATCAGCTGCAAGATTAACATATTAAACGTAAGAATCAGCAGTAAAATAAGATAGAGAACTTATTTGTTAGCATCAAATATGCAATAAATATATGTAGAGAAAGTATCGTATAAGTTACCGAAAACTTTTAAAACCTGGTATTTTGTAAAATACCTGAAACTGCCAAATTGCCGCTAACCTTTATTATTAACGGCAATTTGCGAAATCAGCCATTTTATACACAAACATTCCTAGCACAACATTTTATAGCACTGCCGTCTTATTAATATAGGTCAAATTAGCATAAACTGCGAATTATAATTGCTAGAATACAAGAAAAACTTACTCGTATTGGTCACAAACTGGTTGAATGATGCATAGCTACCATTGTAATTTGATGCATTATACGTTAAGCAACACTTTCTTGTTAATACTCCCATGAATAACTGTACGCCCAATAGCGCCACACCACATAAGAAGAACAGCGTTAAAGAGAGTACAGTTATTAACATATGAATGGACTGGAAAACAGCATTAACGATGCTTTTCAATCCTATCAAGGTTTTTTTAATCAATTTTAGTTAGAGAGCCCAACATAGCGGTTTATTCAATCATCCCGATCTCATTATTTTTCAATATAAGTAGACGCAATACCAGATCAAATAAATTAAATACTGCTACACTAAGAGCAATTTTAATAGCTTTAATTTACCTTTCACCATCGTCACCATTCTGATCGCTCTTAGAACTCGAATAACGCTGATACCTGGGATTACATTTAAGCCTGGTACAAATACTGTATATCTAATACGAGTATTATAATAAAGCGAACTATTAACAAGAAATAATTTTGAATACAAGTCATAATTAAACCTAATAAAATATTCTGATTTAATATTTAATACTGTATACAGCTTTTACACAAAATTGAATGAAAGGAGGACAACAAAAAAAGTAGCGGTATAAAACTATTGCAACTATGCAATTACCCTACTATAACAATAACCAAATCCAGCCAATTCCATAGATCCCTTAGAAAGCAAAATTTATGACGAAACAATCCTCGAGCAGTAATTTTAAGTAGCATTTCTATCGGTATAAATCGCGTTAAAAATCGCCCTAGAGGGAAATCAAAGTAGAGATTCATTTATCATTGAAGAACTCAAAATCTTAACTACGTATCTAAATGTAAATTAGCATTTAAGTAAACTTATGTCTTAAAGAACAGCAAAGAGACTAGTCTTAATCTGATTTTTACTTACGATGCATATAGAGGGATAGTATACGGTAAGGCAATTATAACGCAATTAACGACAATAGCTAAAAGAATTATGAATTCAAAATACTTCAAGATAAGTTAAGGGCAGAGATCAAAGGAATAAATATTTTTTATTATTTTATTATTAAAGCTTAAGCTTAATTAATTTTTCATATGTATATCATGCAACTAAAATGGATATTGATTAGTCATAATCTTAACAGCCAGGTATCGAATCCAATTATCAGGTTCGAGCACAAAAAGGGACTTGGCTGTATTAAATCGATAAACTTCATAAGAGCCAAATCGCCTGACAATAATACAAAATGTCTAAAGAAAAAGATAGAAAATTAATTTGATAGATTTAGTTTCCCAAGAAATCAATTATAAGGATAGATAAGTCTTTATACATAATTGCAATCTTTGTTTAAATATTATTAAAATTCCGAAAGAACGCCACAATTGAAATCATAATCTATACTATAGAATATAGATATGCAAATAATCTTAAATCATACAGTATATGCTTTTATATCACACTAATTTTGATCGCTTACTAATTGATTATAGATTATTGAAACATGTGAGATCTTAAATACAGATATTTTTGATATGCTTGTATGCAAATTAATGCATCATACTCGTACACTGGTTAAAGGGCAATTGTATTACACAACTGATATAACTAGCCGATATAGGTAACATTTAATTCAATGCCCTTGCAATAGCAAATGAACAGTTATATTTAGAGATTTATTCTATAGGGCAGAGTATTCGATGTCTATCGTAAGAGTATAATTATAGAAGGATAAAAATTAAGAAATGATCACAAGTAAATACGGTAAAGAAATTACCAATCGATTTCCTATAATATACTATGATTTGTGACTTATTGACATTATCCTAACGCCTCTACTACATGGCGCTAGTATCTATTGTGGTTATCGACAATATCTACTTTCGTAATTTGCCTATATTAATGTAAGATATCCCAAATTGTTACTATATTTCCCATCTCAATATATCATTACTAGAAATCATAGATTTTGGAATACTGTAAAAATTTTAGAGCGGTCTGTTATTTCACGATCCAAACTCGTTATACTTGATAGAAATTTTTCAGATACCGTCGGATTAGTATCCGGCCACATTAGAGGAGCAACATATACATGAAAGAGACCTTTAATGCTATATATGCGCTAATACTTTAACTGATATAAAAAGGAAACAGCGGGAGCGACAAGAAAATTATTAGAAACGACTTCTACAGTATGTAAGACACTGTATTTGTATGTCACAATTTCTTACAAGAATTCCTCCAGCATGCCATAATTCCATAATAATGGGTTATACTGTGGTAATAATTCCAACTTTATTAAAAATATTTCAGTCATATATGCTAGAGTACAGATGACTATATACAGTAAGCTGTTGAGTTACTAATATGGCTATAGGTAAAAATAGAACTGTAAATCATATATTAGGATATGGTTAATTCATTGTACTTTGGCTGGTGTGAATAATGTCTACGTAAGTACTGTAGTCGTATCCATATTGGATTAATGATGGTCCGCAGTAGAATAGTCTTACTAAGAATAATTTAACTATGTGTAAAATAAGGTAAAAGGTTGCCATGCGGATTGTAGCTGCGAATGCTACGAAAAGTATAAAAGCATTCAACTTTAGATTATTCTGTTAGTTTGTTCTAGAAGTCTTTAGAAGTAGTATTCGGCTAGAGTAGAGCTGTGTAGTTAATCTTTGTATAAGATTCAATAAAGCTCTTATTTTTCTAAAATTTGGAATTTCGTGATTGGTATATATCACACGCATCAAGATTAACTGATGCAATAAATGGATACCCAAGCTCTACTCTATGTACGAATTGATAATATGCAGGTATTTATACATACATATTATAGGCACAAGCTGGTATATAGTGGCATCATGCTTACTAGGGATACATAAAAATAGCGAATATATTATCGTAATTGTGTAAACTTTGCGATTCTTGATAGCTTGTAATCAAGGCCTTTGGAATATGAAATAAGTTTATAACAATACGATAAGAACTTATCATAACCTGGTAGGATATCTAAGAGTAACGTATGTTTTACTAGGACACGCACAAATATCTATATTCTACCTATGTACCATAACATCTAGACTTTGATAAGAATTACAATTTTGACGTAAAGACCATATTAAGAGAGAAATTTAGTTTATTTGGAACTTGCAGGTAGAAAGAAATAGTCCGTACTGACTCTGAATTACAAGAAAGTGAAATTTTACGCGTAAATTAAATTTTTGCTTATTATAGGCCAATTTATATTAGTTTTTTTCCAATAATTAAAGGCTAACAGCACGTGTTTGACTTAAAATGTGACAAAGTCATACTAAACTACTGAATTATATTCTTGTAGTAATCAGTATAACACTACTTTCAATATTGTACACTGTTTGGAGGTGAAAATAAACTGAAGCGATGCTAATATTAAAGGTGTAGAAGCTATCGGAACGATCAAAAAGATAAGTTAGATGATAATCGGCTTAATAAAATAGAATTCGAATCAATTATAATGATTGTAGCAATTAAGGCAGTATAAAGATAACGTAAAAGAAAAGTAAATATAACCTATTCTATTCGTTGTACTTACATTGTCCTGCGTTTCGTCAAAATCGACAACATATTTGCCGATAAGTTGACTTTCTTCCAAAATGCGATATCGACGAGAATTTTCATCGGTAGAAACCACTTCTATGTCACTGTCATCATCTGTAACCGCTTGAACATCTTTTAATTTGACTTCAGCGCCTCCATCAGCATTAATATCGATATGATAAGTAGATTTTCTTCGTACATTATTCCTATTTGAAAAAGCCATTTCTACGACTTGCAGTACTTAAGTTAGATCTACGAAGATTCCAAGCTTTCTTTAGTTAATTCATCCAAGAAGAGAATATTCAATAGAATCGCAAATTCTAAATAGAAATGATTCTGCTATCGTAACTGTTTATTTAACTCTCAAATATGAAATTGGACAAATATACAACATACAAGTACAGCGCTCAACTTAACTACGTTATTCTTATGATAACCATAAATTATTATTTAAATTTTTTGCTGCGTATACCGGATATGATCGACTATAAGGATAGTCTAATTAAATTATGGCATTCAAAAGTCACTAAGAACAATGCATACTATACAATAAGTATATTATTATGAAATTTTTCGATTTTAGTAGCATCAGACGCCTTTTAATACACTTAAACGATAATTATATAACCGCTTTAAATCATTATATGCTATACAATGGATTAAACTAACCATTTTAGTCAATTCTGGCGAGGCCATATGGCTCTATTAATTATCGGCGAGTCCTAATCAAAAGTTGTTACCATTTTATTCATAATAAATAATTATGATGGATATAATTTATAGATGATCAAAATTATACGTTCTATTCAAAACTATACTTATGGATGACACATTATACGCCTAGGAATTTATTGACCCCTAGAAAATGTTGCATAGAATATTTTGTGACTTCAAAAATAATTTCTAGTAGTGATAAAAATCAATTTAACGTGGGTAATTACTAAAATATGCTTTAGAAGTTCAATTACAACCTGAACTAGCAAATCCTTCCAACGAAATGGATTTACTTTAGTATTTTGGAAATTATTCCCTAGAATTTCTAAAATGAATATTTTAACTGATGTTAATGTAGATATGAGTTCTCAATCTTATCTTGTGTAATACCAAATTCCAATTATAGTACACAATATAACTCCATGCAACAACTGCTAAATAAGGGTTTAGTAAGCCATATGTCAAGATTATTAGATTATTTTAGATCGAATTAGCTTGAAATAATGAAAATTTTTACCTGCCTTATGGGTATCTGTCTGATAAATAAATTGCAACTGAAGAATAGAATACCGTTACAATAATTAAAACATTTAATGAAAGTGTTCTCTTAAAAATATAGAAGAGCTTGAAAAAATTTTGATCTCGCCTACATATTAGACATGTCGTTCATTTTTTGGCTGTATTATATTGGTTCTATTTGGACGGTGATTTTAGCTAATATCTCCAATTTAATGCCGGAAATTTTTGCTTAGTCCATGGATCGAAATGATCAAAGTGAAATAATCATGGCGCATATAATTCTTACATTCTTACATGCGGAATGGATCAGTTTAATAGTATGAGCTAAGGATGTATTATGAATCTTCAGGAAACAGTTTATATGTTACATACGAGCACCTATTATCAAAATTCAATGCAATTAGCAAAAACTAATAACTAATTAACTAAGTGACGCTCATCTTCTAATCCAATTTTCCCTCTGTAAGATTCTTATTTGTGATGTGCCTCTGAGGTTACAGCCATGGACTATTCAATTTCTATGGTGTAGAAATTTAGTATTTCATGATACGGCATTGCTATCCGGACTTTGTTTGTCCAGTATTATACTATCAGCCATATGTACAGTTAATTGAGCAAGTTAGAATAATCAGTTTGGAAAATTAATTATTCTATCTATAGATTAGATCTGCCGGAATAAGGTCATTTTACTAAATTTCAGTAACGTCTATATCAGCAATCTTGTCATGTTCTGGCATGTCATCAGGTGATTCTATAGCATTTTTAAACGTCTATCTGATTTAGAGCTACAATCTCAATACTATCAGTAAGAGAATACCTTGGAAGTTTTAACAGGTCTACAACAACTATCTATATCACAGTATAAGAGGATTGAAAGCCTCATCACTAATATAAGAGTTTAAGTATACAAGTATAAGTAGGTGATAGTATCTTTTATTACTGTGAAAAGACTAGCTTATATATCAATCATTAAAATTTCAAATCAAGATGTGATGAATTTTATTGATCATAAAGCAATGGAAAATACCAAGTAAAGCTCAAACAAACTTGGGAATACAATCTAGCCGGCCATTAAATAATATACTTAGATCATTGTTCCACAGAATTGCCAAAGAAACACATAAATTATGTTGATCCCAACGGAGACGCATAAATTATTCATAATACACAAACATAGCACATATTCATGAAATGATATTAAAGTGCAGCTTTAAAAATAGTTAAAGATTGAGGTTATAATTTTAAGTAGAATTGCTAAAGTCGTAGACTAAATTGTGAGATTACAAGAGGCATCTATTTATAGATGATATTCACGGTAGGAAGGCAGAAGTTTTGCAGAGACACTTATATTACTTACCACGGGTAGACTCTGTTGCAAAATATTGGACAGTAAAACAGTTTTAGACTAAAGATAGATAGTCCTTGATAATTTGATACCCAAACTAATTTTACACAATTTAGTAAAGTTTAAAATAGATAAGGTGCTTGTTATCTTGTTACATTATTTTGAGACTCTCTATCATAGATATGCACTCCATTTTAGTAAGGAAATTATGCAACAGTTATGATTCATAAATAAATTCATAGCCAGACGCAGTTATAATTGCTGCCACATCTACTGCAATGATATAGATTATTTTAATCAAATATTATGTACGACATCGACCAGTATGTAATAACTAAAGAACTATAGAAAATTGATTTAGTAATTGAAATTTCTTTTTATGGTTGAATATACCCGTAGATTATTTAAATAAAATAATTACTACATATTGCCTTATAATACTACCGTAGTAGATATTACTTGTCATAAGTAAAGCTATCTCATCCTTAAAATCATTATAGTATTATTTTCTATGATATGCTATATATCTATACAGATACTCGTATCCTGAATAGACCAGCAGAGAGTAATCCCTTACTTTATGCATTATTAACGTTGCGAGCATTGCGAATCTTTTTTAGAATGCCTTTCTGGGGTTTCTTCTCACATCTATTGGCTACATTTCTATAAACTAATTGATGCCTTTCTACTCTATCATTAACAACTTTCTTAAATCGCCATTTCCTATAAGCGCGTTGAATAACAATAGCAGCTGTAATATTAGCCTTTTCTAATTCACTAATTCGGTTGATTTGATTTGCCGGTACACGACTAGGGAATTTTTTAAGAAAGCTTTTCTTGATACGTCTTATTAATATATCAAATTCAGCTGTTAATTCCTCATCTGAATCAGCTGGATTTCCAATTATTCTAAATAGTAGTGCTTCAATAATATCTAAACAATGTAAGCGATTAGACCTATATAACGGTAGATCTAATGCAATACAAGCATATCTATTCGGTTGTGGAACACCTAAAGGTGGCTTAATATCAGCAACTAGTGGAGATAATGAAGAATAATCAATAAATTGTGTCGCCTCTGTATCATATTTGGCCCATACTTCGTAGAAAATATCAATATCCATTTCAGTAACACCACCCGCTTCTGTATCAACAACATCTTGATAGTTACTTAAAATAACAGCGACAAATAAATTGGATAAAACCAGCCAAGTTAGGTAGACATAAGACGATGTAAATAAAAGGGATAAAGATCGATTACCACAATTACCGAATGGAGATATTGTTGTATCGTTGCTGTTACAATTTGGACTTTCAATGGATAATGCGCTAGAAACATCAGTCCAACCAGCTGCTGTCATTAACTGAAATAGCACAATTAAGCTGTTAAAGAAATCGTCGAAGTTGAAGACATTAGTAAGTACACCAGTGTGCTTAACGTTGTAGAACACCGACATGCCAAGGACAGCGTAGATAAAGATAACTAAAAAGGTTAACATGCCAATATTTAAAAGAGCTGGTGCTGACATAGCTAAGGAAATAAGTAAGCGACGTATTCCTTGTGCGTATTGAACTAGCCGTAGAATTCGCACAATTCGAAAGATGCGCAAAATTCGAATAGTACTGGGATTAATAGTTGTATTAGCCGTGGTACTAATAATATTTGCTCTGGTCAAGATTTCGAAGACAAGGCCTATTCAATATCAATCACAATTATTACTTCATGATGCTAAAGAATTTTAGTTTTTAAATCATTCATAATGTAGCATTATCGAATGGATAAAATTGGAACAATCATTTACTTATTCATATAGTTCATTATTGGCTGGGCTAACAGAAATTACACTATTAGTAATATAGTATTTTAAATGTAATAATAGTTAATTTTTCAATACCAATATATACATACTAGCCAGCTTTCTACATTCATATATGTCCGATAAAAATCTTATTGCGAATAGTAAAAGTACTAACGAATAACAAAAGTGAGGAATCATACCTGATATTGACAAGATAACAACAGCAAAGTCAAATAGATTCCAAGCATCTTTAAAATAATATAAACGGAATACTATAATCTTCAGTACAGCTTCAATTACGTAGAAAATAGTAAAGAAATAATTGAAGCCTAGTAGATATCCATTAAAAAACAAGGCAGTCTGTCAAGGAGAAAGCCATCAATATCACCAACTATAGCGGTATTGACTATTTAAACAAATTAACTTTACTTCATGTTATTTAATTTATAAATCGATTGATCAACATACTCATTATAGAAACTACTTATAAATTATTCGAGATATATAAGGAAATTCAAATTTACGTCAATCTACACTTGAAAAGGATATCTAAAACCTCATGAACTTCATTTGATTCATGATAATGCGTCACCATCATAACGATAACATTAGCAACGATGATATAAATAACAGTCATTTCGAATTTGGGATTCTCTACGAATTTTCTTAACCGAATTTGCCATTGGTGCTTTAGAATAAATAGACAGAAACCAATTCGAATTTAATGGTCCGTAATAGGTCTACTCGAAGTCATAGACTCGTCAATACATATGTTAACAATAATCTGATACAAAAATATTATCATCCATACTCCCGCTGAGAGTATGCCCAGTATTGTAATATCATATACACAAGATATATTCTATCTACTAGTAGATATTGCAATCAGATTATATTAATTATAGGTAATGATGATATGGCTCAAAGGATATTGTTGCATACCCAGCTTCAAGGTATATATTCATATAAGGTAAGATTGTATAACACATAAATATTTGAGCTTATTTCAATCTTACATTTCCTCTGGGAATACTCTTTTTAGGCTTAGTTTTGAGCAACTTTCTCATCATACGGTACCATCTGCGCTGAGAATCAGTCAGATAGGCTTCTAAAGCACTACCACTTTGTTGACGTTCCAGCTGAAATGAGATGAAAATATTGTAATGATCTTGCTCTACAATTATTTTTAAACTTGTGCGATGTCACCACCACATGCACCCTCAACTACCTTAGATAGCATCATCATACTGAATTTAACGATATCATGTAAAGCTTAATTTAATCCTTCTAATAAAAATAAGCCAAAAGTACTTTAAATATAATCAAAATGGTTTTGAAATATAGTTTTAGAATACAAAAATATTCTGCTTCTATTCAATATCCATTTCCTTACCTTCTTTCCACAATTCTTCAGGCTAACATAAAAATATTCTTTTAGCTACTTAAATCTAGCTGACTACTATCATAACAATTTTTGTTCACATTATTCGCAACCATTATTAGCACTTGAACTCGTAACTGACTATGAATAACGATTACAATAACTTCTTAAAAAGTAAACCTATTAACTTTAATACAGATAAATAAAATATTATTTTCATTTACCTTTTGATGTGATACGTAAAATCCATCGATAATAACACCAACAATTAAATTTAGTGCTACAAATACACCAATGATAATAAATGCCACAAAGTAACCATGAGCAGCTGGATTATAATAGGTTACTGGTTGAAGATTAATCTAATCATGAAATTATCCAGGTATTTGAACCGTTAAGAGATACGTCATTAAATGGAATGCCTACATATCGGTGACTCAAGCTCTATGTATGACAGATATTTGGACTGCATTAGTTAATGATTAGTATTCATTACCCCTCTGGCATCTACTGCATTGTATAATGCTCTTTTCCATCCATCGAATGTTGCCTGTTTCCATAAGAAATATTATCCTGTCATTAATCGACACTATCAACATCAGCTTATGCTTTATTCATAATAAGTTTATTCGATATTGTGAGCGAGTATAGCTAAAAGTTTCAATTTTAGGATATTTGTCAAAAGATCTAAATAACAGCTTATTAAGTTACTCCATGAAAAAGTTATGCATAATATCTTTTATTACTCTCTACTTAATTTGATATAAAAACTTCTGTTCTAGATATCGCAAATTCTCATGTATTTAAAATGATTTTAATACTTTAGTAAAAAAATTGGGAAACTTACCACATGAAATAGTAAAATTATTGCTTGGGGGAAGTCATCAAAGTGAATCAACGAATTTGTCCATTTATAATCATTTCCTTTGCAACTATCTTTATCACCCACTAATGCACTGTCCACTAATGAGGAGTTGCTAACGTATATACACCTAAAAAATTTACCACCAAAAAAATAGATACCACTGACTGCAAAGATATACCAAAACACCATGCACACGAGAAATACATTCATAATCTTAGGTATAGATTCCAAAATCGCCAAAAACATCATCTAAAATGGCAAGAATTAATTAAAGCACTTTTAATTATTGATATTCTTGATAATTTACTTATATCATTTGGTGATAATAGTAAAATCGTTCAAACATACTTTTATACTTTGCACGCGGCGTATAACTCTTAAAGGCCCAATTGCTTTAGTAGTACGAGCTATTAGGTAAATATTGCGTGGAAGTAAATTAACCGTCAAAGTAATCTGGAAAAATATCAGTATTACCATCAACTTGCAAGAATATGTATTAACTATTAGTATACACGCGTATATAGATTAAATAATTTATTAATGATGAAACTAAAGACAAATAGAATACAAGAAAAATAATTCCACTATATAGTTTTAATAATTTGTTACTATAGAACTAACGACAAGCACAGAATACAGGAAAAATAGTTTTAATAAATAGTTTAAATAATTTGTTTACAATAGAACTAACTACAAGTATGGAATATAAGAAAAATAATTTTACTACTAAGCATCATTACCACGATAACGGTAAAATCCAACACATTCCAACCATTAGAAAAATATTGAGAAATACCACGAGCAAAAATCTCAAAAATAATTGTAACTATAAATATTAAAGTTACTATTGATTCAGCCAATCGAATATTATACCAATATGGGGGGTTTTGAACCGCCCTCTTATCTTCCATTGCCTAGATAAATTACCAAATTGTCAACTTATCCGTCTTAATATACTATGCCTACACCGTATAAACTTTAAATACAGTCATCGAGGTATATCAGTATTGAATAAGATAGAAATAGCAATAAAATCCATCCAATTCTCCTGCAATAAAGTATACTAAAGATAAAAATAATCATTGTATTTACCAATAAAATGCTGCTAGCCATTATTAATAATATCATAAGTAAATTATAAACCCAATGGGTCATCCACTTTTGTATCATCTTACGGGCTGCAATCCAAGCTTGATACGAAGAGCTATCAACTTTGATACATTTGGAAAATTTCTCGCCTATGCAATCGGGTAAACAGTGGCTAACAGAAATATCCCCTTTCTTGCCAAAGATATCGTCAGACGATGTGTAGCTATTACCCTATAATCAAAATAAATAGTAAAATAGTATCAATAAAATGAGTTAACGATAAATATCAATTTAACGCTCTGAATTAGTGGTGTCTTCTTTAATATAAACAGCAAACATGAATTAGATGATAGGCATACATCACGGGCAGTGAAATTATCAATGCCATTTGTATGAATAACTGAGCAGTTTCTGTCATTAGACGATTGATGATTAGACGCTGCAGCATTATCCTCAGGGAGGTTTGTATTTCTTTCAGAGATATCAGCATCGAACTGCTTTAGAATGCTTGGGGGTAAATGGCTTTCAGATCGATTATTATTTCCTGCTCCATTACAATATTGATGTTGATTTATCACACTCGATTGTTCATCCAGTAATTTTAAAGGATTATCATGAGTAGTAGCATGAAAAGTGGACGATAGGGGATCACCAATATCGATTTCGCTATTATTGCATCGATTTGTTAATGGAAATTCTCCAGCGGTATTCAAGTTATTCGATATAGGATTGGTAGCCTTTTCGTTATTCGGATTGCCATTATCCTGCCCATGAAATGTTTCTGATTCTTTTGTATCATTAATAGTGGATTTTTTTGGCGTAATCGTTGACTCATTATAGGGTATCATCGATATAAGAGTAGATTCCTGCTCAGATTGATGAAGATGATGTTCAATTCTATCATATCCTTTAGCCACATCGATTTGAGGTGATTCATCAAGATCAGCTGATGACAATGTCATCCTATTTGCATAACTTGTTTCTGATTCAGATAATATGGAAAAGCGTTCCAATTCATCCCTATAACTTCCTTCATTATTTATTTTAGCCATAGTTGCATTAGTCTGAAATGATTTGCTATTGGAATTATTATGTTCAACTTTATAGCCTTGGTTACTTGCTTGGTCAGTGGATACTTTTATACTGTTATCTACTAGATTTTGCTCTACTGATACTTGTACTTGTATTTCATCATCTATCTCACGTCCATCGCTTTTTAATAATTTATTCCTGCGGCCAATATTATCACCGTTTCTACTATGATCACTTAACTCAACCAGCTGTGTTTCAGTTTGAACGTCAGAATCTGTCATCGATTCGCTATCATTGAATACAGTCACAAGATAATGATTTTGATTGCTTTCAAGATCCAATGGTCTGGCATCGACTGATTCTTTCTTAAAGCAGCAAGAAGAAGTAAATATGGACTTGAGTTGATGCATAAAATTTTGGTCTAAGTGAGAATCATTTTCAGTATTATATTTTTCTTGAAATGATTGATCTTCCAAAGTACTGAGAATTAAAGCGACGAATAAGTTTAATACCTAAAGCATACAATAAAATAGCCAGAAAGGACAATCATTAGATAATATAAAAATCGTTGTCAAAATCTATCACTGCTACAACTACGGTAATTACTTCGTTATTAAAATTAGATTATAACATAGTTTTGCTTCTTACCAGCAGATTTCCAATCAAAAAAACCATTAAAAAAAATACAATTGCCCAAGAACTCGTCGCTTTAACAGCTACGCCTAAAGGTTGTATCCATTCACCACACATGATACGAAAAATCATCATACAAGAACTTTCAAAATTATCAAAATTGAACCGTGGCATTTCGGTAAATTTTTTACGATAGGCATCACGGAACATTTTTTGTCCAAGCACAGCAAATATATAGATGAAAATAACCATCATAAGGTTAACATAGATTAAAGCGGACATATTGAATATTAGTGTACGAAGAAGATAGCGCATTGCAGGCCAAGTGCGAGCTAGTCGGAAAATTCGAGTCTTAAAATACAAAAATAAGAATCAGAAATGGTTGGTGAGATAAAATGTCTCAGTAACAATATAGTAAGACTTTGATTGCATGCCAATCTTCACTATATCGCATAAGTCAGATCTTCAACTATCAGCATCTATCTATTAATCTAGCGATATTAACAGGCAGAATATATAGCATTACCATAGCCGGCTAAAGTTTGAAGTAAGAGCAAAAATATTGCAATCCTAATACTTTTACTTTTATTTCGAGCTTTAGCCGGCTATTATGTATAATTGCCGGGATCGGGTTTCAACAGAACCTTCACTACCTTGCCACCTAACGTACAGTATGATCCACTTTGAGGCTGTAATATAAATGAATTTCGCTTTTGTGCCTGCATAAGTGCGCATATACTCCTTAGCATGTACTCATACCTAATAATCTAGCCTATAACGTAATCTACATTGAGGGCTGCATCACAGGCAAATTTAGCTTTTGCGCTTGCATAGGTACACGTAGATTTCGTTGTCATATACGTAAACCTAACTAACAATCTAACCTACGGCATAGTCTATTTTAAGAGTGCGCCACAGCTAAATTTAGCTTTTGCATTTATATAAGCATACATAGATTTCGTCGGTATGTACGTATTTCTAACAATCTAATCTACAGCATAATCTATTTTGAGGGCTGCACCACAGGCAAATTTCACTTTTTTATTTATATAAGTGCACATACGTTCCTCAGCAAATACCGTACTTGTACCTAACAATATAATCTACGACATAATCTATTTGAGAGTGCGCCACGGACAAAATTGAGCATTAGCACTTAAATAAGTACACATACGTATATTCCTCGGCATATACGTATACCTAACAATCTAACCTGAGACATAATCTATTTTGAGAGCGTGCTACAGGCAAATTTCATTCTTGTACTTCTATAAGTACACATACATGTATTTCTCGGCGCGTACGTCTACCTAATAATTTAACCTACAATATCATTTATTCGGAGGACTACACTAGAAGTTAATTTCTCTTTTGCACTTATATAAGTATACTTAAACGTATTCTTCGACAAATGCCGGTATGTGTACCTAACAATTTAACCTACAGTGCGATTATCCTACCAATCCTTAAATTATTCGAGTTAGCTTATATTATCTAGACTTTCTTAGGATAGTAATTTATCACTGTTACTATTTTAAAACTACGCTGTTACTATTAGTATATAAATCAATTCGCATAGTTACTTACGACTCGAAGAGTAACTAAGGCAGCTATAATCCATTCCGTCTCTTTAACGCCTGTAATCAACAAAATCGCTTGCGCTAATGTTGGTAGGGTGATTAAAGTATCAAAAATGTCCCATTTGCTTTTAATAAACTGGCGTGGTCTGTGAGCGATCAGTTTCAACACGGTTTCCATGACAAATATACCGGATAAGACCTAGCAACATTAAAATCCATGTTAATTTTTTTATTCGTAGATCATTCTTTACAGGTTTAGTCCATTGTAGGACCTTTCCATATCGAACAGGTCAAGTTCACATCATTTGCAGAAATGTGCCATATGTTCTCTGATTGGAGTTATTATCATGAAACTATCTGATTAGTCAGACCTATAAAAATTCTTCATGCGTCAAAAGAACTATGGCATCAATTAGGTATCATAAAATAGAGTATTAAATACCGTGAGAGTGCCGTTTAAGAAATTGGTTTATACAGTTATCATGAAATTATTTAATAAGTAAGCGCTACAAAAACTTCCATACGTCAAACATCAATCAGATGTCATAAAATTGAGAAACAGCTGCCGTGAGAGAGCGTTGAAGAAACTAATTTTTCCGCTTATCATGAAATTATTTGATTTGTAAGACCTGTAAGAGCTCTCCAGGCGTCAAATGAGCTATGGTATCAATTAGGCATCATAAAACTGAGTAACAAGTAACGTACGTTGAAGAAATTAATTTATACAGTTAATCCTTAATTGGTGAGTCAATAACAGTAACAATCTGAATATTCGTAGCTCTTTCTGATTAAGTGTGAGGCTGGAAACAATATTATAGACTTAAGTACATGTTTAGTGGAGAAACGATATTGAAGAGAGGAAGATTACTACCATCAATAACCGCTAGTATACCAATGTACTCATCATTTGATAATTCAAGATTCCAATAATAACCTATCTTACTTACGTAAATTGTTATAATTCTCCATTGAGATTTATCATCAAGAGGTATGTAAAGCGCCATTACTGTCGAATCAATAATAACAAAAATTTCCATAGCAGGTTCGTATAGTGGACTTAAGAATATACTTCTTAATCTCTTGCGAAAACGACCAAAACATGACAAATTTTGATCATCTTCACTTTTATCCTTCGTATTATGACCATCAAGTGATTTTACTTCTCCTGATTCTACATGTAAAAAACATTTGCCCATCAATCAATCATGATAAATAACCGAACTAAATCCAGTGAAGCGGACAGCATTATTGAGTACTAATGGATTAATATGGTAAAATAGTCAAGACCTTACCAACTGATGGAGGTGGTAGTAATACTTCAACATGCTTTGATTTTATCGTTGAAGTTTTAGCAACACGTACACTTATTCGCAGATCTCGTCTTGCTACAGCACCATCTAAACCTTTTCCTGCATCTTCTACATCTTATTTATTGATAATAAGTACTATTAATATTATTAGCAAAACAAATACTTAGAGTAAATAACTAAATAGACTTCAATAAGATAATTCTATTAGATGGTCGATTACCGTGATTTTGATCGATTTTCGTAGCAGCTTTCTTAAGTGATGACGACAACTCAGTACTTCCTAACTTGTCTTGGCGACCTTGAGTACGGTTAGTATGATATTCCTGCAATTCCTTTAAAACTACGTTGAAGTGATTACGATTTTCATTATTATTACCAGAATCAGGGCTGATTTGTACAGTGTTAATTTCTCCTTCCTTTATTTTATTCAATTTGGCCGACTTGGGATATAAATTTTTGCTAGCATCTTCATCTGTCATTTTCATTTCTTTAGCTTTACTATCTTCCTCTTCGATATACTTCTCACAAACTACAACATCGATGTTAACTGGAAGCAAATCATGATTCTCCATTCGATTTATCTCATTAGTTTCCTCCTCGTCACGTCTTGAATTCAACGTGTCGATTCCATTCTTTACTTTGCCTTGATCTAGATCGTGGCAATTTGCCCTATCTCCCTGCAATGGTCCATCATTATGTTCAGTTATGCAGCCTTCTTCATCGGTAAACCCAATATTATTATGTTGATTCTTAGTAGATGCATTATGTAACGATATTGGAGATAGTCCATTATCGGTTTGGCCTAAATCTTCATTTCGAGCATAAGCATCCGGTGGTGCTAGTTCTTCATCGTAGTTATGACGGAGGTTTAAATCAATACGTCGTCTTGCTGCAGAAAATCCACGTGGCAATAACTCTAAAACATTAACATGAACTGTTCTTGCATGCCATCGTTTAGGGACGGTATCAGGATAAAATGTGAAGGAAGATTGGCCTCTGGATGCTCTTAAACGATTGAATTTACTAGCGTTCTATTATAAAGGTAAATGAAATAGATATATAAATTGTGATTTAAATGATTGCTTTATATAGAGTATTCTTAAAGTAGTATTTAAGAGGTAAGCAGCTATTTTGTCAAGTTGGAGAAAAGTCTAAATTTGTTAGATTGTGTGTTAATTAACTAGTTTCATAGCGTGGTTAACAGCAATACTATTTATATAAGGAATAAAATTGCTGCTACTAAAATAAGTAGACTCATCTATCACTAAAATTTAGCATATCTAGTATCAAAGATAGGAGTCCAGAACTTATAGGATAGTATTAACAACTAGCCAATCTTGTAGGGTGTTAATAATATTACGTATTTCATAGCTTAAATAAGAATAAGCAGAGTTAATAATTACTCCGCAAATGTAATGAACGCTCTATCGATATATTTAAAATTGCACTGTTAAAATTGATATTAGAAAAACTAATAGTATTAATGAACAGCAAAGTACAACTTTCCTTAATAGAAACGAGCTCTGTTAAACAGCAATTACTCTTTAGTAAATGGATGGAAAGAAACAAAAACTAAAACTAAACGCTAGATAATGTATTAACGATAATAAATTACGTTTATGGTCTTTGAGTATCTTCATCGTATAAAGATAGTAATTTTCAGAATAATAAATCAGATCAAGCTTCTGAGTCATCAAGGAAATAATACTTGCCTGATCTTCCATTAATCGAACTTCCTTATTATAAGCCAAAGCAATGACAGCCAGCACAAGATTTAGCACATAATAAGTGCCAAAAAATAGAATAAATATAAAAAATGGGATGTAGTATGGTCCAAGAGCGCTAATGATCTATTCAGATTTTTAGTGATTGCCATCAGCAGTAAGATAGAAAAAGAAGTAAATAAAATTTAGCATATACACATTTCGCAAAAATCTTTCCAAACTTGCACATTTTCTCTAACAATCGTAAAATAAATTAAACAAAATTGTTTTTTCCTTTTCTACTATTACTAGTAGATCCCTCGCTTGATGTGTAGCTAAAGCTCGGTAAACGATTATACGATTACAGATATTCTAATCACGGAAATAAATTATAAAGCTATAAAATAGCTTTACCGATCTGTAATCTTCATCCCAAGCATCTTGAGATGTAATCTGAAAGCAGACAAGTAATGATGTCGGAAAAGTATCGTAGTTTGTTAAATTTCCAGGATTGGGGAATGCATCTTGATAGCATACAGAACCTTTTTGAATATAATCACATTGTCTACATATTATATCAAAAGCAAGATCAGAAAAAAGAATGAAATTAGTCTTTTGCCAATTTATTGGAAATAATGGTATTTTATAATCAAAGAAATACTGTTTAATACTAGCAATCGTACATCAAATAGTAACATTTGAGAAACACTATGAAACGTGAAATTTAGTAATTTGAATTTGAACCTTTTTCTTCAAATATTTATGAACGACTGAAAAGCTTATAGAAACAATTATCATTGTCATCATCAATTTAAGCATTTATTATGAGTGTTTCTAATACTATTATCTACTTAAGCTATATTCTACGATTACAGATATAGCTAAGTCAGATTGATACATTACAGCTAATTATAACTGACTAAAAATATAGATGTAAAGAATGAAATATCAATCCAGTCAGTAAAGTGGATTCATCACTGAATTTTAGCTTATTCGATTTCTTATAAAATCTATATATAAACTGAATTCAGTTCTCATCAGAAATAGATGAAGCACTGCTAAATCTAGCAAATTTGGTAAAATATCAATGCAACATCAACTAGTTCAACCTGGTAAAGCTATCATTCCCACAAATAATTGAACTTTCCGTTCCAGAAGTAACCCAATTTTCTGTTTAAAATATACATTAAAATGAAGATTATTACATATATCAGTAAATATCAACGGTTTAGATCAAAGCCATAGTAATTTGCGTCAATATAAATATTTTAAAAATTAAAAATTTTAATTTATTTACTGGAATTAGTAATATAATCGTTAAATGCTTTTGAACTGTTATAAGTTGCGTTAAAATCGAATCTTTGCTTGATACATTTTCTGGATAAAACTCCCATAAATAACTGAACACCCAGCAAAGCAAATCCGGTTAAAAATAAAAGTGTCAATGATAAAACATTGGCCAACATATTCATGGAATGGATAACTGCATTGACGATAGTCTTTAACCCTAAACAGATTAATTTAAATATTCAATCTCTAATTTTATAATAAGATTTTTATGCAAAACTAAAGAAATTTGATCTATAGATACTTTTGCGTTATACCTTTTATCGCCGTAATCATTCTTATTGCTCGCAAAACCCGGACTGAACTTATACTAGGTATGGCATTTGGAAGCAATGTTAAATATCTATAATTATTAAAATCAAATCAATTAAAACTTTAATTTCCTGTCGATATATATTATACCGCAACAATTTAGTTAAAATTAATTTGGTATCATTTTCTGCCGTATTTACTTACAAGTATCATGCTAACATTTTATTACAAATGTTATATCAAGCCATAAGAAATAATCTCACAAATTAGATCAAACTGTAAAACTAGGAATAATATCTAGTATGTACTGCGATATAACTGAAATTTGCCATAATTATATAATTACAGTCCCTCAAGGATGACTATTTCCTTCATAATTTCTTTTAATAGTATAGCAACAAAACGACTAAAAATGTAAAATTGATTAAATCTTATTCCACAGTTAAAATCATGATAGTAGTTATTAAATCAAATCTTTATAAGCATTATGTTCGAAAATACTTTCAATCATTTTATAAATTTTAACTTAATTGCAAATTTTAGAGTTGTAATGACGGAGTAATAGTCTTACTATTACTATATTGCTCATGTCATTTCTGTTTGGTTTTTATGTTGTAATTCTAGATCAAAATAGGGCTATTTTGGAAGATCTGTTGTTATTACTTCTATATTATAGTTCTACTAATCATATCTATTCTAGTCAATACCGTTTGCAGCACCTTAATAGCATGAAATCAAAGTAACCGCAATTAAGACACGCCGTTTCTCTTAATCATATTTCAGGCCAAGAATTACATGCAACAGCCGCAAAATCATATCTTTATTAAATACTACCAACTAATTCTATGCTAAGATAGATACCCATACTTGCTACGATATAAATTTTTAGCTGTGATAATAATCAATGGATACTCGAAACGTTAATGCTGAACCCAACTATAGACAGTTCATCTGTTATAATAAACGTATATACTATTCCAATTTAATACGCGTAACTGCTTGACTAGACAACGTTTAATTTAATGTTACCTTATTAGAAAATTCTTCTATCATTATTTACGAACTCAACTTACCCCATTATAACAATAAAGAAATCTAACCAATTCCAAGGATCTCGTAAATAGGCAAATTGATGAGAAATAAATCCTCTAGCAACAATCTTCAACAACATTTCAATTGTGTAGAATACATTGAAACCAATTCTATTAGGACATACAAAAGAAAAGTTATATTTCACTAGATCTAGTCTATCTATCAAGAAAATAAATTGCTAGAATTACCATCATCCGCGCGACGAAAATAAGTTAATATATGAAATAGTAAAATAAACTAGTTCAATCATAGAAGTACTTACGATACATATTCCATATCCGATAAAGCGTTTATATCTGATTTTTGAGTGGGAAACGCAACAAATATACAATTGGCTAATATCACTAATATTAATGTCATTTCAAAATATCTATTGAGTTATTTTAAGGAAAATATTTCTTTTTTTAATGGTAGCGAAAAATGCTAACAAGCATAATTTAAAATTAAATACAATTATAACATCGCCACTCAAATTGATGTATGCCAAATGAACGTTTTCGTATAAACAATATCATAACCTAAGATATTTTTTACTTTCTTTGGCAAATAGTAGTTTTAGTGTAGCTGTTTATATATTGTTATTTTGCGTTAGACAATTCGCAGCGGTTGAATATATCGAATTGATTGACATTCTAACACTCACTTTTAATAATTGCTACTTCAACAATTAGATTTAACCCAACATACTGATTACAATAACAAGATGCTGGACAAAAAGAAGACTTATACGTTGCATATGATTATTTAGCTAAGAAATAATGTTAACAAAGATTTTAAAATTATTATTGCCGTGTGATACCAGTAAGATAGAATATACAAGACCACTTTAATTGATAGAAATTTCGGTTTGATTCGATTATATTTTGATTATAAAAGTATTTTCAACGTTTTATAAAGGATACTGACTTGTTGTGATAGTTATTGCGGCCTTCCTTAAGCAGTTACTTGGATCTAAAAAGTACAACGATTGGTTTGAACTAAATCGATGCATCTGGTACTCTCCCATTCTCTTCCGTAGTATACAAAATGTCTAGTAAAATACAGTAGAAAATAGCTAATTTCTTCAGTTGAAGCATTTTGAATATTACAATGTTAAAAAGTGTATTATTTTTTATCAATAAAATTTTTAAAGGAAAATTTCGCTTTATACGCGTATACTTCATTTTAATTAATAGAAAATTTGTAGTTAGAAGGCTATATAAGCAAGAAATAGATATACACGTAGATTAGGATTGCGCAGTTTTTAAATGATTGAATTTTAAACTATTTGAAAGCTTTTAAAATAAAGCTTTGTAGCACTTTCCTATCACTGGCTGTAAAAAGGAATTTAATCTGGACATAAGTATTCCTTTTAGATAGCCATTAGATAATACTAACTTAAAGTCATTTTTAATATAATTACTACTGTATAACGTTTCCCAGATATCGCAAATTTATATCAACAAGTATGAGTGTAATTAATTTGAAATAGTCAATTTTAATTATTCATAGTACAAATGCTACCATCAATCTTCTTGATAAGCTCTACTTATTTCGTATCTCATCACATGAGAGATAAGCACATCATATCTAAGCTAAACTTGATATCACTTCAATTCGTTACTGATATCACTACAATGTGGACTTTATGCCATGTTCTAAAAGAATACAAGTACAATACGAAGGGCTAAGAAATATCAACTTAATTTGGCACTAATACTATAATCATTCGATAATCTAACGGTCGAAAAAAATAACTTGTTAGATGTATACAACTTGCACAAATTGACATCTACTTAGCATTATTTCGTTGTTTAATGTCATCTAAACTTTAATTATTACTAAAATGTGATATTAAAGTACTGTTCAAAATCAGTCTACTATTTTCTAGCGGCATACATTTTCTTGTTCAGGATCGATATCTTGCACATAAACATCGATTAGTCCTTCAATTTTAATCTGTTCTATAATTAATCTTTTAGATTCCTCAATATCGTCTTCGTCGACTTTTACTGCATCCTTTTTACCAGTGTCTACATCAGTTCTGTTTTCATCACTGTTTGACATTGCATAATCGAGATTTTTTACTGGTGTAAGAGATTCTCGAAAATTCTGTTTCACATCTTTTTGGCTAAATCCATCATTTACAAGCTCTGGATTGGTATTTGCCATCTTTCTAAGACAATACCAGCTGATACACCAAGTAGATGTAAGGTGGATCTTTTGTATGATTCGGAAAAATAAGAGAGTTAAAAATTGAGAATATTTTAACTTGTTTGCTAACGTTACAATTAAATGATATTTCGTTTTAAATTGAACTTGAAATTATTTAGGATACTAATACAACGAAAGCAATCAATTCTGTAAAAGCTATATTGATCAGTGAAAAATGAATTATTCATTATTCAATACAATTTTTAACAATGTATTAAATAAGATATAATTACACGGATAATTTCATTAAAAGGAAAGCTTATGTTTTACCATCTGGTAATCGCCATTTCATTCCGTCATCGATCGTATACAGTTTAGAATAATCACTTAAGTTCATCTTCTTTTAAGATGATCTGATCCTATGAGAAGCACTATTTTGACCTTCCTTACTAGAGCACTAGGGATAGTTTTATATGCATAACATACTTAATGCGAAACTGAAGGTATAAGAGACAATATTTGAGACGCTAATAAAAATAACTCACCAGAAAGAAAACATATGAAATCAATTCATTCTTATTACTATTATAGCAATAATTTCAACTTGGCTTTGCTACCATCTATCGTAGTATTCTTTTTCAATCTATAGCCTTCACATCACAATGGCCTTTATGTTAAGACCAAAGATAGCGGTCTACTTTAGTTTGGTACTGCTACAATATGGTAAGCTGCGACGTTAATCGGCTTACCAACTAATTAGCTTAACCTAACTTTGCACTACAGCACTTTGTCTGTACACTACAAGATAATAAGGTATCGGACTTACCTATAAATTAGGCTACTCATACTAAGTTCTAAGAGCAAGACCTTAATACAGTATATCTGCTGATAGATGTTACCGTTATTCATATACTGAAATAGAATGGCTACATCAATGGATATAACAGGCATCTTTGCTGTGTCATTCATAAACTACGCCTTGTTACCCCGTTAACTGCCAGTATTGTTTCTCTTAATATTATTATAATTCTTGTATGAACAGTTTTATATTCTTGGTTTGACCGAAGTTGGCTACAAATTTTAGCAGTTAGTTTTTTACAGTATAAAATAAATCAGCTTCCATCACTTAACCTTAAGAAATAGATAGTAAATAGAACTAGAATTTAAAATTGGAACAGAATAAAAATACAAATAGATACAATAGATAGTAATTGGGAACCGTACACGAAAATAGCCCTCATGTATGGAAAACAATTCTAGCCTTATTGCTTTACCGACCATGTTTCTCATACAGTATATGAGTCATAATATTATTATAGTTTCTTTGTAGGCGTATTAAATGTATTTCATTATAATCGTAAAATTATTACTTATAAGATGTAATTAGCAGACAATTACAGCAATAACTGTATATGTTGTACAAAAATATGAAACATAGAACTATAGAATGGCAATACGCAATATTCTTAGTATTTCATATTGGTATTCTACTGTTCTATGTTTGCAGACATAAATAAGCCCAATAACACGGCCTAAGATTGAATCCTATAGCAGATTATACCAGACAAAATTTAAAGCCACATCAATAGATAGAAGATGTAATTATTTATCTATTTTTGACTTTTCATTAGTTAAATTGTTCGGTTTATGAGATTAAAATTAATTATAAATATATATTGTACTAGGTGCTTAGTACTGTTACAAACTGGGATCAGTCATAACACAGCAACACGATGTAGGAAAGTAATTTCTATACTATCACTATAACTCGATACCGCTTCATCGATATTAGCATCCCTAAAACGAATCTAATTTATAGTCGCTAGGCAATCTACTACAAAGGAACTATGTTACCCATAAGGCCCCTGCCAACTTCAGTGGATGATTCTTCACACGAAGAAATCAAAGAAAACTCCTCATCATTTATTAAGCAAGATATGCTGGCTTAAATAGAACTTTAGCATTATTATTATTAGAGTGATAGCATAAAGGTTACAATTTTAGTAATTTTTTTCAAGCTTAAACGCCAGCGCGTCCAAAATGTTTCATTCAGGATGTCCTAAAAATTTAGTCTAATCCTGTAAATTATAGTAGTTCTAAGATATAATCTATCTTTACTTCCACTATAATTTTAATAGGGTTTCTAGACACTATCTACGGATAACATTCATTCTAAAATTACCCATTCAAATTTAGAAAGTAGCTAAACAATATAATAATACGAAATACTATAGTTATGACAGAAACCTAGTATAAATATCACTAAAACCTTTTAATAGTCCGACCTAGTCCGATCTACAATCCCATCTATGAATTTACAGTTCATGGTATTTTAGCATCATAAAAGTCTTTACGTTCTACTTCAATAAATAAAATAAATCAACTAGAACATGATACTAAGATAAGAAAGATCAGCGTCTCTAATAGCCATAAGACCAAGGTTTAGGAACAATAATTTGATGATTAATTTATCAATGCTTTTATTTCTCAATTAATAAAAGAATTTTATACTGTATAATTTGGTCATGAAATAAAATTGAAGATCGATGGTAAATTAAATTTACGATCTTAATATACATTAACAGAAATGATCTCAACCTATCTTTATGATTATAAATGAATGCTAATATTGCTAGTATTCATTAAATTACAATTAATATTAAGTGGTAAGTAGTGAAACACCCTATCAATACAATTATAGGGTAAAGCTGTAAAAGTTCATCAAAGTATGGCTATTTTGTAATGGAAAAATATTAGAATGAAACTAAAAATTTTAATCGTGCTGACTTTAATAATTACGATTATCAGTGTAATTATAAGCATAAAAGATAGATAGATGCAGTAAATACAAAGTCACGAGTATGAAACATGAAACTTGGATGTGATTAATGCAATAATCAATAAATAATTTAACATAATAATCTCAATATCTAAATACTAATTTGAGTTCTTCTTTATTATCAATATGCCTGATGTTAATCGCATATGATAAAAAAGTATTAAGGAGTCTATAACAATTTATAAGAGTAAAAATAAATCAGTTACTTATATTTTCGATAATCACGATTAGACAGATTGTATTTGGTATTTTATCCAATAAATGCGAAATCGGAAAGCAAGTGAATAAGCATTGGATCCCTTGTCACAGTTAGTGCACATATAAAGAATTAACGATCAGTAAAACTAATTTAAAGCAGCAAAATTCCTAGGTTCAAGCATTAGAGTCCGCAGCAAGCTAAGAATTTAATTAATGAATGATCAAAGATACAAAATTAAAGCTCGATCAGCTAACAAATTATTCGTTGCATGGTCATATCATCTGTCAATATTCTCTTATAATTATATTATTTGATTTGTTACAACATTGGTTACAGTACTCATTATCGAGCTAATTTTCTTATTGAAATTTATAATCATTCTGAAAATGAATTTATGACTTTACAAGAAATTTCAACAGTAAAAGTAATCGCTTATAGATAAAATCTTGTTTTTAATTTAGCGTTATAATTGAAATAGATCAAATACTCAATTAGATGTTAGCACGCTATTCGCAATTAGTGCGATAAGGATAATTATTTAAATATTGGAATAAATCAAATGAGAACTAATTATTTGCTATCATCATTTTAATGATTTATATAATCCTACTGATCATTATACTGAAGTATACTGACATAATAATATAAATGTACATTTATGACCGTCAATATTGGACGAAAAATAGTTTAAAAATCATTCTGCTACAGGTTTGTATCACATATTAATTGTTTAGCTTCAAGCGAACCAATAAAAATATATTAGATACTATATTAAAATGCATTATCAAGCAAACACAGAATTAAATTCGTTTGCACATAGCTTCAATAAAGTTATAATTACTTAGCAACAGTCTCCGATTCAAGAATGCAAAGAATATAATCAGACTTTAAAAGTACTGTAAAATGTTTCTTGAATAGATCAACACTGAGTTTGTATCCATGTATTCAATTATAATTAGAATATATTTTGTCATCGATATGATTACAAATAAAAAGCAATCATTTTGACATAAATTACAGACATTATCTGGTGAGGCTATTTCATCAAGAATGTTGATTTCAATTAAAATTGATGAGACATCAGTATCAAATACCAGCACTACAAATGTTTTGGAAGGTTTGATTTGTTTTCAAAAATACACAGGGATACAATTATATTATTGCCATCGATTCAATATCCCATAAATAATGATGCTATAATCATGATGAAATGATATTAAGCAGCCATCCTTTTTTTAATTAGTGTTAATGACGCCTGCGAGAATGAACATGTCGATAAGTTGCCTTATGGATATCTGATCGATATTTCCATTGGCGATAGGCGCGTTGAATAACTTTAGCCGCCCAATTTTCACGACTTAATTGCATGGTTGTTCTAGCATTACGATTAGCACTATCTGCTCTCCAGTTTGGAAAAGCTTCAGCAAATTTTTTCTCCATTTGCCTTTTTAAAATAAAAAATTCTTCAACTGCTTGAGTCCCTTCTTCAAATGGATTACCTAGAACACGAAATAATAAACCTTCCAATATATCTAAACAATGCAATCGATCTTCATCATATAACGGTAGATTTAGAGCAACACAAGCATATTTATTCGGTTGTGGTATCTTGAGTGGTGGATTCAAATCAGCTACAAATTGTGACAAGAAATGGTAATCGATAAATTGGGTTGCATATGGATCATACTTGGACCATAGCTCGTAATACATGTCGATATCACCGGTTGTAATACCAATTTCCTCGTCTTCTACTACTTCCTGATAATTGTTTAAGATGATAGCGACATACATATTGACCAAGACTAAAAATGTTATAAATACGAATGTCACCATATATGGTATTGCTGCACCAGGATTGCCACATGTTCCAGTAGGTGCTAGATTAGTTAACGATGCATTACAGTTAGGCCCATCTGTCATTAAAGAATCGAGGACATCATTCCAACCAGCTGCTGTCATTAATCGAAAGAGTAGCGCCATAGCATTGGGAAAGGTCTCAAAATTGATTGTATCAGTGATGGTGCCATGATGAACCATGCTACCAAATAACGACATACCAATGATAGCATAAATAAACATAACCAAGAAGAGGAGGCAACCAATATTAAGTAATGCTGGTAGGGACATTGCTAGCGACATTAACAATCGCCGAACACCTTTAGCCACTTCAATTAATCTTAAAACTCGCGTTATTCTAAAAACCCGTAAAACACGCAATACACTAGGACTAATTGGAATGCTATTGGTTTGCGCAATGATATCTAAAACCAAACCTATTAAACAACAATTAACCAAAGATTTCAATTCTATGACTATTAACCACACAACAAGGTGTACATATATTATATATACTATAGGTAGAAATATTAAGCTAATACTGTAAACTATCCATCTATCTATCGCTACAGTAATTCAACCTTGCTATACTCGTACATTAACCTTCCACAATCAGAGGTAAAAATAGATTTGATGTAATTTAATAATCAACTTCTAAGTATAATATTCGAGTTTTGCTATCGAAATGGACTATTCTAAATCTTCGCTATTAAATTTCTTTTGATTAGAAATGAAGATTAATGATTTCCTTTGAAATTATTGTAACGCTGATATCGTCTTAGATCTTAAATCATATAATTTTAATATTCCATTGCAGAAATAGAAGTTTTTATCTATAAACTAGCACTTACCAATAATTGATAAGATGACAATACAAAAATCAAATACATTCCACGGAATATTAAAGTAATATCGTCTCATGGCCAGAATTTTCAAAATGGCTTCAAGGGTATAAATGGAAGTGAAGATAATGTCTATGATTCGTGTTTGCCGGGCAAAATAAATGAAAAGCCACGACTTTGGTTAAGAAGAATAAGATTAATCTATATCATTATACATTAATCTTAAAATTTATAGAATGTAAACAGATCTCATACTTTTATTGGTAAATGTAGTACTCAAGTTAGTATCCCGTTTTAATAAATCTTACAACTTACTCTACTGCATAAATTAGCCCTAAGCAGCTAGTTATAGTTTAATAATGGCGTATTTCTAGCTGATTTTATACAATCTAGTAGAAAAGGATATGTAAAGCATCGGAGACTTCCTTGGCTTCTTGGTAATGATTGACCATCATAGTAATTGTATTAGCAAATATGATTGTCATAATAAATAAATCGAAACGTTGAGTCTGAACATAACCTAGCAAATGATTTTGCCATTTGTACTGTAAAATAGAAATAAAGATGAGGGAAAAAGAACAGTAATTAAAATATCGAAAATAAATGAAATTAATAATAAATATAGCGGTAACAAAATAATCTGTTGACGAAACAGTTTTTAGCCCTATAAACTACTTACTCTGCTTGGTGGGATTTGTTTGGTAGGCTTTTTCTTGGATAACTTTTGCATAGTTTTATACCATTTCTTCTGGCTTTCGGTTAATAAAATATCAGTTGGTATACCAGCGGCATTTCTCTCGTACTAGAAATATTCAACAGATTGAACTTATAACTACTCATATTTATATAATAATGTCGTGCAACTTAATCCTAACTTACTGTTCTTTTCAATTTATAAAAATTATCAATGATAACACTGACAATCAAATTGAGAGTAAAAAAGGTGCCAAAAAAGATGAATATAACGAAATAAACGTATGCCCCCTTGTTATAGAGTCGGACTGGTTGAAGATCAATCTAAAAAGTATACGAATAAGAGGAATAGAATTTAATAGCTTGTCTTCAATTTTTGCTTCTTCAAGTTTTGGTACCGCTTAGGCGAAAATTTGACTTCATATATAATTTATAAAAAATTGCCATCTTACTCCTTTAGCATCAGTCGCATCTCTCATAATTTCCATCCATCCTTCAAATGTAGCCTATTTAAGAAAGAGTTTATGAACTTTAGCAAATGTGAATGGAGATCTATTGTATAAATTTATATATTTTGCTAATGCTTATTTGCTAAATATTTATATTGGACTAGTGGTGATATGAATTAAATCATAATAGAAACTTATAGCTCAAGACTGATAAACATATATTAAATAGAGATATAAAATAAGCACTAATACGCGTTGAATTACAGTTGAGACGAGTATACAAGTACATAAATTAAGTCAGGGTAAAAACTTACAACTTGAAATAGGGCTAAAAATGCCGCCGGTACGGAATCAAAATTAATCAATGAATTCTGCCATGTTAAGCCATTATCTAAACAAACTGTCCTATTTGGAATAATGCTTGCATTCATGCGATTTCCGGCAGCATCTTCACATTTATAAAATAATCCGCCAAAGATATACATTCCACTAATACCAAATATTAGCCACAAGATTGCCCCAACTAAGATTACATTAGCGATGGACGGAATTGAACCAAAGAGAGCATTCACTACCACCTACGAGTAGTCATAAATAGGAAATAGAATTAGCTTATAACATCGGTCAGCTGTAATTTAAATTTTTGACGCTTATAACCCTAGCATGTAATATCGTTTAGCTACAATTAAAATTTCTACATCTCTAATTTTAGCATATAATATCATTTAGCTATGATTAAAATTTCCACTACCTTCATGCCTTCCCAATGAGATACAGCGCGCAAAGGTCTTAATGCTCTTAGCGTACGGAGTGATCGAAAAGCTGCTAAATTGCGTAGGATAATGGTCACCAACGAGATCTAATTAAAGATAGGTTGAATTAGTGTTATGCAGCTGATATGCCAATATATTTACACGTGTAATCTGATAATCCTACCGCTACAATAGATGCATCTAGCAGATTCCATGGATTTGTAAAGTAAGCAACAAAACCTAATCCAATCCATTTCAGGACCATTTCCACCGTAAAGGCTATCGCAAAGAAGACATTAAGGGCTTCAATTGCACGAGCTAAATCTTGGCGTTGAAGGATATAAGCATCTTCTAGAGCCTATCCATAACAGTCATGTTATAAAAATTAGAATTAGATTCGTTCCATTAAAGATTGCAAAATTGAACTTATTCGATCACATTTATAAATTTATTGATCTATTCTCGATCGTAAACATAATCAATTTCAATCCTCTGTAATTTAATACCACTTACCAAGATGACACTGCTAGCAAATATTAGAAGAAGAATAATTCCTTCGAAAACTCGATGCTCAACCAATCGTTTAACATAGATTCTCATTGTTACCCAATAGTTTGTTATTGCCCATTCGTCTGAACGACAAGCGGGAAAGCATTTGGATACAAACCGTGGAAAACAGGGGGCCGGTAAATTAGTGGTAGTGGCTGCTTCTTCAGCATCACCGACTGTTGACTCACAACGAGATGCTGACCAATCCTATCGATGAAATAGGAATATTTCTCAAAAAAGGAATTTTGTGTTATATTCTACATATGAGACCGTACACTACATACATATATACTACAGACTGTATATATACATAATTACTACGTATTATGTTCTATATACTATATGCCTATATTCAAGGATTTTAAATGAATTCATATGTACCCGTTTGGAAATAGATTGAAAATAGTTTACCTCATCTTCATTAGCATCGATATCTCCATCCGAGCCGAGCCTTACAAATGACGAACGAGAAACCTGTCCACGACGTAATGGTGGAGTTGCTACTCTTGAAGGCTTATCATCACTACTGATGATAACTTCATCATCGGATTCATCACTATCTTGTTCTGGATAGTAATAATCGTCATCATCTTCACTAAGATGGCTATGATTTCGATTAACAGATCGGGTACTACGTCTTCGATCGATAATTAAACGAGTTTCATTTTTCGATTCTAATTGTGTGACTGATTTAGACATTAGAGAAGTTTTAGGATTGGAGATTCCATTATCAAGATTTTCACTGCTAGCCATTCCAGTCCCAACATGACATAAAGTCAATCCGCTTCCACTATGATGCCGCGTTCCAACTGGTAAATGATTGCATGATGCACTCAATGCCTTCCCATTACTATTCGTTGATAGAAGGCCATTATTCTTTTTTGACGATGTTGCATAAACTTTATTATGTAAATCAACTGGATAATCTGATTCGTTATTCGAACTTCTATTAGACGCATTCACAGCCATAAATTCTATTTTAGATTCTATTGGTATAGTTTGTACGCTATTTTTGCTACGAGTTGTATTTCGCAGATCTTGAGTCATTCCTCGTAAGTCGTGGCCTTGAAGACTGATATTAGGTACACTTTTTCGACTCCGTTGTAAATCTTGAGCAGATGGAATGATAAAGCCGCGTAAATCAGTGATTGATCTGGACGGAGCATCGCTAGTCTTTCTACCAGGTATAGGCTCCAATTTAAATACTTTACCTTGCTGTATGGGTAATGATGATCCTGGATAACCTAAATCGATAGGATCCATGACAATACTCTGTGATATGACTGATGACTCATCTTCTTTATTAGGTGGATTAATCTCTGCGACTTCTGCTCTTTTACAGCAGCCAAAATGAGCTCGCATATAGAAATAAAGTTTATCTGCCCTTAAAATTTGTGCTAAGCGCAACGCAATTGAAATCATGGGTGATGCTCGGCGATTATTAATAATAGTATCTTGGTCATAAGTTTCCGTAAAAGATACGTTTTCAAATGAGCTTAATAATAAGGCTAAGAACAAATTTAAGACTAATAAATTACCAATAACATAAGCAGAAATGAAAAAGATAATACTAGCTGGATTAGTGGCTCGCATTGCTTCATATAATGGTTCGACCCATTCGCCACATAAGACACGAAAGATTAGCATAAACGAATCGAAAAATGTATTAAAATTCCAGCGAGGGAAATTAACTGTACTATAATAGTTGAGGTAAGGTTGACGAAATATCTTCATGCCCAAGACAGCAAAGACGTATAATACCAAGAATAGGATTAATGTGACATAAAAAATAGCCGATAAACTACGTACAATTGCTCGAACTAATGTCCTCATTGCAGTCCATGATTGAGCTAATTTAAAAACTCTCAATAAACGAAATGTACGCAATACAGCTAAACCCCGATTTTGTTGGAGTATAGTAGATAATATAAAATCTAAATAACTTACAATGACCACAAGGCCATCAAAGACATTCCATTTACTACTAATATAGCCAGATGGAGTAAAAGCAATTAACTTTAGAACCATTTCCAAGGTAAAAATCCCAGTAAATACCTGCCAAATAAACGTAAACACAGCGTAAGAAATTGCCTACTTAAGTGTTTCTAATTGCTAAATCTTATTTGTTAGTAGTAAGAATTTATTGCAATATATCTTTTTGTATCACATTTAAATATTTTAAGTAGTAGTTAATTTATATAAGCTAGAGTAAATAAATTGCTATAGATACTTCCGATTCTTTGTAGAATCGATAGTAATTTTGTTTCGATTTAACTTTTAAAACACTATCTTGGAAAATTTATACGTCGTTATTTCGACCTTCCTCTACGTAGTATTGACATCGTTATATAATTTTAGTCTAATAGAAGCAAAACTATACTATGACTAATTGGTTATATTATCATTTTTTTCTACCTTTTTATTGCATAACGTTGTGAGACTGCTATGGTAAACTAAGCATAATACTTACATAATTTGCAATTTGAATGACGTTATTAAGGCTAGCCTTTCCAGGATCATTTCGCGGATTAGGCTGATATAATGCCATAAATAAAGTATTTAATGCGATGCAAAACGTAATTATCAAGTCAAACAGTGGATCGGTAACTATTTTATTGATTGGCGATCGAAATGTTTGCCAACATGGGCCTTTACCAACTCGTGGAATGGAAGGATCCGTAACTGAATCAGACATCGCAGGATCACCATTCTCTGATTCAATGCTGACAAGTTCTTTAGCTATGACGTAGAAGGTAATTTAAAATAAATATTAAGATCACCACAAGTATTAGCACCAAATATTCGTTATTAGATACATTGAATTAACTATAATCAGGAGCGAAACAACATATTATATTGGTTAAAATATAGTACCGTAGCTAATTGACAAAGCAATAAACCAATAGTATTTGTAGCTGATTCGAATTCACTCAAATAGAAGCTGGAAGCTAAGATGCACAAAAATGAAACATCTATAATTTACTGTAATACTAAGCTAATAATACGTTAATATCAATATCAATACACAAAATTAAATCGTTTTCCAGTAATAAGCGTATAGAAAAGTTGACTGTGATACTGATGTAGCAAAAGTGAACCTTTCTATAACTATGAGAAGAAATTTTTGAAATAAGCCTATGAACTATAAAATATTTATTAGCTTATTTCTGTGCAGAAATATGCTATCCTATCGGATAATGGAAATGAGCAAATGAGATCAGACGTATCTCAAAACATCGGTTTACACGTAATTATAAATAATTGGATACCAATCATCGGTTAGATTAAATTCTTAAATGGATCCTTTATTTTACCATTAGAATTTACCTTCAGCAATAGCTGGCTCAGCAAATCCTCCAATGGATTCTCTAGCTTTATTTGGGGCCTTAGCATTAAGACTAATTAGACTATTTTCGCGTGATTTTAGAGAAAACCCTGCTTGACTTATTGATGATGTTTCCAATGATTCACTCTCCTTGCGTTTACCGTTGCTTGCTTTTGCGGATAAATTTTTACCACGATTAGAACTTGTTGTGGACGATTTTGTAATATTACGTAGCGCTAATTGAGTTGATTCGTTAATTAGTTCATCTAAGCTATCATTATCCTTAGCTGCTTTTCGTTGAGTTGGACGATGATGATCTTCATCATTTTTGTCTGTATCATCATTCTCAGTAATAATGGCTGCCTCTCTCTCTTCAACTGAATGATCATGTTCACCTTTCTGAAGAATTTGCAATTCTAACGATTCTCGCTGTTTAATAGTAGTACTACTGCTTAAGGAGGAGGCGTTAGTTAACTCTGTCGAGGTTAGCGATGAAATACTGTTTGCACCTCGTCGTTCATTCTTATTATCATGTCTGGAATTAGAAGATGCTTGACTAGATTGTCCATGATTCGGATCAAGGCTACCATCAGATGAATTCGATGCCATATCCGAATGATTATTCTGTTTACCTGATACCTTCGATGCCTCTTGCGATTGTGATTTGGTATAAGGTAACGAATCTAACGGACATTCTCGATTAATTTCAATCAATCGTCGTCGTAATAGATCTTTATTTTCCATAATACCAGACAGTAATGCATCTTCATATAAACTCGTTCTTTTCATCAGGCGTCTAGGCGATGATTGAAGGCTTTGATTTTTCTTAATTGCATCATTCTCGGTGTTTGTTGTATTAATGCTGATGGCATCTTTTTTAACCGTACCCTCTTCGATATTGGATTGGCTAGGATTTTGAAGTGTCCATAATGTGGGTGCTTTCTCAGAATAGTATGGAAATACGGATGATTTCTTCGTTGCTATCATCATTTTACTATGATTAAGCAGCTAAAGCATATTGAATAGCATTAAGAGTTTAGAAATTGGATCTCAATAACGATCAAATATGAATAACTATAGTAATCAATTGTATCTGTAAATCGATTCTATAGGCTATCATGTATCAATAATTGTATTAAATCTCTTTACCAGATCATGCATTAGGCGATCTTCTTGATTATACGCCATAGATACAACAGCTATAACTAAATTTAGCAGATAGAATGATCCCAAGATGATAACAAAGACGAAAAATAAGGCATAACCAATGTCTACTGCATCAGAAATCTGAAAAATGAAGAAAATGAAATTGAGAATACGATTAAAAGGGTCGATTACAATTCTAATTTTATTGACTGACGTCGTGATAAATTTGTTAAACATACGAAGGCTGTATTATAAATTTGTTCTAATTAAGTTAGCTATACTCTAAATTTATTCACACATTAATTGTAAAAGAGAAGGTACCGGTAAAGTTTTAAGTGAGTTTGTAAATCTAAGACTTTTGAAATTTATCGTATATTATACTCTACCTTATTATATGGGTCTTCCCAAAAATCCATAGTAACTAGTTGAAAAGAATTTAATAAAGAGATGGGAAAATTATCGAAACTGGTATAGCCATCATTCGGATTTGGTAGTGCTCCTTCGTAGCAAACATGATTTGGGCTGTATTTGCTGCAACTCCTATTTCATCCCCCAAAAATTGTGATTAGACTTATATCATACTGAAGAAGAATATCCTACTAGATGGTAGTCTTGCATAGTTTAATGAGTGACATTATTTATTGAAGTTAAATATCTTGATTGATAATAACCTTGCATATAGATAATTTGTGATATTATTTATCAATATACTGTAGACAACAGTTTCATTACAGTGTAGATTTAACACTATAATCTTGGTATTGAAAGTGAAATATTTACCATCAATGGCCAAAGATTTCAAAAGTAATTTTATCAATTATATTAAATTTAGATATCTAACCTTGCAGTGGAGCTATTGCCACAAATTATATAATCGTCGCCATCTCGTAGCCAATTGGCCAATGCTATATTAGTAGGTTATATAACATATTTTATATTAGAAAACCAAACGTAGTCAAGTTAGTATTAAATCTGACGGCCTTCCTTTAATTAACTTTATTAATTCCTCGTTTGATATGATAAGATAGCCAATGATGCTTTTATATTTTTACTGTTACTATAGATATTTACTTTCAGAAAGTAATTTAATCTTTAATTTAACTAAAAGTGTTTTGTAGATCTTGGGTTATTTCCTTACTTTCATTTAAAACATAGCTTTGTAATGTTGACGGATAGCTTGGATCGATTGCTGATCGATTGTAATCATAAGGTAAACAGCATTTTTGCGATAGCACTCCCATAAACATTTGTAGGCCCAAAAGTCCAAATATACACAAGAAAAAAATTGTTAAATAGAAAACATCGGTTAACATCCTTAGACTTTTCAACATCGCATTGACCATTGTTTTTAAACCTGGAAAATGATGAAAAATAAAATAAATAATTCGTTCGTTAGACTTCATAAAAAATTACTTCATGTGATTTCTAAACATAAGTTTCTAAACCAATAACGCAAACAGCCTATTTTTACATTACTAACCATCAATCACAGTAATCATTCGTAGAGCTCTAAATACTCTTACAACACCAATTCCAGGTATATAACTTAGCTGTGGTATAGCGGCGACAAATCTATTCAATAGAAAATTCGATGCACCATTTTAGATACTGATCAAGTTATTTTTTCTAATGTTGACTTACAAATGGAGAAGAAAAATAGATTATTATTGCAGTCGTTATTTTATTTTGTTAACTCTATCATTTCAATACCCTAGGACCACGACTAAAAAGTCTAGCCAATTCCATGGATCTCTTAAATAAGCGAATCGATGAATAATAAATCCTCGAGCAATAATTTTTAATGTCATTTCAATAGTGTAAACCACATTGTAACCGATCCTAGATAAATTAAAGCAATATTTCATTAATCTCAAGATGAGAATATATCTATTTAAATAATGCGTTCTAAACGTTAGCCCAAGAATGAGAAAATACAATCATTAGTAAGTTATTTTAACTAAATTAGAAAGAAGATTAACTTACTCAATGGTATTATATGACGATATTTCTTCAGGACGAAACGCTAATAAGACACAGTTACTTAAAATTATCAAAAGAACAAAAAAATCGAAAAATGTAGCCAAGGTTAAGGAAAGATTTTGACCATTACTGAAACCCTTTTTCGTCATAAAATCTTCTTAGTTCCATTTTAAATTATTGTCTACGAAAATAGTACTATAGTTAAATCAGTCTGTATAAGCTAATTAACCCTATATGTAATTATCGACATAAATTAATTGTAGTCAATAAATGGATAGTTCAATATTATTATATCGTAGCACCGAACTGATCAATACATCGCTATTGATTTTCAGATTTTGAATTAAAGTATATGATTATCTAGCAACATATTGCTAAATTCGCTTCTATTATAATTGTTATCGAGCTGCAAACTATAAGTTTACGCTTACGATACAATTATTATGGAATATCAAACTACTGCATAAAATGTTAGATATTGGTAGGCTATAGATTATTTCGAGCATCGAACTATGAATTGCTAGATGTACGTAGATTTATAAATTACTTTACGAGCATCGAAATATAATTTGCTAGATGATCGTATATTTTAAGTTATTGTTGAATATTGAACTATAAATAAGTATGTTATAAATTATTGTCGAGCACCGAACTAAAAATTGTAATTATCAATCAGCTAATGATTGATATTACAGTAAATTTCCTGCCTAAGAAATTCTTTTAAGTACTACTTTCACTAAATATTCAGTAAGACACCGAAACAGTAGGATAACACTGTTAATTTTAGAGCTATTCATTCAATAAGTAAACTATAATTTTAAAAAGGATATTGATTTGTGGTAATTTTAATGGCTGCTTTCCGTATTGGATTGGTCGGCTTGAATAAATGTAGCGATTTGAATGCATTGAAACGATGAACATTATAACTTCCAATTCGTTTAGTTATAACACAAAATGTCTATATTTAATGAAAAAAGAAGTAATAGCGCACTTAAATACGAGTCGATATACCTGACATCCTTTCATTAACACTAATCCTAATATCTAATATCATAGAATTAAATTTTAAATTATTAATAACTAAAGTATGAGAACTAAATGCTATCAATAAAATGAACAATTCACGGTGATCCAAAATTAAGAATACTAGGGAGTTACGTTCATTGAAAAGATAGGTAGATTGAGAATTGAAAAGCATAAATAATTGCCAATATTAGAACGCTTAAGCAACCCAACTTAATTACTGGAGTTATAAAAATGCTAACGTTCATTTTTGGTTATAATGAAAGAAAGAGACAAGGTGTAATTTTTTATTCTGTGTGTCCATAATGTACTAATTTACTTCAAGTATTAAGGCTATAAATCATTAAATCTTTTATCTACAGAGATCGTAGAAATTTTTGAATCTGCATTTCTCTATGAAGTTAATTTTATTCGAGATTGAAGACTATCAACCTTTCCAATGTTAAGTCTTTGATTTACGGAGATCGTAAGTAAGGGGATATCCTTACCTTTTCTTTTGTATTTAAAATACTAGCTAATCTATTTTAACTATTAAGGCCCCTTGATTTCGATATTAGTTTTTCAGTTACGAATTAGGAGATAAAAACGATCATTTTATATTCTAGCTGTCTAAATGATGGCTAATATATTTTAACTATTAGCGGTAAGTGTTTTCTAGTGTTAATCTTTGGTTACAAGGAAGGGGCAAAGAATACATTGCATTTTCGACCTCTGTACTTTAACTGTCAGGTCTAAATGATTTTATTATCAGTCACTTTGCGCACTCAGATATGAAAAATATGCAGAAAAATTATGTTTTCATCTTCTGTCGTTCTGAATGATAGAACTTAAAAAAAATCGATAATAAAGATAGAACAATTTTTTTCTAAATACTTACATTTTGTTGATCTGGATCGACATCTTCGACATACTTGCCAACAACACCTTTGGCCAGTAAATTTTCATACAATGGGTTGCTAAATTTCTTTTTCTTTTTACCTTGATGAATGTCTTCTTCGCCAACCACATCTGGAGATGGCTCAAGATTGGCAATATGCTGGCCATTTGATTGACTTTGTGCGTGGGTCCATGTTAAATCTCTCTCATTATTTTGGGTTTGATCATCTGGATCATCATTGGGCCTCTCAAGCGGCGATGTCCTCCGCTGACGTCGCCTAAAAAAATGACCAATGCGAATCCCACCTTTCATGATCTAAAACCTACAAAATTATAACAGGAAGGATGTGATATAAATTTTTCACTTCATCAAGCATTGAAATTGATGAACAAATTGATTTCAATCGCATAAACGATGATAATTTACGATCAAGAATAAGCGTAGAATGAAACGAAAATTCGACACTTTCAGATTAATTCACTTCGACTGTACACTACAGTGTACACTGTATAGTAGCGATAGTGTCGATTAGGTAAGTATTGCTTCATCAAATATCTTTAAATTAGTTCTAATATATCGATGAGCCGGTTGTCAAGTATTGGTAATCAATTGCCTTATTACTCTGACTGTTATTCTCATTTTATCAATAGATGACAATAACTTGCCATATGCTACCATAAGGATTAAAATAGAACGGTAAGATATTTTGATATAGTTTAGCTTTTTCAATTCGTATTAGTTGAAGATTAGAATTGTATTATCATATAGAGTAGAATGAAAGCATCAAGTTGATTTGATTAATTCTTATTTACCTATCGACAATTTAAATCAGTATCAAATAGCTCATCCTTTTCATCTGGTCCATGTCAGTTTTGGTGCCTCCTTCTACAGCTAGAGAGAAAAAATGGCGTATTATGAAGTAAGATCACCATCTGGGTGTAGTTTTTCTGATCCATTTCACCTATTAAACTTGCCAATTTTATGATCGACTTTTATTATTGCCGTAAACTATTTTGTATTCTGCGTAGAACGATCAAAATCATTTCTCATTTACTCATCATGATTACTCTAAAGCTAACCACTTGTTGATACAATTAAATTATCACTGGCCCCTATTGTAGAGATAATTAGAGATCATATCGTCGAGAGAAAAATATCCAGGTGATCAAACGAAATACAAAAATAATTAATTCCCCTCGAGTCAATCTAATCTACAATCATCATTTTTATCTTAATATGTTACTATAAAGGACTAAATAGTATATATATAGAAAGAGATAGAATCAGAAATTACTCCATCGATAATATCCAATTAGCTTTATTCTAAAATAGGAAGGGATCACTGTAGCGTTATATCCAAATGATGATGATATAATGGTAATAAGAAAAGAATAACTTAATGTTTGGTCACTTACATATTTTGCTTCTGATATAGAATAGAACTGGATTAAAACCGGCGATCAATCATAACAGTATGACTTATCATCCAATTGAAATGAGTTATAATAGCCAACATGCATTAAAAGTAAAATTCAAGTAATTCTAATTTCACTTGAAATTATTAAATATCTTGAAAATACAATAATGGTAGGACTATCCTCGATCAGACAGTCTATAGACGATAAGAAAAAAAGGATCGACCGTATCTTAAATAGGTAAAGACCATTTATTAATATAGTCTACAGTATAGATTGCAACCAATTGTATAAAGCGTAATATGAATCAGTATGGACTATACCCACTTGTATAAAATATATGCAAATAGACTCTATTCATTAGTATTAAAACTTACTGACTTTTTCAACCCACTACTGGCAGTCTATTATAGATACATATTTGGTTGCCTAACAGCCTACTTTATAAATAATACAATACATTAGCGGGTCATTAGCGACCGACTATAAAAATAACTCAAATTAATTATATTCATATATTCACTATCATCAAAAGTTCTCGAGTCAGGAATGAAGAGAGGAGGGGGGTATTACCTGTTGATTCACTGTATATCTATTATAATGTATAATATGAATAAATACAAGCCATCGGTATTTCAATCGATTGATCTTTTCTGTATTAAGCTATACTTCATAAGCATCAATTATTTGATAGATAGAAAAATATATCTTGAAAAATAATTCAACATTACTGAGGCACCTAAAGAATACAATTCCATCTTACGTCAATGTTGAAGTGAATAGATCATATTGTTATGTAATTTATTCTTTCTTAACAGTAGCATCTTGATCAATACAATAAAATAATTCATCTTATTGGTCCTAGGATTACAGTTATTCTAAATTATTTCAATCCGATAGTAATCAACAACTTTTGTTCTATAGTCTGTATAGTCGATGAATTAGATGTATGGAGGAATATTACCATACTTTTAGATTTAAGAACAAAATTGACATCTCCTTGCATACTACCATAATATCCTTTCTAATCACTATTCATTATACAATTCATCAACTATGCATATTTTATAATTAACAATGTTGGACTATAATAGTCGTTAAGCCTTGTTTCTTTTAAAGGTATTATTTATTTGATAGTGGTATCAATTAAGTAGTTATTATTGAATTGATAATGTTCTGATTACGAAAATTATTATTTATTTTTACAAGTTCTCTAACTATGACATTTACTGTGGCACTTAGCATTAGCATTAGCCTTAAAGCATTTGTATCGCTTAATAATACAAGATGCATGGCATTTTGAAAATTGACCAGGCATTTCGCGAATTAACTGGATTTTGTACTTGAACGGTAGCAGTATCATTGGATCTTATAAATATCTAGACTATCGAGATCGGAAGGGATAAGAAGTCAAACTGAGATTTTTGGGACCACGATTAATTAGATAGATACTATAATAGGATCATCTTCAACGGTCTAACCGTTGTTATTAGATAATTGATTAGACATGATACAACATAGTCTACAGTACACTCGATGGGGCTATCGTCACAGTGGTTATTTACAACGTTGTCTATATTTTAATTTACATGAGGTGTATACTATTCATTTATTCATTCTTGAAGGTAAATAGTCATGGCTAAAAATTAAAATCAACCCTAGTCAACAATGATTTTGACCAGTTGTTTTATTATGATAATAGCATGATATTGTTTTTCGTTTACTTTCGTATCAAAAGTCATTACCCTAGCCTTAAAAATAAGTAAGCTAAACAAATAGATAAAATAGTATGAGCATAATTTACTGTGCATTCAGTAAGCATTTTCAATCAAGTTTGGGCTTTCTATGTAAATCAAAACTGTAGCTGGATAAAGCAAAAAATTTTACGATTGAGACTATTTCTATCTCACGACATAGCGTAGTATACCCTTCTTGTCAAATTCTCGCCAACTTATTATTACTCTAATCTTTGATTCGATTATGATGTTACTTTTACTTGCTTTTGTTTGATGCATTGTAAGAAATTTTCTGACAGTATTTTCACATATAAATCAAAACTAATAATGATCTTAATGAATACAGTATAATTTTCTCATTTGATATCGTTGTAATCGATGCTATAATCTCTGCATTTGCAAATTTAATTTTTACATCTACTTTATAGAGCATATAAGTGTATTTTTGGAGTCGATTTGATATTCTTGCAGAAATAAAAATTCTATTGATTTACGTCTTGCAATTGTGTTTCGCATCAATTTTTTATGCTCTGTATATAACCTCTATTTCTATACCAGCTACAATTAATACCATGGTCTATTTAATTACCAATACAATAATTATAGAACTAATTGAATACAATATTGGAATATGCTTGTACATAAACAAAAATAGGATATTTCAATTCTGCTGATTTCCACTATCAATAATTATGTCACTAAAACTTTGAAGCATATTCACGCAAAATAAAATATGTAGATGAAGTTGATCCATCATGAATTATAGCCTAAATAAGCTATGAATAAAGTATGAGGGTTGAAATATTATTACTGTCAATGAATAATTTAATTATCACGCTATTATAATATCGCAGAATTGTTGGATAACCGTGCTAACTAGCGCACAACAGATTCTAAAGCGTGTAAAATGTACCGGAAATGTACCGCAACTATACTCGTATGTGCAAATACTATAATTATATATAGATACATATATATAATGGAAGGAGCCTGTCAACCCTGTAATCGATCTGATGAAATGGCAAGAATTTATGAAAATCTTATTATGATGGAATTAACGCACCATGCCGTACGAATCAACTGGAAGTATTTGTGCAATGAACCCTGACATACCGTATATGGATAATTATATACATATATACATATATATGATCGAAGGAGCCTGTCAACCCTGTAATCGATCTGATGAAATGGCAAAAATTATGAAAGTCTTATTATGATGGAATTAACGCACCACCCTGTACGAATCAACTAATTAGCTGGAAGTATTTGTGCAATGAGCCCTGACATACCGTATATGGATAATTATATATATATATATATAGGTAACATATACATATATATGATCGAAGGAGCCTGTCAACCCTGTAATCGATCTGATGAAATGGCAAAAATTATGAAACTCTTATTATGATGGAATTAACGCACCACCCTGTACGAATCAACTAATCAACTGGAAGTATTTGTGCAATGAGCCCTGAAATACCGTATATGAATCAACTGGAAGTATTTGTGTTATGAGCCCCGACATTCCCTCGATGGATGTAATGCGCTTGACTATATCTTATTCTGTATGAGTTTACTCAACCACAATAAAGTTAGGCCTACCAACTTAAGATGAAATCTGCTTCTATTCCAAAATTAAAAAAGGTCCGTGTAAGCTAGTCTATAATAATAATGAATAGGCAAATTGGACGAGTTTTAACGAATTAAATCAAGATCTTCATGATAGTTTTGCTAACAACTGGCCGATATGTTTGGATAAGTGTATTGAAGATATACACTGTACAGTATATTACACAGTACAGGACAGTACTGTACAGTACAGTACAGTACTGTAGACCATCTGTACAAGTTGCTGTTGATTTACGGTATGTACTGTACATTGTACAGTACTGTGTTCTGTAGCAAACGTGTCCACGTGGGTGTTGTTCACAATTGTGTCAGCGAAATGCTTTTCAATGGGAACCTTTCTACAGTACATAAGACTGTACTGGACCGTCGTGACCTGTGTGTGATACTACTGTACAGTACAGTATAATTTTGAATCCGGTACAGTACTGTATGCTAACGACAGTAGACTGTACACTGTAGGGACCTGATGTTAACCAGTTGCTAGAACTAGAAGAGAGTCTACTTTTTCTACTTAGAGAGTATGGTCTGTTTTACATCTCATTTCTTAAGAAATGCAAAAGTTCATCAGATATCGGAGCTGATGAAAGCGGCCAGGTTCGTTTTTACACTTTATGCCGTACTGTAGTCATGAACTGGTCGATTTTACAATCCTGTGAACATGATTATTCGAGTTACAGGACTGGAGTCCCTAGCATGCTTTTGTTTACAGTACTTCCTTTCAGGCGTACTGTACGGTACAGTCGATAGTACAGTATGGCGTGGTACTGTACACTGTACAGTATGTGGCAGTCATTGGTAGATCTCAGATCGGTGCAGATCGATTTGGTCCGGTTCGGTTCAATACCTTTATGATCTATATACAGTACAGTACAGTACTCATTGGGCAATGGCCACGTTTTTACGATCCTGTTACTGTACTGTACAACATAACATTACTGTATTGTGTTCCGTGCAAGTGATACGGTAGATTGTACAGTATAGCACATTATAATGAACACTGTACATCACTGTACTGTATGCTACAGTGTACAGTTACAACTCTACAGTGTACAGTACAAAATGGATGGTGAAAATGCGCACGACGCGCGTGGATTACTGTACTGTACATACAGTACTGTAATGTACTGCACCATACAGTACACAAACAGTTTAAATTCTTACCCAACAGCCAAACTGGTTCTTTTCGTTCCGTGCCATTTCACTTTCAACATGGTGAGTAAGATCAATGTAGTTCATCCATAGGCTATTGCTGCCATCGGTTACTTCTGTTGAACATTTTTATCATAAATGACTCTTATCACGGTTATTTTAACTTCCTATCGCTATTTGAAACCAATAAACTTGCTACTGAAGAACGAATTTGCCACGGACAGGCATCCGTTCACTTTGTCGTTGTGATCGTTAAAATGCTGACTTTTGCACCTTTGCCTTTGAATAGGTTAACGTACCCAAGGTTCGTAGGACTTATTGTAAAAAAGCCAAAAGGCATACCGTCCATAAAGTTACCCAATATAAAGCTGGAAAAGCTTCTGTTCATCCACAAGGTTAGTTGATATCAACACAAATTGGCAATGTCTGTACAATGGGAAAGTAGGTAATTGATTCGATCGATGATCGCTTGAAATCAATACAGTACTGCACCAACAAACTCAGAATAGCTTAGGTTGCTATACAGTCCTTGTGGAAGAATTTTGTAATTTGCAAAGATTTCTTTTCGCACGACTGTCGTGATAGGAACCTAGTGATCTTGATATATTGACAATGACATAGTACAACAATTTCTAAGTTTTGTGGATATGATCATGATTAGCTTGATCGTTTTTATGAATACAGTAGATAGATACTCAATACTAGCGATATCTCACACCAGTACCCTATTCAACAACCTATAGAATGATACTATATTTTGCTGGTGGGGCTTATAATTCAGTTTTCCTTGTACTTTTTAAATTGAGCAATAGAATTTTGTACTTTTATTCAAATTTTAAACTGAACGGGACACAACGTCGAGACTATGTACTATGATGAAAACTTTACCAGTTCTGCTACTGAATTATGCAGAGATGATAAACTTGAATTCTGATATTATTGGTGTGTGCAAATTAGCACAAATGCAAAAGCACAAGTGTCCCTAATATAAATTGATTTAAAGATGCATTCTCCATGATGAATACTAGTATAAGCCTCTGGATGTGTTAAATTGTCTTCACCAATGCACATTACCAGCATCTCCTGTTGTATCTTGGATAACACGTTGTTACTATCAAATCTTGAACAAATACTTAGGGAAACGTCGGTATGATCGAAAACAAAGAGGTTATGGAGGCCAAACGAAGCCTATCTTTCACAAAAAGGTACCAAGTTGTTGTGTTAAACCAAAGTGAATTTAATCTCATACAAAAATCCCTTATATTCAGTTTCATTAAATACAATGCGATGTGAATTTCGTATTGATACCTAACGTATGATATCAAATAACATTCGGATTCCTATCTGTTCATTAGGCAAAAACCACGAAAAAGATTGTTTTACGGTTAGAATGTACAGAAACTAAGGCGCGTAAGATGATGGCATTGAAACGATGCAAACATTTCGAACTTGGTGGTGATAAGAAGAGAAAGGTACTGTATATGTATTATTTTTTGACTTGTAACAAATACAGCGAAGTGCATTTCAATTAGATACTTTGCTACGTTTGCTAGTCGAGATAACAGAATCGTTTATTGCCAATGCCATAGAATAAATGTTGAATGATTTATTGATTGTACATTACGTATCTCGGTAATAACACTGAAACAGTATACTTTTCAAAACGATGCAAGTTATTATATATATATATACAGTTTAGCAAGCATTTGATTCAACTCGCTAATATAATATATATTGCCTTAATAGGTAATCTTATTATCATTACTTTCTTATTACAGGGACAAATGATCCAGTTTTAATTACCAACTGTACTGTACCTCGTATGGTTACGTCTTGTAATAATCATTTGTACTTTCAAAATAAATAAAACGAAATTGTTTTAAATCTAGGCTATTGAGCTACTACATGGATCTAGGTTTCGGTATTAGTGTAGTGTGTCTACTATATGCTCGTATAAATTATGTTATGACAACTATTCGCTGCCACATGTGCGTTTATACAGTAGATGTATAAGAACAAAACAGTGGATCTTGGCTTGTTAAATTAAATCAATGATGGACCTTAGTATAGCTAAAAAGACAAATTTGATTTCAACACTGTAGAATAAAACTGCATATGAGAAAGAATGAGCTGCACCAGTAGCAGTTTTTAAAAATTAACGGTTTCGTCATATTTTAAATACATTACACTTTTAAAATTTGCCACAGGTGTATTTGCACCTGTACAACACAAAACGATATAAACTACTACAACGACAGTATTTCTTGCCACAACCAGCAGTGTCATCACGCCTGACGGGCTAGAGTATCTCTGATATTCTTATCTAGCTCACGGATTATTTTATCGTCTACTGTATATGCCCCAGCGCTCATTAAAGTATCTCGTTCTTCAATTAGTCTGGCAATCTGCTGTTCTAATTCTTCCTGGTTGACTTCAGCGGCGATAGCTTGTTTCTTTTGTTTTTCCTTTAATTCAGTTGATAATTCCTGGGTCTTGTGGCCTGTCTGCCGAATTGATGTAGCCAGGCTGCAAGTATTGAAATAGATCATCATTTACAGATAAATACAATATTCTCTGAGGTCTTGAATCAGTACGCTGAAGCAAGGTTGGTTACAGACCAAAAATTAGCAGTAATATCTAAATTTAGAATCCATTGCTCTACAGCAGAACGGATTCAATCTACTATTTCACCCATCAATACGAGTTGATACTATTGCGTTGATAAGTTTAGTTACCTTTTAATCTCCTCTTTTAATGTTTCCAACTCATTTTTATCATTTTTCATTACTCCCTTTTCTTCTTGCGCTAAATAGCGCAATCGTAAATGTTCTAACTCTCTGGCTTGTTTCTGCAGTCTAGTCTTTTCATTTACACGTTCACGTTCTCTCAACCGCGCTAATTCTTTCAATGCTTCACTCCATTGTTCTTTGTAATGTTGCTTCGATTTTATAGTAGCATCCAGCTTTCGTTGTAGCTCAACCTAAGCAATCGTAACAAAATAGTAACTCGTTAGGATTATATTCTAAGAATAATGGACTTTAACGATAGAAAAAATGACAAATTATCCAATAAATTTCAAACCTTTTCCAATGTTAACATGTTAATATCAGCTCTGAGCTGTGCCTCAGGTTTACTATTTTGTTGATTCTTATACTTATCAAAATCTGATTCCCTTTCTCTATATCGATTCTCAGCTTCTTTCAACTGCAAAATTCCGGGAGAGGATAAATAAATTTGTTATGACTGGATTCATTTCCGAATAAAAAATCTCAGTAGGATTAATAGCAAATAAAATAAACAAGAGCTACTAACATCGGCGAATAACTTTTGTTTTTGCTCTTCTAAATCAAGAACCTTAGCCCTAAAAGGATAGAATTAAAATTGATTACTAATTTATCATAGATGGCATTACAAATGCTGATCAATGTAATGTATACCTTTCCAATGTAACTCGATGTTCACAATCTTCTTGGAATCTTCTAGATGCTTCGTTCATTTCATTCAGTTTTAACTGTAATTCCCTTTGGATTTCATCTCGTAAACGACTCAGTTCATTCTCTCCTAAGGTTAGCTGTCTCTCACGTTTTTCTAAGTCAGCAATAGAGGTCTTAAGTTTATCCGTCAACTTGGTATATTCATCAACCTGAGAGGTAAAGAATAAACGCAGATTTACTAACAATTGCTATTATAAAAATCTATAAAGAATCCACTTCGAAATTCACCTTCTTTCTAACTAGAATCTCTCGTTCACTGTCTCTCTGTTTCCACTCTTGGGCCATCAGTCTCATGTATTCCTCTTCCTTCTTTTTTAACTGTGTGAAACAGGATAAGCATATTTGGCAATTCTGTTTTTAATTGGATAGCAAAATTTATTGTTAGTAACCTCAGCGAGAAATAAGTCCTTTTGTTTTTCTTTCCAAATTTCCAGTTCTAACGCTGCCTGGTATTGTGGCGTTTCACGGTAGTGCTTTTCAAATTGATCAACATCAGAATGATTGTACGTATCAGTTTGGTTATGGGCGTTTGCTGCAATTGAAGGTACATCGGATGACTAAACAAAAAGGATGAATGTCAGCAATGATACAATAGCATATAAGAGCTAATAAGAAATGAATGCAAATAAACTTACACGTGATGCAGTCGTATCAGGTTTTAAAACTTCGCCTAAATCGTCCAGTTCTAGTATGATATCTAAATTACCAATTCTTTTCGATCTAGGAGTAGGTCAATCATGTAACATAACACATAAATGTCGAATTGCTACTATTCTAAACTCAAGAAATCATGAATCTGTAAACGACACGAAATTTACGAAATTGGGATCTAGCATGATCTAATAGAGATAATAACTTACTCTGATGAGGAAGTGATGTGCGTTGTCCGCTTAACACTTTGCTTATAACCTACGGACCCAGTGCTAAGCTGTGAATACAGATTATGTACATAAACAGGTAAAACCCATGTTAACAACCTTCTCGAAATAGTGACAAATGAATGAATCCAAAATCAATGAAACGACTAACGGAAACAAGATCTTACAGAAATCTTTTGCTTATCACATTGTAATACTTCAGCTAGTGAAATTTGAGCTAGACCCATCAATACATCATTGCTGACTTTATCACGATGCCACACTTCAACCATTAAGGGCGTACTAAATTATTAAAAATGTTTAATTACTTATCATACCGACGATGATTTTTATATTTACAAAAATAATATCCACTATCATCTGACTGAACAAAACTTACTTGGTTGTAGTATCGCGCAACATTTTAGGCGTACAAGCGAAATTAAAGGTGCAATGAGAGTTAGGAAGTCTAGCTTCCATATTACGAGTGATTTCAATCGGTGGAGCTGTAATAATCGGAGAGCTACTCCCAAAATATGGATACGTATATCTATCAAAACAAAAGCAATCATTAATATATATCATAAATACAGTACAGTATGTCATAATTCTAACAATGTGCTTATACCTCAAAAAGCAGTTACAATAAAAGCCGACATTTAAGTTTCGAATTGTTCTAAGGTCGATTGTAAATCGATAATGATGTTGCCCTTGCTCTATTCTGGCAGCTATTGCTTGATATTGATTAGAACCAGTGAGTACAGACGTTGTCGCCTTTGCATTATTTTCATCTAGATATTGATTAACGGCTGTTGATACTGGCTCTGCAGGTTTTCCTATTTCCTACATGATATTTTTTAAAGTAGATAATTGATTTTTTTAATCAAATTCTTATTATTAATTAACAATTCTTGATATTTAAATTTGATTACCTCCTGATTTAAAATATCTTTTCCAGCATTAGGGTTACTATCGTAAGTACTATGAGGCTTTTCACCCAATTTTTGACCCTCATCATCAAGTACCACTGTCTTTATATTTTCCTCTATCGATTTAATGGAGTATATGGGTTGGTTCTTTTCCTTCGCTTGGCCATCTTCTCTTTTTCCTTGATTTTCCCGATCAACAGTCATTTCGTTCGATTTGCTTTTGCTAGCTTGAGTTTCTGTTGACTGTGACAACCTTCTTAAAGTGATGGTAACACTGACTGCAGGTGCTACTGCATCAGAGTCCCAGGGTGTCAACTGATTTGGCATAAGTAAGTGGAACATTCCATCTACTGCGGTTGATCCTAACTTTTGCAATAATCCTTGAGTGGGAACTTGAGCAACACCAAGGACTTGTTGACCACAACAAAGATCGATCTGCAATAGATTAATAACGATTTGTTAAATCTGCCTACTAGTAATTTGTAAATTTTACCTTGAGGATTTAAATAGAGACGAATAAAAAATTTTAATTTATTATACCTCAATGGCCGGATTACGACTAAAGTAATTTATTAAGTACTCGGGATTACTTCGTAGTCGAACCGATGCTCGTTCTGGTTTAAATTCAGGATTCAGTAGATCGTAAAAATACATATTTGTAATTTCGTTATCGAAAATATAGTATCGAAAATAGTATCCAGCAACGGAAGGATTCTTTTCTGACAATCGTGCTGATGATGGGATTAGCTAAGAAATAGAGAATACTGTATGGTTAAAAATGATAGTCATAATATATGTATATTTACCAGTGTAAATCTTGGATTTTATTACTTATCATAATGCAGCAATAACCTGTATTAAATTTTTTCCATATAGTATAGATAAGGATAGCAAAAAATGATCTGCTGCCCTCTTATTAGGCCCAATTTGGAAAAAGAATCCTTCGCTATCTTCTACTAAGACCGGATTGATCTTTGTATGAAATTCGTCTTCGGATGCACTTGACAACTCGCTACCTGATTTATGTGCTAGTAAAATATAGTACAATAACGCTCTTGATGCCAGTCTATTGCACGGTTTATAATTCACAAATAAAGATGTGTACTGTACACTACGTAATATTGCATGTAGTCAATCGACTTATGATTATAGCATGCTTACGTTTTTGATTTTTATGCAAGTATTTAGGCAAAGGTTGAGCAGTAAAATTATTTTCGTTATCTTCATTAGCTTCACTTTCTAAGGTCATCATTACTTGCAATTCCGGTTTTCTCTTTTTATAATTGCCGGACGTACTGAGTAAAGGATACCAAATTGCCTTCTAAATCGTATCAGGATTGATTTGATTTTAAGGATAAATACCATGCAAATTAAGAATTAAAAGTCATCAAAAGGTTATTTATTTGTTATCTCACTTGTGGCTTTTTCTGCGCCATTCTTAAATCTAACATGATATAGCCAGCAACTTCTCGTGTACCAATACTTAAGTCTTCAACAATGCACTAACAATTGCATGATATTAGCGTCAAGAAGAATTCACAATCAATCAGATACAAAGCTATATTGTATAATATATGATAACTATTAAGTAATAAACTAGTGTTTGCCTTTATATAATTGGGAATGCATGATATCACTACACTTGTACCTGTAGTTTAATTGGTGTCCTTTGCATACGGTGTTGGTGTAATGCCTTCTTGTCCATTTCCCATGCTAGTTCAGTCCCAAAGAATGGCGAGCTAGTATGCCCGACAGGATCCGTACTCATAGATTCACCATCAAACTTAGTTTCTACCGTGAGCTGATGATTTTGCAATCTTGGAAAGTATCGACCTTTCAAATTACAACCATTTTACTTATTTATGATCTCAAGTAAGTGTTCGTGTGAAATATAAAAACTTTTAAAGATGACATTATGCATCATGCGATAGCTAATGACAATATTAATCGCAAGTGCACACGATCTACAGGTTTGATCGCATTCATCTAAGCAGTTAGTGTAACAATCGATGAGAGGAAATAAACGTTATCCCATCACATATATTACGTACGTATTATTATAGCGTAGGCTGTAACAATAAATCTAGGTTAATTCATTAAAAATCAAGGAACTGACTAAAATTATATTGTAATTATAAGGTGGCGAAATCCCTTTGACGGTTGTAAAATGAATCCGTAAACTGAAACGATATTGCTTAAATGCACAGTACTAGTATTCATCGAATACCTTAATCGTTCTATTACTCGTATAAATGGTAAATGTAATAGCACTCAAACATATCATCAAGAACCTAAATTATAGCATTGTGAGATCTCAAGAATTGTTCATTCCATCATTTATCAACAGTTGATTGTCTCGCTACTTGTATCCATCATTACCTCCAATTTTCACTTTAATCGACAGTTGTTGTATAGTAAGTAGCCTACATGGAATGCAATCTATCAGAGACTGGGTGGCATTTGTACAGTACAGTATGATAGTAGTTGATCTTGTTATTACCAGTATCTCCAATTTGAATTTGAATTTGAATTGATCGTTTATGCACGTAGTCTACATGAAAATGCAATCTATCAGGATTACATGTCTATACGATGACTTTGCATTTGGTATCCGAGACTGGAAGCAACATTTGTAACCGTTAATTAAACTTGTTATTATTATCAGTATCTCCAATTTGAATTTAAATTTGAATCGTTGGTTTATACACGTAGCCTACAAAGGTTGCAAATGTAAGAAGACTTTGCATCGGGTATCCGAGACTGTGCACCATTTGTAGTAGTTCAACTTGTTATTCAAATTATCCGTACCGCCAATTTAAAAATTGAATTTAAATCGATCGTTTATACAGGTAGTCTAGATGGGAATACAATCAATCAGCATTGCATGTATGATGACTTGGCATTTGGTATCTGAGATTGGGCGACATTTGTAGTGTGATAATTGCTATTATTGTAAAAGGAGAGCATTTGAGTGATAACGTTGAAATTTTACAAAGTGATAGGGAATCCATTGGAATTGTTTAGATAAGCGATGGATTTGTTGCTCGATACAAGTAAAGCAATATCACTCGATGGCAGTACCGTATTACACGGACAAGAAAAAATAATCGTTACTAATGCATAAGCCCTCAAAATTAAGGTAGTATAATACTAATATTGCACAATATTGGCCTTTTCAATTGAGTCCATCGATATTTCAAGAGGCTACTTGCACTATGTGTCTATTTCTATTGGCCAAATGATATATTTAGTCGTGAATCATCATAGTGGAGGTAGGGACTTGCATGATGGTCCATCGGACGAGCGAGTTCCGATTGACAGCAAGCTTGTGAATTCCAATCGGTGGCTACGGACAATGTTGGAAAAGTGGGATTCTGTATCTTGTGTTACACTAACAAATCATTCATCATCTATTTCATTCACCATCCATCAAGGATGATGAAAGTTATATAGGCTTACCTTCCAATATTGTGACGACAACTAAAAACTTCTGGGTGCCCGCCATGATTGCAATGGACTTGCCAACTAGCAGGTCAATGCTGTGAAAGACTGACACGACTTGGCGCTTCAGTTGCCTGACTCTTTATTACCGTACAGTACTGTACGCTACAGTGGAAGGGCATGGGCTACTACTGTAGACCGTACCGATACCTTTAGTCTGTATAGCATCCTAAACATAGCGTACAGTACATGCACACAGTATAGAAACTACAGAACTCGGCTGAAGGGAAACGGCAGTGAGTGTCAGTCACCGTACCGTACTGGTATCCGTCACCTACCAGACTGCGCTTGCAGGCCATAGTCAGAGGGTCTTCCATATTAAACCATCAATGTCTTAATTTCACGGTGTTATTTGCAGTCAAGGGGAAAAATCAGATGTTGAACGATGGAAATAACATAGTCTCTCTCTCTGTAGGGTCTTATGCAGTATTATAGCATTTGTAAGCAGTATCTAAAACATTTCTCGATTTTTCTGTACTCCCTTGGTCATGACACTATGCTAACGACTATTAGTCGGTCGATGGATTTGACATGGTTAGGCGATTGCACTTTGATACGTGATTAGCCTATCAATTTATTTCAATTAGTCTTAAAATGTACGAATTAGTTTGCTAATCGCTGATGAATTGCTATCGTTGTGGGATTGAGTCCTAATCTCAATGAAGACAGCATGCTTAGCTATACAGTAAAATGGCAACCTACCGTAAACACGACTAGACTAAAAAATTGGCGGTAAAATTAGAAATAGAGCGCTGGCATTTTGCTGCAATTGGTACGCGTGCGCATCGCTACCACAACACTGACTCAGCTCACATCACAAGTTATCAAGGTCTCTGCAACCCTAAACGATGAGGCTTGACTGTTTTGCTGCTCTCTCTATTTTAGTAGTTCCTTTGATCCAATACGTTTGGTCTCATGATGATGGATCATGTAGTTTTATACCGAGTGATTAGTGTATTTATACGCATCGATATAAACATACAAAATTTGAAATTTGTAGACGATTTATTAGACGCACCAGCCTAAAATAAACATAGTACCAAATTTTAAATTCACCAGCAATATCGATCTTGCCTGGGTGCTGCATCGAATAAATCTTGACCTAAATTAGATGGTTTCAGTATGAATCAATTCCGCCTTTAAGTTCTTAAAAGCCCTTCTTTCGTAGCTCTTGGTTTTAATCAAGATGTATCCATCGTCGATCAGTTTCACTGAGAAAGATGCATCCTACATATGCAAATCTAGACATGCACACACTGTAATTGTGCACAAAAGTAAGCACAATACAGTACAGCAGAATATTAATTTAGACACTCTCGCTGCGGCATCAACTACTTTTAAATATGCTGAGACGATTGAATTACGCTTGAAATGAATAGACCAAAATCTTTCATTTCCTAGTAGTTCGATTGGCCTCCATTAATCTTGACTTAAATCTGGAAAAGTGCATTCTCATAACTATTCAAATGTATTTGCAACATGTTCAAACAAACTGCATCTCAATTACAGAGCGAACTGTTACGAGAAGATAGATGAGCTATAAATCATCAAATGGATAAAATATCTTTACATCAAGAATATAAACACAGTTTAAGGATTTCCTTGAGTATCAATATAAAAGTAAAAGTCCATAATAAAAGAAAAACTACTGGTTAGGCTCTCAAATCCTCCATCTCGATAGCCTAGAATCACAATTAAGTTCAAAGTAGTCCTGACACCATGGACATTAATTAAGGTATCGATATGCATGTATCCTACGTTTAATCAGGACACGTCAACAACATTAAAAGTTGAAAAGGTCTATAAACTATAGATAAATTGTTTGTACATTTTATATGTAGTTTATAATATGTATATTGTCGGAATAATCCAGTTCATTTTTGTTGCATGAATCGAAAAAGAACTAGTAGGATAGTGAAATTGATCTCAATAATTTACTGTATTCACTTTAGATAATAATGATATATGTATACTGCACTGGTATATACAAAATGAATGTCTTGTATTAAATCAATTCTACATACAATAATAAAAATAAAAAATATACTGTATGTTAATAGCCGGCTTCGTATAATTCTTCAACTTGAGAAAGTAGTTTTAGCAATGCATCCGGACAGTACGGAAACAGATCCTTTTCTTTTAATCTTTCAATGGCTAAATTTAAGCGGATTAAAACCGCCATAGTTTTATCCAAAGTGTACTCGCAGTCTCTCGTACTACTAAAAGATTCAGATGAAGATATTGATGATATACTTTGGCTGTAAAGTTCTTCCAACGATGATATTGAAGATACGTCATCACCATTCTCAGTATCTTTTGAATAATTTTCAAATGATGATAGCAAACTTATGTCGTAATGATGCTTCACGTCATGAATTTCGTTCACTGACATTGCCTGGCTAAGATCTGTCTCATTATAATGATCCCCTCTTATCTATTGTTGTAGGTAAAGTATACAGCAGTTCGCTCACATTAATAGGATAATTATTTAATAGATCAACTTATAATTAGGAATGAAAGAGTACAGCTAAACTATCACTGTTTTATGAACTATCATACCGACCGTAAAGACATGTTCACTTACTTCAATATTAGAATGCTCGCTAACATTGATTGCCTCAATATCTGCGAGATGCTCGTTAGCAATTAGTGACGTGTCGGAAAGGCTATCATGAGCTTTACGAAAATTATCCCAGTCTTGAATTATGAATTTTAAATATTTTACGAAGCATTCTAGAAAATTAGTTTCATTGGATATCAACATATCCAAAAGCACTGTATGATCGTAATAAAAATATTTAATTAATAATATAAAGACCAAATCAGGTTGAAGTTGTGACATAAAGGTTTCTAAAGGAGCCAATGCTATAGCCAACCTACAAGAATAGAAGCATAATGAAAATTAATAAAGCGGTATTTGTTATTCCGAACTAGCCGATAGTTCTACAGTGAAGTTGAGTAGTTACCTACAACTACAAGAATTTGAGAAAATTTTCACGGCAGAATAAACATCCAGAAGCCATAAAATAATTTGAACTAAAGAATCGTCTTCATCAATAAAAGTATTGACCAAAGTTTTCGCTAGACCAGTTGTATCGTTGCAATTATCCTGACTAGTAGACATAGGATTACCAGTTGCGACAATATCATGAAAAACATGTAGATAGTATATGATGCTTTCTATGGACCGAAAAACTAAGTCTTCATCAGTTTGGTCTATAACAATATGATACCGTTTAAAAGCAGTTTTTATGAGCCAATATACTATGAATACACGGAATATAAACTTAAAGTAGTAACGAATTGTACCTGTAGATTTATTTACTTCACAGCTTAAAACGATCCGTAGACTTGCAAAAAGGCATAACATCAACTTCCGAAGCAGACTACTGCTACAAGCGTAATCATTCATAACTGACTTGCCAATTTTAGAACCTGCTTCATTACGTGCCGAGTGATAAAAGCCAGAAAACAACGAAATATTTTGCATAGCGATAATATACTTTGATGATAAATTTTCACGATTATCGACGATATCTTTTAAGCAATTTACCGTCAACTCTAGTAATACCAAATTGATGGTTTTCAATCTATTGGGTAAATTCAAATTATAAAAGGAAAAAATTTCGATAAATATATCTAGAGTCCTTCTCAGAATTAAATGATGAATAAAGTCTTTTTTTAGTATTTCCGGAATTTGAGAAAGTCTTATGTTTTCTAGAATTATGTCCATTTGCTGCGTTGAGGAATCATGCTTTCTAGATACTCGTCTTACGCATTCCATTACTAAATTAAGAAATGATACTGTATGCAATTCAATGTCTTGCTTGGCATTGCTGCTGCTGTGGAAAGATGTATCAGATAGCAGTAGGTTCATATCAACCAGCTTCAACATCAATTGCCAATTATCCATCACAAATGCAGTAGTACAGCCAGCAATAACTATGAATAACACAGTACAAAGCAGTATATGTAAGCGGACCATGCAACAATTTTACGATATCGAGGTCTACGATATAGAGCAAATGCTATACATTACATTGGATGTAGTTGTTGTCCGTAATAGCTTGAATGTTTCCTTCCTTACTACAGACCTCTCGGCAATTGTGGAGAACTTGTTTTAGGAAATCTAATGTTTGTGTGATCCTGGTAGTAGATGGAATTTGCAGGGTGACATCGAAGATCATTTGCAGGATTTGCTGAATAGCAGCCGTCGGGAACTGACATAATCCGGAGTATATTTTGTGTTTAAACAGAATTATAAAGGTTATAGCGTTATAATCAGAGAATATTTGCATACGTATTTACAATCCGCTTCGTTAAGTAGCTATAATTTCAGATGGTAAACACTATAATGCTGATGAATAGTTACATTTCTGTTTAAATCATTATACCTTACTGTACTATCATATACAGTATTTGATATTTACGACCACAACTAACATATCACTACAGACATCGTCGTAGACAGCTACTACAAGTGTATTCTTACTTTCTAATAAAAGTGTAAATTTAATGGTTCCATTATTAACTGTAATTCTCTTCTGATAATAGATTGTCCATTACCTTATAGCAAAAGATGGCATTAAGTATTGTTCGTGATGTGCTATATAACAGCAACTTGTTATCCGATTTGGAGTAATAATATTCCATCTAGATAAAGAGTACAAATAGACCATTCCGTTACATAATAGTGAATTATGACGACAATTGCATTGAAGCAAAGAAAATGATCTAAAAAGGAATTCATCTCTATAATACTATTTAAGGAATTACTGGTATGATTCAACTTACTAATTTAGGGATTAGTCCCTCGCTAATAACCTTATTGCATATACAAGTTAGATGATCCTCGGGGTGGGCAGCATGTTGAAATAGCTCGGTGATAGTTGATAATTTCGCAGATATATTAATCAATCTTTCTGAATCATCCTAAGATATAAAATCATGCTTTACTATCGATTAAAGATGAAAAAGATGTGTGATACAGTATGCGTATACTGTACTGTACTTTTAAATTAAAGTAACATCATTTGAAACAATTTCAATCAAATTTTTATTTTTTTGTAGCCCTGTACCGCTGTTCCAATAATACTGTAGCGTATATGTATTCTATTCTCTACCTGGATTGGTATAGGTAAGAGGAGTTTTGTAGTTTCCACTAAATTGAGATCCTGGGGTTTGTTGATAATTGCATAAGAAATATTGGAAAGAGTCTTAAGATAAGTTTGATCGTTGTCGTACATTGCCATGAACTTGTTTACCAAAATCGATATGTTAAGCAGTACGAATTTCTTATCATCATAGGGTGAGGTCTATGATTCTTATATACAGGATTGTAGCCCTAAATATGGATTATATAGAGATCTTGAAGCTCATAGAAGCATTTACCTAATAATTCTGCCGCTAATACACTTGCATGCCCAATCATTAATAATTATGCACAAGGGATTGCCGGAAGGAGGTTTACAAGTGCTCCTAAACCTTATGCTATAGTGTATAAATATAAGCGATCAACTCATGGTACAGTATGAAAACTGGTGTCTGATTTGATTTTTACTATGCCACTATCATGATATCATACACAGCGCATAAATATTCCCTTTCAACACTACTCGATCCGTATTTTAAGCTACTGTATGGAACAGTATATTAAAATTATCGTCGATCCAATCCATCGCTTGTATTTACAGTTAATCCATTTGAATATTATTCCTCGCCACTCTGCAGAAAGCTGGCAAGTGCTGCAAACATAATATTGCAAAAGGTGGCTTGTTAATATTACTGGATATAGATTGAATGCAGTACGGTGTACGGTAAAGAACAGAGAAATAGCAGGATGACAGGCAAGTTCGATGATTTTTCTTGCAACAGATTCGATTATATTAATACTTAAATTAGATCCTTGTATTAGCTGAAGATCGATGAGACTAAAGGCTCTATACTGTTGCATGGCGGTATAAGCTGATCAATACTGCAAGCTTAACTTAAATTTTGCAAAAGTGACTTGTAAATATTACCTGATATACTGGTAGATTTGATGCGATACAGTACACGATAGAGGTGCAGACAAATAGCGGCATAATATGGTCCATTGGATGGCTTTAACCCTGGCATACGAATGCGTTTCTCGACATCCAATAACGTAACAGATAATTAGATATTGGCTAAAAGATGATGAGACGAAGGGATTTATACAAACACTACTACTGTAGTTACTGCTTGGTTATGAAAGCCTTTATGGTGGTTAAAACTACAACATTATTGCTGCATCATTTATTACGTTATCAATTTGCACGCAATCCGCCATGTACTCTAAACCATGGTGTAGGTATAGAGCTATCAGCTAACATCGAAGAGTTGCTGCAAAGCCATGAAAGTTCATATTATGTGCAAAGTGCAATGTAATGCATAACTTGACTTATTATATTGTTAATTACCATGCAGTATGAGCTATGGTATAGCTACTGAGCTGTTCAATTGATACAATCCTACTATCTGTAGAGGGCTGTTCTTGCTGACCCAAATTATAGTTGGTGCCTGAAGTTTCTACCCTCTATCACAAATACTTACCTTGTACTCGCATATTTTATTGTTATACACAGACCAAGAAAGGAAACCAAAAGTTGGAGTAGGCGTTGTGGTCACAAATCCTAAATATCCAAATTGTGTGTTGGTTGGTAAAAGAAAAGGTAGCTACGGCGATGGGCATTATGCCTTACCAGGAGGACATTTGGAATTCGGGTAAATTATATTAGCAGTGCAGTACACCACAAGAATTTTTTCCATACAAACACAGTGATGAACGATGTCTAACTATTGCTTTAAGCAAACTTGTAATATAAGTAAAATTCGATTTTGTCTGCAGGGAATCTTTTATTGCTTGTGCAAAGAGGGAGTTGCTGGAAGAAACTGATTTAGAGTTACAAAATTGTACCATCGAAACTACCGTGAATGTGGTCGACCTAGAAAATAACAGTCATTTTGTTGTAATCCTAGTCAAAGGATGTGTTGATGAAGATAGCCAAGTCAAATTAATGGAACCACACCGTTGTGAAGGTAATTGAGTTCATTAATATCATCTGCAACTGCTAATGCTGTAATTCGTATCTTTCGGGTAGAAATAAGGGACTAAGAAGAGTATTAGCAGGCTCTAATTTTGATTTTCTCTGATAAGATTATCAGATATTCCAATTTATCTATTCCTATCGACACTGTAGTCATCCTATGTACTGTATTTTCATTACTGATTAATACGTATAAAGTATTTCCTAATTGCTCCCATTTTTTTATAGGATGGCAATGGAACAGTTGGGATAACTTTCCTCAACCTTCCTTTATACCTATTAAAATTGCGAAGGAACATGGCTATCATCCTTTTAAAAATACCAAAGGCTTAGAATAACGGAATTGGATTATTACTGTACTACACTTACTGTCTGTCTGCATTATAGTCTGTACAAGACCACTCTTGTCAATAACTTTATAGATCTGTGTTGTTTGAACACTTTGTATTCATAGTAGAAATACTAAAGATCGATCTTAAATTATGTGTACTTATCTGCACTATGTGAATTTTCGAAACTTTTTAATAAAGATCTATATTTAGACGATTCCGACACGGATAGTGAACTTAAGCTTACTAATCGTCTTGAAGAACCGTAAATTGTACTACTTATAGTGAATACTGTGCATAAATAAGAAGAACTATTACAGTCTATCAGGCATACTAGAGTTTTTACCAATATTCATTTATTGATGTTTATAAAATTGAAGCATTTGATATTACAGTAAACGAAGTCGTTAAATCATCATTTCATAGTATTCATACAATTCCTACGTTTATAGCATGCGAGTAGATCAAATAGTACTATTATGGCCTATTTCAGTCTAGTGCAACTTTAAATTAGTATCCTATAAGAGCAAACATGCCAGCATCTTTCTGTCTTTCTTTGCAGATCATAGCTAGTCTTCAGATTAATTATAGACACAGAATATAATCATTTAATACCGTACATTGGTGAAAGTTAAATCAGATACATAGTTAGGCATTACTAATCTTTCCATTTCCTTAAATTGATGCGAGGGATAGTATTGCAATCAACAAAAGCATTGCCGGTTGTATTATAATCGCGGAATACGTCTTCCTGTATCCGAGTTATACCATCACTGTTGTCGCAAATAACTCTTGCTAACGAAGATTGCTTTATCTGCCTTAATTGTTGAGAAGTGAAAACTCCTGGTTTTTCATACCAAAATCGATCACCATCTCGAATTTTAATAAATTGCTTTGCAATAATGCAGGCAAATGTTGGTCCCATTACACCTTTACGAATGTTCTTTTCACTAACACCACCTACCCATAAGTCAATATCATTTGGATGATCATATACCTGAGCTAGTTTAGCAATAGTTTTACGATCAATTTCACCAGATAATTGTGAGAATCTCCTTGCTTTTCTTAATCCACATCGCTTTCTCCAGGTATTATAACTAGGCAGACCAAAATCTCGGCCACGTTGGATATTTAATGAAGCTAAATCCATTGCCATTTGATGATCTACTTCAAAGAGATGATCCGTTACTTCCTTAGAGACCAAACGACTTGGCGACTTTAGTTTTCCGTATTTACCAGTTATGCCTCTTAAAATGGGATCAATTCCACCTTCGTTGAGAATTCGATGTGGTGCAAAAAAAGCATCTTTCAAACGGATACTTCCTTGTGGTATTGGCTGGTAATTGCTATCTAAACGATGCAGTACTGGATTGATAAGTGTATGTCCAATGCGGAAAGCTGCAGCTGCAAAAGAAGCCATTATTGAAGGATCCACTCGTTTCTTATAACCGGAATAATCTGGTATCAACGTAGGAAAGGTAACTCCTAGCAATTTTGGAAGATAGTGGTAGAAAATAACGTGTTGATTTTGAGCGATGACAATCTTGCGAGTTTCCTGATACACTCGATCAGAGTTCCACCTTGGATTGATTCTTGCCAATCTCTTAGCAATACGGTTGTGCTCTCGAACCCAAATGGTATGGATTGCTGTCAGACCTATCTGAACATTAGCTCTTTTATCGCCTGCTAAAAAGCATGGCTTCAGGATATCGCTAGGTTGGCACTCTGTTTGCCCTTTTTTAGCAAATGGCAATAGAAATTTACCACGACTGACGCGTTTACCTACCTTTAATAGGCCTTTCGATCGACGCTTACGCAATAAATTGGATTCCTTTTTCGATGATCCATAGACATTGGACGAATCAATAAATGCTGTAATACCATTTATTTGCTCTCGTGGCCGAGCAGATCCGTAGACAATACTTGTTAATCCTGTACCACAAGCAGCAGCTGCGCGTGTAAATTGTAAGCATTTCTCGCAAGAAAATTTACTATCTTGCTTGCTGACAGGTATAGGAAAGCAATGGCTATATTTCTTACAACTTTGACTACAAATTTTTTCAATTTTTTTATCTACGGTAACTGTTAAAGTTAGATCATGGTCAATAAATTGACCCCAATGCATCATTAAATCGGTATATCTTGATGATAGTGTAATTTTTCTTGACGAAATTACGCGATTAGATACCAATCTTGGGCTTGGTAGATAGTTTGCATGGCTCCAACCAACAGGCTTGTTAATATAGTTAGCATATCTTGATGGTATAGCGCGGCGAAAAAGGGTTGGAGCTGCACCCCATGTTGTTTGACGGAAATTGTTACAGGTGCCGTCTTCAGTTCGATATAAACGATTAAACTTATTCTTGCGACATCTTTTAGGTTTCAAAACAGGCTTGCAACTAGAAACTTTGGACAGTATTTGCTCGTGAATTGGAGTCGATGAGCGTACACTAATAGTACTAAAATTAGCACTACTGCTTTTTTCGTCTTCATGACGCAGCCGTTTCAACAGAAATTCATAAAATTTTTCAGGTGAATTGGCAACTAATTCCCTCTTTTTTCTTGGATATGGAATTCCATTTGCATTGATGAAACAGCAACGATAATCATAAATGTGATAGTTTTTGATTAAACTGTATGCTTTGCAGATCCGTATAACTCTGTAAATCGTAACAACAAAGAATAGAAGGAGAAATTCTTTAAAATAATTCTATTTCAATACAATATTAGAGTTAGGTTAGTGCGAGTTTTTTAAGAAAAATTATGCAATACCCTAATGCAGATTTCGTTAATTTGTTAACGAATTTTGTATACTTACTCAAGATTTTGAAGCGATTGATTGCTACATGGACATCGACATCGAGGTTGCGATAACTGCACATCAGTAGCTATAACATTGGCAAAAATGAATGATAGTGCGAGAAATTTTAACATTATTTGAAATTTCTTCATGGCTGAAAATCTTCCTGCGGATTGTATAGCGCTATAACAAATTAGGAGCTGATTAAGGTAGCTGCTTTTATACCTTTGACCAACACCATCGTCAACGTCAAATTAGCAGCGAGTTATGTCCCAAAAATGCGTAACACCATTTGGAATGCCCAAATTAAAGCGTGATCTAATTAAGAAAACAAACATTTACTCTCATGACTAGCGTGATTAATTAACCAATTTAACACTACAGTTAGTTCATTGATTGATGGGATCAGTGATATTTTCTTCTTACCCTATGTACTCCTTCAAACTAGTGCAATAGAGCCAAGAGATCTGCGGGCAGTCAAAATTCTCATACTGTTAATGGTAGGGTATGTCGCAAATTTACAGTATATAGAAAAAATTGGGAAAGCGATTCCGTATTAAACATGGCATGAAAATAGAAAGAACTAGTTTTATAACGATATACGTTGGTAGAAATGCCGTGCATTGCACGAATACTTATGGCTCCAAGATTAGGATATATTAGATTAAACGATGGTTATAGGGTCAATCTCTGTCTTCCTAATAAGACAAATTGTCGGATAAGGCGATATCCTGAGAAAATTTTTCATTTCTAATATTTACTTTACAGTCGATAGCAGCTCATAGCACGATATTCATTGATTCAATTCTCATATGTTAACAGTGAAACTCCATCTCAGGGAAGGAATTGAAGGATCAAATTTATTTTTGAAACCTACTCAGTGCGCTGTCTGTAATAACTACCGCACGCCAAATAAACTTCAGATGTCGGGCTTCTAGACGAGCTGCGCATAGTGTACGCGTAGACGGCCATTGCGCCGAGCTAATAGCATCAAAATAAACTACTCTGCTACTTCATAAAAATGCCGAAGAAAGCAAATGAGAATGGCCCCTAAAATGAAAAGCTCTAAAAAATAACCTGAGTAGTCAATATTTTTAATTGCCTAATCTACCAAGGATGATTTCCTTAGCCCTCACTAGCTAAATTCTGATTGGATTTAGCTGTAGTAAAGGGTAATGGAGCATAGAATGGCAATACGCCTATCATGGCCAACAGATGAAATTTTATCATTTTGAATTGTGCATTGATTTTTACTATAGTAAGATGCTAGATGTAAAGCCATCGGTCAGGAACATAACGAATAGATTTTTAATTTGCCTGTAAAGGTTGCCCATTACTTTAAAAATAGACGTAAGTTACTGAGCATATCTTACGCTTGTTCATAAGCAAATTGAACGCAATGCCTGAATGTGAAGATTTCCATCTTATGATTTTAGTAAACTATGTCAGAATAAGACGATAATTATTTATATCGTTTTACGCAAAATACTGAACCTGTTAATACTATATCTTGGTTAATTTCTGGTATTTGTCAAAAAATTAAGCTGTAGTTTATATCGGCTTCTGGCATAAATAGGTAAAGGCTGCTCAAGAAATAGTCTCGGCACCATGATGAGTATCTTTAATCAGCTACATCATTTGGGTAGTAAAATTCAAATCTTTAAAAGAACTGAAATAATTCCACGTATGAAACTTTTTATCGTGTAGGCAATTCAAAAAATTGTAATTTCTCTCTTTAGATCTATTTTTATTCTACGAAGGGTTCGTACTTACGAATACTTTATCTAATAAAGCAATGCAAACTACAGTTACGAATAGTTTACATACAGTAGTGAGAGAATGCAGAGTTTACATAAATTTACTCTTGAATAACGACGCCATTATTTTTCCTTGAGTGTTGGCCCGTAATTTTCCTGTAGCATTCAGTTTTTGGAGTGCTATAGGTAATTTACATATATGTATAGCATCCATTAAAGGTTTACAGTACAGTTACAAGGTTTTGATTCTGTAGTAATTTCAAAAAGTGAAACAGGCTAAAACCGAGGATCGATAGAGTGTGTAATTGCAATTTGATTTCGTAAAGCTGTGGCGGAACATCCTCCTATATAAAAGATTTTGTGCCTTGCGTATTTTGCCTGAATGCTTATCCTTTTTTTATTATAAATAGCAACTACCAGCTTTCGAAATGGGAGATTAGAAAAGAAATTATAAGTCTAAATTATAATAATGGTTTACTTTGCTTAGTTTTTTAGGGAAAATGGGTTCACTTATGCCAAATCTGCTATCGTACAGTAGGTACTTCAATATAAGGATAGGAGTATACCGGATTTGCTGTAATGAAACACTCGCAGTTGAGGAGAACAACTGATGAGAGAACAAAATTTGTTGCAAAGAGTAAGATATCATCCATTAATTATGTATTCAATTCGGAAAATGTGCCGGTTTAGCATCATTCCTTCTCAGGTATATCTTGAAATCACGATTGGTTCTGTCTTAATAGCAAGTTACTTTGAATCAATACTGCTAACAACGTTTTTTCAAATCTGCTGTCATATACGAATTTCAATATAGTGAGAGAAAGAGTACATCGAATTTGTTATAATGAATGCTGGTTGGCCAGGCGGGTCCTCTACATTAATATAGCAATAAGAAAATAATAATTCCTATGACAGAATAAGATTGGTTGTAAGAAATAAAGATGTCTGCTGCTGATTATTACATCCGTGTTCAGATCTGGAAATGAAGTTAATTCAAGACAAATATGTTTCTTCTCGGGCACAATCTTGCAATTCATGTTTTAATCTGTGTTAATAGCAAGTTACTTGCAACATTATATCTAACAGTCAATATCAAGTAGAATTACATCACAATATAATTAATTTAGATACATTTTAAATAGACTGTGTTGCATAGCATAGCAGGCCATCATTACCTTTACAGATGAAATAAAGAATTGTATACAGGATTAAGTACGAACATCACTGTACAGCAAACTCTTGTAGTTATAGGAGGTAAACTATCCTCTTATTTGCAAAGGTAATATGATTCATGATGTGTAGTAATCTTTTGGACACATGGACGATTTGAAAGTATTTTAAATCTTTTAGACACATAGACGATTTTAAAGTATACTAAACGGATGAATAAAATTTGGTTATACTGTACGTCCATTGACAACCCATTTATCATACCTTTTATTTGCAAAGCTTGTATGAATGATGGATAAAGCAAACTTCTTGATGCTTCGGTGATTATTAAATATATAATAAGGATGTGTAGAGTATGGTTCAATATCTGCAATCAATTCATCATAACGTTTATTTGTAAAACCGGTATGAATAACGGTGACATAGTGCATACTTCTTGATACTTAAACGATTATAAATACGTCAACGATAACAAATGGATCGAGTTTGGTTGTACTTGTATATCTACAATCAATTCAGCATATTGAATTTGGCATGTAAAGCTTGGTTATGCATCTGCAACCAAATCACTTTCGGATTCTTCTTCATCGGAACTCATGTTATGCGTATCCAGTGCAGGGAGTAAACCATGTAACGGCTTTTGATTTACCATTGTAGGATCATCATCATAAGATGGAGCCATTGTTGCATTAGAGCACGATTTAGGATCTACCAGTGTCGGCCGATAATTTGCATTGGAGATGGAGCTAGTCTCAACATCGTCACTGCCAAGTTGCTTTTTGCTGGTTATTATCATTTCTAACAAAGACAATTCTTCAGTTTTTAACTTTTGTAATTGTGCTTTCAGTTTTATCTGAAGTTCGAGCAATAGTTTTTCCTCTTCTTTTAGCGTTTCAAGTAACGCTGTTTGTTCCATGGTTGATAGTTTTTATTTCAATAGTAAGATAGAAACTTCTAGCGTTTCCAGTTAATTATTGAGGCTATTCATTACCTAATCAGTACTTTAAACAATTATTGCTAATGATTTACACGGGGCTTAACAGCGACTAAAGCATAGAGGTAAATTTCTTCTACTTCTGTGGACTACTGCCAATCTGCCATTGACAATCGATAGTAATCCGCTGTTGTATCTAGTACTAGGCTTTATATGCCAGTGGCGTCCGTACTGTGCGTTGCATATACAGTACAGTATATAACATATACATACAGTAGACAGCCATGATAGGAGTACGGTATAAAAGAGCTAAATTGTTGTTCTAACAGTAGATCGCAGTGAAGAAATCTTGCTATTGCCAAGACTCTGACTCATGTTTCAGTATACTCTATTTGCTACCGATAATTAATAGACATACTGTAGTAGTAGCTATAAATCAAATCCACTTGTTACTTGTTAGCCCCACCGCACAGCAACTGCAAGTCACGTAAAACTCGAGGAGATTTTCAATCAATTGCAATTCCAATGGTGTATGCTCAAGCGATGATGGCAAACATTAGAACTTGTTTGTCATTACGAACATGTTTGCTTCGATTTGCGCCAGCTAACCAAGTCTTAGCCTTGAAAGTTAGAAGCTTTTCTTCTAGTAATGGCTGCTGTACTAAAAGAAGGCACCCTCAGGTTAGTTTACAAACATCCAATGGGTCTGCTGATAATTAATTTACAGTACTGCAAAGATGCTGCAGGACATTTTACTTGTCATACTCTGTATTATACTCTAATTTGCCACTTGTCTAATCTTTCTCTTACAACATCCGATTTCACAGTATGTACTGCATAGCCTGATAGCTCAATCTATATTGATAGGGATAGAATGCTGTAATGTAATGATTGTAATGATTAAAAACATTCACAGATTCTGCACTTTACTTATCGTCGTAGCTACATCTGTCGATGGCTTACCATCAATATTTGAGTTCCTATGTGAAATCTCTTGATATAACGTTAGCATGCCACAGATAATACAGTATTACATTGCAGTATCATGATACGATGCTTGATTTGCAACATGCTACAGTACTAATAACGATAAATCAGCCAGAATGAATAGTTTTATGCTAATACACAAAGTAACCTCTTATTTTTAAATGTTGATTAACGTAGGATTTACGAAGGTCACTTTCTTTATCCGTGAAATCTTGGCCCCTTCAAGCTACTCTATTAATGCGATCATGCTCAAGTTCTACGTAAGCTACAGTTGTTTACGTACTTTATCCTACAGCATTCGTATTTTGATGGTTTGGATTAGTTTCTACTCTAACGTAAATGGGCAATACGGCATCGCGTGATGAGAGTGTTTTACAGTGCTATATTTGCATCATGCTGAAAATAGAAATCGTACTTGTGCGTTGGCTGCTCGGTTTGCATTAGAATTTTACATGTTGAACGCCTATTTCTCTGAATGTAGCTAGTTCGTCCCTTAACCTTTCGTATCATCACAGAGTGCTATCTAGAAAGCAAGTGAAAAATCGACAGTACTTGCACGTCATAGTACAGCATGTAGGCTGCTAAATCTCGTATCTGGTTTATTGATACATCATGAAATTCGTTTTATGATATGTAGCTAGCGTTGCAGTCAGCGCCAGGCCCTAAGAATATTGTACGAATTATTACATTATCAATATCTTTAATATATTTATAGGTCCGAATTGGACGCTCTCCAATATAACAAAATTGCGGATGAAACTCTAGAGAATTTAACAGAATTTTTTGAAAACTTAAATGACCAAGAAATATTATCTGATGATTACGACGCCAGCCTCGCAGTAAGATAGAAAGATACTTTAAGATACAGATCGTTTGACAAAAAATCTAATACTTACATATCATTGTGTATACAATTTTCAAATAGTCAGGTGTTCTTACTATCCACTTAGGAGGTAAGTGTTATATACGATGGTTAGATGATAATTAATCAGCGATACCATCATTAATAATAGTTTACTGTGGTATGGTCTTAAAAATTCGGTACAATATGCTAACAGACGATGATAAGATTAGCACATTACTAATGGACGTGGATACTGTTCTAGACAACCTTGGAACTTATGTTATCAATAAGCAAGTTCCTAATAAGCAAATTTGGCTGTCTTCACCATTAAGGTGGGGTACTTTAATTATTCATTTACTATGTCACATTGACACAGCTAACCAGTGTTACGTTCAATTAACGATCTTTCTCATATATGTCGTGCACTGTTACAATAAAGTGGCCCAAAAAGATATGATTACCTCGATGGAAAATGGGTTTATTCTCGCAATAACGGGATATTACATGATTTACTATCTGAAGAACTAACTAAACTTTTGATGATGGATATTGACCTTAACCACCTAAAGGTTGTGTAATACAAATGAAAAATTACGTAATGTCTTCATGCTAATTATTTGCTATCGTATTACGAATGGTAGTATTGATGGTCACTACTGTATAGAGTATAACACAACAGAATAGGAAGATACAAAATATTGAAGATGGTCAATGAAATTCTCTACAGTTTTATGATTAGTAAATCCAACTTGTACATATCAATATGGCTAGTGTCACAGTATTTTTTGATCATTGCTGAAGATTATTTCAAGTACTATACACTATATCAAACGGTATTCAAGTGCCCACCACCAGTAGTTAAACTATGGCTTCATGCTTTGTACCATTGATGGTATTGTTATAATGTAAGTATATCGCATTATCTTACATATCTAACGAAATCAATTGAAATAATCAGTATTAGTACCCTAATTCAAGTCGAGTTTTTGACTATCTCTACTATTTCCTCAGATGAAACGGCTATCAATTGCTTTGCATCGTACGTAAAATCTTGAAATCGCAATATTATTTTTAATTAATACAATCACCTTTGAAAATCCTATTTATATCAAACTAATGTCCTCTATTTTTATCTAGCGCAACTATTGTATTTCTGTATATACGTCTATTGGCATAGATTAAAAATATGTAGTACATCTACTGCATATGTTCAATAAAGTGTATGATTAAATAACATTGCGAATCTAGGCTGACGTTAGCCGTCCGCGTCATAAATCATAGCGAGAAACTGCGCTCATTGACTTGACCACTTACGGATGGATACGTACATTAAGAAAATGACTTAAGTTGAGAAATTTGACATCATTTATTCAAAATTCTCCTACTAGCACTTTATAAATATATAGAAGAATTGGCAGGAGATTTAGCAGATAAGCAATCGCAATATAAATCAACAATTATTTCGTTTGTAGTTTCGAAAATAGTGCAGAGACATTTCATAATCCTGAAAAGAGTGTATCGTTCTTGCGCCAAGACGCTGAAGTTGTGGAATAACTTGTATATAATACATAGTATACATATGATACATACATTCCACATAAAATGATGTTTGTAAATGAGTACAATCGTATACAATATATTCATATACATCATGAATGATATCTTTTCATCTTATTAGAAATATTTAAATTTTGAATATATCTGAGATAAACACAGTATCATACATGCTTTAATGCAATACTTCGATAATTAGTACATGGGCATATTGTACACTGTACATGTGTATAATTGTATATGCATATTTCAGTAACACAAATATTCGTTCTACACAGTAATACCGTTGCATCAACGTTAATAATTACATTTGATTTGCAAATCAACAATTTAAAGATGTTTCGCTATCAATCCTTTTTAAATACTATCATAAAGGTAGTTAATGTAATAAAATTTTTATCAATAGTATGCAAGAGTCAACACTTAACGAGGTATAACAGGTACTAAAACGGTAGTTGCCAATAATTTGTAATTATTGTTAATGTAGCAAATCATTCTAATGTCTTCGAGTAGTGTCTTCTGTGATCCAGAATCTATCCAATATATGAATATTTAGAAATATTAGTACTGTAATCAAATTTATTTATGACGATTAAACAGTAGATGCATTGTGAATTTTAGAGCGACTTACATTAATTTTTAGCCGTCATAATGCTCGGGTGAGACGACATCGGGAATAGAAATAGTGATGTTATCATAGATGTTAGCACTAGTAAGCCGAAAAATCCGGACCAACCGAAAACTTTTATCGCGACGGCCCCATAATAATCAAATAGTACTGCAAAAAGATATCCAAATGCTTCTAATACAGCTATTAGAGTTCCACAATGTCTAAAGGTACAATAGAGAACAATAAATATGAATTTTTAGGCATAAAGTATATAGTAAGTTTATGATATGACCGAAACTGAACTAGTATTGCACTGTACAAGATATTGATATAAAATTTAGATTTCATACAATTAATTTTCAATAAATTTTAAGATCATAATTATGTAATTGTCATTTTTGTACAGGATCGTATATGAGAGCCGATACTCTTGTATTCAATAAGGACTATTAAGCATTTCAAAATCTTGCATTATAGTAAGATTTTATTGATTAGAACTAAGCGTTACCTTTGGCCAACATGTACCATCATGAAGACGCCAGTCGGAAGATGGAAGATTATTGCTAGGGCAAAGCCATACACGAACAGTATAAAAATAATATGAGATGACGTCAAGACAGGCAATAATCCTAAATTTGACGCAATATAGTGTTATAATCATGTCAGTGTATTGTGAATAAATATTTGGTTACAACTAAATTTAAAATTAGAAAGCTATGATAAAATAAATAAGATGTTAAGGGTCATTAGAACTCAATCATTTTCCTATATATTAACAAGCATTGGCAGATAGTAATAAGACAAAAATTTCGATTGCTTTCAAGTCAAAGTCGTTAAAAAGAATACTTTTGTACTAGATATGACATCGAGATTCATCAGTTGACATTCTATACATAAAGTAATCTACTGTACTGCTTTGCTACATTTACAGTACAGTATAATAGAAATATGGCATGGCTTGCTTTTGCAGAAATCTAGTTCGCATGCTTTACTTACTCCATATTAATACTAAACATGCCGTGCATATAAACATGCACCCATTGAGAAAAATAGTGATATTTTTCCTGCATAGTTTATCATATAAGAAACTGCCAAGCATGACGCCACAAATTGTTCCAATCTGAAAGATAGTTGAAGCATAGACCGCAAATCCCACTTCCAATTTCATATACAAATGCAGGAAAAGAGGTAAAAAACTTTGAAGTTCCATTAAAATAGTCGTCCCGGCAACATACATGGACATAAGCCAAATTACGCTATAAAAGTGTAACAGGAGTGAATGAAAAAAGTTAAATTACACGCAGTTAGGGTCAATTGTGTAGTAGTAGAATACTGTAAAGCTTAGAATATGACCTACGTATAATACTGTAGTTAGGACCTCGAAGTCTACTGCACTTAATTCGGTTAATGACTTATTTTAACTGAACATTGCAAATAATTACCGATCCTTGGCCATAGTTATTAGATCCCACTCAATTTCATTCTGCAAATCTACGTGTTCATCACCATCATCACCTTGGCTAGCCTTGCTCATCTATTACATATTATAAATGCAGTTTTAATGAAGCCATAGATAATATAGTAGTAATACAGTAGTAAGTATGATACAATACATACAGGACATCGTCTCAGTGATAATTATAATTGACTATCCTAAATTCAGCTAAGCAAACACACGATACGTAATACAGTTAAGTAGCTATGAAGGGGAATGACTTTGCCCTTTATGTGCTTTGTGCTTGTTTGCTAGATCGATTTCGATAACATAATCTAAATATACTGCTCCATATACTGCTAATAATTTTACAAGTTTATTACCTTGGTAGGATCTGGTAGTCCTAGCTGCTTAGGCGATCTCTTAACGAGGAGCAATGCCGAAGCGAATACCAGGATTAGAATCAGGCCCATTATAAAATCGATCTTTCTCCAATAAGTATGACGTCGTAATAATTCCGCAACAAGGAGACTGCTAACTAAACAACCGATCCGTACAGAAAAAGCTATCATACCATTTAGTTCACCATAGCGTTCAGGAGAAAACCATGTAGCCATCGTTTTAGCTACGGACGGCCAATTTGAAGAGATGAATAATTTATTTATGCACCAGCAGAATGTTAGAGTGGTAACGCTATTGCTTAATCCTATAAATATTGTAAATGCACTACTAATTCCAAGGGACAAGAGGAATACAAATCTGCCACTCAGTTTATCAACACTATATCCTGCAAGGCATTTGCCCAAGAAGTAAAAAAAATTTCCTGGAAGAAATTGCAAAATTGAATCGATTTTAATTCAATTTGTTAGATTCTTTTTGATGTATTAATTTAGGATTGTATGGATTACTAAATTATATATATTCTCCAAAAAATGAATTTACGAATTCATGACTGTAGTAGCTACGTGTACAGGAACGTAACAACGGCAAGTTTATAACTGTTTCTGGTATAGCAAATTGTGATTATCGGATTACAACTGCAAGCGTACGAATGTTGTAGGCTAAGCAGGAGAATAAGGTGTAAAAACGTACACGTATTGTGGACGCAATGGGTGCTACAGTACTCCATTTTGGTAATTTAGTATTTTTTTAAAGTAATTATAGCTAGCGTGGGTCCTGTGGAAATTTCTCGGTTTCTTTCATAGGGTTTGTAAAGAAGAATTATAATAAGATAATCGTAAAAAATGTATATAAAATCTATATCAACAACCATCGATTAACGCTATTTTGAGCGTCTTGCGGACGATAGCATCATAAATTTATACAGTTTCTCTAATGATCCATTGAAAATTTTGTAACGATAACAGTCAACAGAATTAAAGAACTTTAGGGAAATGCTGAACAGTGAGTGCTGCATTGTAGTCAATCATTGAGTGAAGGATTCAATGAACACAGCACAAATGCCATCTAAATGTTTAATTTAATGTAACAATGAAACAAGATGAAAGAAGATTTTATGGTATAGTATACGTAATTATATTAGTACTGTAATTCGGAAAGTAGAGCGGGCAAGTTGATGGATTCTGATCAAAGTGGGCGATAATTAAGACGTACATCTTCGTATATTCAACAACACTTCATCAAGTAATATACATTATAATATTTTGGTATGCTCATAGCATTATATTATACGAGATTACATAGAACACGGTCACATAGAATATGGACTTAGGTTTGTTTGATGATTAATTATTTGAATTATGCATATATAATTGCACATATTTAATCAGAGTAGAAAGATCTATTAATAAAATCGAAATGGAATACCTATTTGCGGTTCAAAGAGCTGAAAAAATATTATGAAACTGCTTTACTGTATGGGTCGATACCTCTGATCTGCAGTATTTTTCAACTTTAGAAAGCATACAATTTCAAAGTATGCAACTGTAATCGTACAGAGGTATTTTATTTGAGCATCGTATAACAATATACAGTACTCAGGATTAGATTCAATTCGAGTAATTAATTAATCTTATGTTGAATAGGAGGTAGAAGCTTAGGGCTGTCAATAACAAGTTGATTTTTGGAATGAAGTGAAAATTGATTTATATATATGCTTTATGTTATTCCATGATCAACATACGGACATGTTTATTTTAGCATCTACAGTACGACAATGATCGGTACTGCAAACAGGGAACAAGTTGATTATAAATATAATTATTACAGGAGGCCAAGATTAACTACTTCCATGTCTGATTGTCTGTATGCTTAAGACTAATATACAGTATGATTGGCAATTTATTTTGAAAACTTGAATTGATTTTACAGTACTTTAACTAGATTAATTTGGAAGGCAATATATGCAAGTTTGAATACGAAAGAGGTAAATATGAAGAAAGAAATGATCTCAATGGCCTGTTTGTATCCTGTACTTACCCCATGCTAATAGTGTACCAATTCCAACTTGATTCAATTTGGAAGCGACAAATGTTGGATCTTCTGCAACAGCAGGGAGTAGACTCTCTATACCTTGTCGTGCTGATTGAATCGTTACTATTCCTGAAATCAAACCATACCATACTTGGCGCTGATAGAATTTCAATTTCTGAACATTATTATCAGACTCCATAAGATGACCGTGGCATCTGTACTTTTACAAAGGATTTTTTTTTCAATGAATTCAATAATTTTAATTGACGAAGAGTACTGGTACACTGCTATTGAGCTTGCTCCATTTTATCCCTTCTGCATTCTCGACAGTACTCTCTATCCTGCAGGATTACAAACTATAACTACAAATTGGATTACAAGTCAAGAATTGAATACTTAGAGTAAAATTAGCAAATGGAACATAGTGGCGAAAATCTATTTGTCCCCTTCGTCGACGCCATTGAACCTCCTTGCTTTCCTTTCCTCTAAGAAATGACTAGGAGCGATTGACGTAAGTCACAGCCAACCGTTGTGACTGCGTACTGGGGTACGTGGTACTACGGTACGTCCATCCCGGGTACGTACACCCCTGGTACGTACAATACAGTACTGTACACACCGTACCGGAAAAGGTCTTTTGAGTACTGTGTCGCACGCCGGTGAAGTACAGAAACGTCAACATCATTAGCGGTCATCACTACTCACTACCAATTCACTAGTCACTGAGTAGAGCTAGTAGCAGCCAATCATGGACTACTACTGTGCACTGTACAGTACCAATGAGTTGGACATCTGTAGTCCATGAGCTAATATTAATTAATTAAAAGGTTATACGGCATGACTCGAAACCTGAGTTGACAGACGCGACAGACGTGCAAATGACTTCTTGTCTCGGTATTGTGTCAAACATGATGTGACAATTTACAGTCAATAGTATTGTAGTAAGCTGAAGGCGCATATTGTACTGTACAGTACCGTACAGTACAGTACAGTACTGTACTGTACAAATGTTAGTACTGCCCATACAGTACTGTACAGTAAATTACGTTCGCTACCCTGGTGTAGTCTACTGACAGACGCGACAGACGTGCAAATGACTTCGTGTCTCAACATTGTGTAACATTGATGTGACGATTTACAGTAAATAGTACTGTAGTAAGCTGAAAACGCATACACTACTGTACTGTACAGTACAGTACTATACTACAGTAAATTACGTTGGCTACCCTGGTGTGGTCTATTGTACTGCACACGGCACATGGTTTCATTCATCTCTCTCGATTGCACTAGACTCACTGAACAGTGCAGATCAAGGGTCTCTACACGTGGACACCACACACTAAATGGGGGAAATAGCGGGCCCTAGTGCACACCGAGTATCAAACAGACTGAAGCTATACTGAAATGATGATACTTTGCGTTTTCTACCAAAGTCTGCCACTGTGGCACAGAGGCTGTTGCCATCCATATTCAATTATTCATTATTAACTAATTATTATGAATTCATTCTATGTATGTTTATACATTAATTAATTTATACAGTATATCCTATTATTATAATAGGATGGTTATAGCATAGACAATCACTGTACGGTATAATAATACACTGTATGTCTGATCAATGCTCAAGGGCACGTCAGCAACTTCGTCTTCATTCAGCCTTGTATGACTGTGGCAGCGTCAGATGCACAACAGATTGAAGTCAATCAAGTTATCGCCGCCACAGTCAGTGTCATTTATTTTCTATTTTTATACTGTAGTAGTATTTGCCAAAGAAATCAAAATGGCGCCACAAACCGTCGAACCCTCGCTGCAATTCCATCAACGTTTATTAACGATCGGTCTAATAACCGGTGTCTTAGGAGTCAATCAAGGGCGTCTAGCAGTCGAGAATTCATTGGCAGCAATTTTAGAGGACAAAAACCTAGAGCTAGATCAAATAAGTATTGGCAAATTATTAGCTTGGGGTAAGTCAATGAGCAAATAAAATTCACTGATTGACTGACTGTTCAATTTGGACCCAGTACTTTTTCTCATCTTCTACTTGCATTACGCTTGCTTTTACTGAAGATGAAATTTCTATTTCCAACTGATTGAATCTACAACAGGATAGAGTACAATGGCAGCACAGTAGGTTTCATGCTACTCTGTCTGTCAAATTGAATGACTTGATGACTACATTAGCGTAGTAACGAAAGAGTGGAACCCTGCAATATACTCGTAGTCTACTTATTGTACTCAGCAGTAATGACTTGACATATTACACTCCGGATTCGTTCACTCTTTCACTGTATCAAAGTAATCAGCAAATATCCTGGAAATCAAGAATAATCCATGAATGATATGAATGTGTAATTTATTGAAAGAATTGCCTGTTTGGCCATTTCTCAAACTGTAGTCTAGGGATATCATACACTTAAGTGAAGCTAACTCGGTCAGTAGACTCTACTATCAATAGTCTTACTACTCATATCAGTTGGCAAATATTTGCCAATCTTCTATTTTTCTTGGAGGTTTGCTTAAAATGTCGCGGCATGCTTGCAAATGGAAAGATCAATTGATCGACAAATCACAATTATCATCCATTGCAGCCTTGAAACTTGAACACTTATCCTTTTATCTTGCCCTCATTACTTAATTATTAGATCTATTGAGCAGTTAATAGACGAAGTTCATACTGTACATACAGTAGTTACCAATGCCTGGAAGGTCAGAGTTATTTATAAACCTGCGGGTTTCCAAGCATTGGTGTTGTTACAGCGCTGAAACTTGAACAGCTTTCCTATGACGGTCGGATTGCTTATAATTTATTACATCTATTCAGCAGTTGATACGAATTTATTTCACTTTTATTATTAGTATCAAGTCGTAGGAATTCATTTATGATCTCTGTACTTCTTTTATATGTGCAATTATAATTTCCGTTGAGGATGTTAAATGAGATTACAAGTTCGCATAGTAGTTAATGGCCCAGAGGGTAATACAAGTTGACAGTTTATATAGAAATGCTGTTAGAGGCGATTATCACCATACTGTAGCTGTTGTATAATACAGTACTGTACAGTATGTTTGAAATTGAGTCAACTAATAACTATCAATAACGAAACTGCAACCATGACAGCATTTCTTATTGTTAGTAGTAATCCACCAACATCTAAAATCGAAATCGATCATAAACAGCCTAAGCATTTTCTACTTGTACGTTAATACAGATGCGGGTTCGCTAAAATTTCCACGTTGCTGAAGTACAGTAGGATACCTTGATCTTGGAGCGTTCTTGCGGCAATTTTAACGAGTTCAAATGAGACCTGGGCAATTAATACCGTACTGTTAACTGCTTTACATTAACCTATACAATAAATACTAAATACGTAATGATCAGGATTAACGATATACGATTTCAATATGCGTAATTGGAATACGAATAAGGGTAGTCATGTTTACTGTACAACTTGCTGATCTAAAAAAAACACTAGCGCTTGAAGAAATCCTAGCATAACCCAATACAATTCTCCTGTGGATGCATGGATATACCGGCAGGTATGTATGCAGCAGCATCTACCTATCCGAAAAGCGTACATCAATGCTTTATATATCTTACAATACCCTTTACAATGACTGTATCTAGAGTTCACTAGAATTCATCTATAATACTAAAATACACTTATGTTATGGCATTATACTCGTATGGGGTACGATTAATACTTGTGGTAAAACTATCTTCCTGTTCCACTTTCACTAAGGACTTTACAGCTGCGAACATTACCTTTTTTGCGTGTACAACAGAAAGAACAACCAATGAAATTTGTAGACTGTAGTGTTGAGGTTACATAGTCTTACATTAATTATTTCATACGCTATACGAGTATAGGCCATGTTGTAACTACTATACTCTACAATGCTAGAATACGGGTTAGTTATTACTAGATTGTATTCTTTAATTGTGTAATATCTATTCTTTTTCTATTGGAAATTATAATCGCCTAGTGAAGTAAGGAAGGTACCAATGAATGAGATTGCATAACTGTACTGTAGTTATATATAGTTTACTCGAATATACGTTTCGAGGGGTTTTTATTCTATTAATGACAATTAGACACTACAGTATACATTATTTATCAGATATTATATTCGCCTGTGCAGTAAGGAAGGTAGCAATGAATGAGATTGCGTAATCATACAGTAGCTATAACTCACTCGAATATACAATTTTGGGCGTTTTTATTTCATTAATAACAATTAGACACTACGGTATACATCAAGATAGTGCTTATATTTATCATTCCATTCCATTTGATAGATACTAATGCCAATGGAATATGCTTACGAGTATATATTAATGGAATAATTGATATTGTACAGAATAGACCTTTAAATGCGGTAGACTATGTGTATAATTACACTTACTTTATAAGTACAGTAGTCAATGCTGTATGATACAGAATTCGCATTAAATCATGTAATCATGGCACCCAACTAAGTGTGTTACTTCAATGATACCGTACTATACCTACTATGTAAAAATGTAAAATAAATCAGTAACATCAACTAATTACGAAATACCATGGTCAATCTTACTGATTTATGAATTACTCTGTAAAATTTCATTAACTAAAAACTAGTATGAAATCAGTACCCTTATAATTTTGAGTGCATTAATGTAGGTGAGCTACAACTCATATGTAAATCAAACTAAATTCATACTGATCTGATACATCATCCTCTTAAAAATATTTTTGTTAGTATATTTAGGACTACTAGTTAGTATAATAAGAAAAAAATACAACCTCTTAAGATGTGACTGTTCCGATATGTTGATAAAGCAGTGCATTATCCTAATGTTATATCCAATTTATATACGGCATGATCGCAAGATTAAGCATCTTATGAAATCGCAATATGGAACGAATTATATTACTTATACGAGTATTTATACAAAAATCATTATAAACACTTCGATTTAAACCATCCGTACGTAGTCTATGGCAGTATAACAAAGTTATGGGTTTACTGTAGTATACCTGCTTGAGCGACATTAAGCTATTAAATTACTACCGTATATTTTTACTTTTACGCTTAATATACTATTATTTAATTAAGTTTTGATCTCTGATTTAATATAGGAGCATTCTTAACCTTAATAATTTACTTTTCATTGTCTAGGAAATTTTTTTTATTTCCTTGGTAAAACTCTTTCTGGCATTGCAACAGATAAACTTGGCGGAAGGGCTATATTTGTTTCATCAATATTATTTTCTGGCATATTTTGTATTTTCCTTAGCGCAGCAAATACGTTTACCTTATTAACATTTTGTTGGTGTATCTGTAAATTATTTGTATCGTCCAACTGGCCGTCAATGACCAAAGTAACCAGTTTGTGGTTTTCTTCTAAATTCTATGGCGAAATTACTGGAATAATTTCGACGAGTTCCCGCATTGGTCATTTGCTAAGTTGCTTTGTTACAGCTGAATTACTTAGAAATGGTTTTTACTGGAGAACGATCATCATGTTAATTGCTTTACTACAGCTATTAACTGGAGTATTTAATTATTTTGCCATCAAAGAATCACCAATGAGCGTTGGATTGCCGAATTTAAATGAAGTAGGTGGAATCTAGTATCGAAACTTATATATGATTCATTGTCTATCACTTCAAACAGATATATCACTTTAAATGTGCATAAATTTAAAGTGATCGCTCTAGCTATTTTTAATAGCTCATTCTAAACGCATGCACTATTTTATGTACATGATGTAATTGAGAGATAGAGAAAAAGTATCTGGCATGTATTTAAATAATTATATTTTGATCTCATTATTCTAATCAGATAGAATTAAAGGAATCAGCATGTTTGCCAAGAGAAAATCCTCTCGATAAATTGAACTGGTCATCGGCGGTAATGCATATGCTTCGGGATAGGTAATACTATTAATACATTAACCTATTATAGCGTTACTTAAGGAATGCCATTCCTTGCACGATTATGGCTTCAAGTGTATTAAATTATATTTCATTATGCATTTTTCAATAGCTATCGATACTTAACGGTGCTTATATTTTATTTATCAGATGTAAATTTCTGAGCTGTTCTTATTATGTCACTTGATTAACTAGGACCGTATGGTTAATGCTCCTTTTTGTCGGCGGCACTACTGTTCTTATGGAAGTGCAAAGTTTTCTACCCTTATTTTTACGTCAATACTTAAAGTTGGATATGGGTAGCGCTGTGTATGCTTCATGTTCCTTTCAAATTGGTAGCATTGGCGGAGTTATTTTTGGTGGTTATTTGTACGATAAATTGGCAGCGAAGAAATTAACTATGTTTTTAAACTTGTGCATGATTGTATGCACTGGATGTTACATTTTCTATTGGAGTAAGAAAAATTACATTAGTGTTCTTATTTATTATCTCTTTGATAAAATCTTTATAGAGATCAATTATACAACGTTATACGTTGGTAATATAATTAAATTTTTGTCTTTCTGTCTTGCATTTATCAAGGAATGTTACCAGTTATGAGTAAAGTTGACGTATTCTATACCCTATTTGTTATTGGATTTTTTCTTTCAATACCATATTATCTACCAGCAAGTGTCTTCTCTATGGTTTATGGTGGACAAAGGTTTGATGCTAATTATTACATTTAACTCAAACTACTCAGAAATTCGACAATATTTCGTATAATGAAATGAAAGCTGTTAACTGATGATATCTAATTTTGTCTAGATTTAGTGGAACCCTTGCAGCTTTACTAGAAAGTCTTGGATTTTTATTAACAATGACATTTGATTATTATGCTGCTGTCGTTGTGAAAGAACACGGTTGGTCAACTTTCTTTGGCATTTTAGCAGTTGCCTCCATGGGAACTACGGCAATTTTCTTTTTAGTATCTTCGCATCCTACCTTAATCACAAGGAGGCATTAAAGTAGTAGAAATGAGCAAGTTAAAAGTGCGGTCTATCAGTAAATTTGATATATACCCGTGAATGCTTTACTACGATCATTTCATGATTGAACGGAGTACAATTAACGAATGCTGCGTGATTTTTATCCGTGCTGAAAAATATATTTATTGGTTATATTTTTGACGAGCTGACTTAGTGCAATCCTATTCTATAGAATCGTACGCTTACATTTACATATTATTACAATGAATACATTGTACTAGAAGTCAGTTAATCAATGATACGGTGTACTACCTTGAGAATATTTTTCAAAGGATAATTTTATTTTGCAATCCGATTCAAATTTTATAATGAATCGATAATTTTATTGCACAAATCTGGAATAATTTACAATATCTATATCAGAATTATTTAATTATATACATTGTAAACGTGTGTTTATTGCTTTGTCACCTGTTATACTACGTTGGTGGAACTAAATTATGTAGATATGCGAGTATACATGCAAATTTTCCGATAAAAGTGTGTTTATACAATACCATACTAGTATAAAAGAGGTATTATACTAGTCTCTTGGATGATTATTAACAATTATACATGTATAATGAACGTGAAAACAAATCTTATTAAACGACACAGTTTGAATTGTAATGTGTGGTTTCTTTCTGGAAGAGAATCAAATATTATATTAGGAAGCGAGCTAAATCGAACATTTGCTGAATTTACTAAATACGAAAATATTTTTGTAAGATACAGATAAGAAACCAGTCTTGCACCGATCGGCCCAATCATCCATCTCTTTCACTATTATTTAGTATCAGTAGTATACGGCAATAAATATTTTATGTGACGTGACAGTTTTACTGAACAAGAATCCTACCCATTTATGGGTATATTACATAAAAGAAAAATGGCAAAGAGATACAAGTTATTCTGCAAACATATCGATCGGTTCAGCTTTAGCATATCTTTGTGCAGTAATTTTAAGAATTTTATGATCCCTGATTTGCTTATTAGTATCAGGGATATCATCCATGGAACTGCTTACGCCACTAGTTCCTAATCCAGCGTTTGTTAACCGCATCTGTACTTCAACTGGTTGAGATATTCCAGTATTATTACGTCCAAGACCTTGTCCGGCACTCCAGCCCATTTTTTCTAGTAATTTATGTCCTTTATTGGATTTTTCAATTGGCTTTTTTACAGATGAAGAGGTCTGCAATGCATGTGGGAAATCGCTACCAATATGAACTCGTCTTTCTTCCGCTCTATCCTTGTATTTTTCATGTGTGGAGACGGCCGACTCAGACGTATCATCACGGCCCAGTCCATATTTCCTTTTTAACTGCTTTAAACTATGACGGCGTTGATCTTCAAGCTTATCAGAGTCTGTACAAATAGGAGCGGTTTCAGTTTTTGATGTAATGTGATCAGTCACTGGAATTCTTGACAGTATCTGGCCTGGTTCACAATCGTCACAAGTATCATAACCTGGGTGAATATGCAACAAAAAGCTAGTAGAACCAATTTTAATATAGTCGCCGTGTTGTAGATAAAAGGTAGAGCCATCATTAGCAATTTTGACATCATTTAAGTACGTTCCATTTTTACTGCCCAAATCACATATGTGATATTTACTTTCTTGTAGATCGTAACCAATTTGGGCGTGTTTCTTGCTTATAGCTAACTCAGGAATCTGAATAGTTTTCTCTGTTGCGTTCTCTCGACCGATAATTATACCTTCAATTGTAATAATATATAAACTACCATATTTCAATCGATTTGACTGCATCACGATACATCGAATACAAGAATGACCATCTGAAAGGTGCTGGATATCTTCCTCATCGTTTGATTTGTATTCACCTTCTTCAATTTCATTCTCCTCCGCTAAGTTATAAGAATTGGCAATGTCCTTGGACGTAGCTACGTCAGTGTCGTCACTATAACAGTAGAATATATATACTTCTTTCTTTTGATCGTAATAGTAGTAAGCTTTTGTTTCCTTTTGATAATATAAATGTGTGTTAGGATCATAGTAGTAGCCAGTACTCCAATCATAGTACCAACCTGATTTCTCATCGTAAACCAGGCCTTTATTGTTAAGGTATTCTTCAGCAGCTGATTGAAGTGTAGCTGCAATATTATCATTGGCTTTCTTGTCACTGTCATCCACTTTGGGCCTGTCTTTACATTCTAAATGTTGTAGTTGTTGTTCATCATTTCTTTGCGGTGATTCAGCATTAATATGCTGGTCATCCTTAATATTATCATCATTACTATCTATTGTCTTTCGTTGTAATAACTGTTCTTTTAGCCTGTTATTGTCTTGACGTAAGGAGTGTACATAATTTTCGGCATTCGTCTTTTGTAATTTGCATAACTCCAATTCCTTCTTTACGCTATGCAAGTCTTTCAAAGTATTACCAAGCTCAGTTTTAACGTTCTCCAATTGTAGAAGCAACTGTTTATTATCTTTCAATATTTCTTGTCCATTTTCGCTTTCCTGAGTATTACCAAGCTCAGTTTTAACGTTTTCCAATTCTAGTAGCTGTTGTTTATTATCTTTCAGTATTTCTTGTACATTTTCGCTTTCCTGTTGGATGATATTCTCGTCTGCTTCATCGCTCATTCCTTTGTCAATACCATTATTGTCATTATTCATTTCACTAGCCATCCCTTGTTCTACACATATGTATATATATATATATATACACTTCACCTTAATACGATTTTTATGTACTCATACGTTACCCAATTTGGCTATATCGCCATTTTTAGAAACACGAGTAATCTTTTCAAAATAAGGCTGACTCTTATCTAGAATTGAGCACTTTATGCATAAAGTGCTTCAATTATTATGCAGTATTACTTAATAAAATTGTTGTAATGAATAATAATAATAAATACAACATATGCAGTGTGCGATGTTCTCTAGAAATGTTTCCTTTAAAGAATGATGTTCATTTTGTTTGACCTACCAGTACGAGTAATTTCAACATATCGTGCTTTTCCATGTATCAAGCATAAAGAAAGCTATTGATTTACGTATAAGGCAATCTAATTGTATGTACATCGATTATGTAATTAGCCAACAACGATCGATCGGTGTCGGAGCGCTTGGGCAAATTGATGTGATCAAGTTTTAATACAGTAAAATGAGCTCACCAGTTTAGATCGAGTAATCGCGTCACTATTCGAGATTATCTTTCTAGTTACTATAATCCAGCTCAATTAAGCTTTCAATACACTTAGCCAAAAGATCTTTGACTTTTACTCCAATTATAAACCACAGAACGTTATGTTTAGACTGTCTATTCCCCACATGGCAAAGATTGATTTTAAAATTAGTTGGATCGATTTGTTATGTATTTGCAAACAGCTCGGCCTAGCATTCGAAATTTTAGAACAGTAATAAGTTGATTGCAAGCGCCTACGAATGATAGCAACACTTAATACCAATGGATATTGTACATCAATCATTGGCGATACGATAGAGGATGTCTTGAATGTGAGAGTAGAGTAATACCAATCGAATTTTACTGTTTAGAGGAGAATTTTCACAATATTTCACCAATCTCCTTTTCCAAGCAGCTTGAAAGAGTTGGAAACCTTGGAGACTATCGGTATCTGCGGACAGAACCTGGCTGATCCTACTATTGGCCATATAGTACGCAAGAGGGCCGAAAGACTTGAGGGTTACACTGAACGAACGAGAGATGTTTGCCAATAGTATGAGTGGCGTCGTGTATAGGTACTGCTAGTGACGCTATTTTTGCTAGTAGTTTACCATGGCATTGGTATTGTGTACAATACTGTACTACACTAAGTAGAGTACCCTACCGTATTATAATTAATGTGCAGTATATATTAAATACCATTACTCAGGGCTCGATAGTGCTACTGATAAGTTACCTAATGTGTAATAACGATCACGAGCAAAAGCAATGTCATCCTTCGGCGACGTAGCAAGTGGGTCGTGAAGCTTTGTCTAATAAACTATTCTACGGTACAGTATACTGTACACTGTACACTGTACACTGTACACCATTACTAATGGATTCCTTGAAAGAGCAAACTTTTCTTCCTTACTTCCCTTACTATGATGACTAACATTATAAAGAACACCATCCATTTCTAGGGATGATTCTCTAATACCTGCAATAAATCAATGCAATGCACATTACATAGGGTGCTGATGGACTGCACAAGTAGGTAAGAGAGAGGAACGAAAAATAGCTGCGCACTGTAAAATCATGCAGAAGCCTAACATTTTTCTAGTCATTCTCCTATACGGTACCACTCAAACGGAACATCATACTGTACAAAACCAACCTAGCAGCTATAGTAATTTGGATGGCAATCATTGACAGGATAGTGTACTATTAGAGACCTACGGTACACTTGAAATGACCCACAAATGACTCGACTTTTACATTTTTACTATGCCAAAAGAGTTCATTTCCGCGGTACCGGTACCTTACTACAGCTGAGACCTGGCTGTATCCAAGACGACTGCAGTGGCTTCTGCCAGAGCTCTGCTCAGACTGTTCTCTCCATTTCTACATCTTCAGCACGTTAAATGCAATTTATAATTAGCCCAGAATTTATCGATATACTAGAAAAGCTTAAACGAACAGTAAGTTCAATTGAAATACCTATAGATAGTGTTACAGTGTATGTTCAACAGTCACATCGAGATAGTCAGTTGGAGACCTGTAGAAGTGCAAGCATTTGCCTGATTGCCATTAATAGTACGGTTCAAGGAAAAAATTGCAAGGATTAGTTTCGTGTGTTGGCCCAATTCTATTTTGCATCGTCGAGTATGATTCGATTGGTATCACTTAGGCATAAAATTAAATCGTATTGGATGGTATTGCAACGATGCAAGAATACCCAATCTGCAAAACGTGACATTGTCATTTATACTAATAAGAAGGAAAGTTTCTTTGCTACCATTTCCGTAGTATCCATATGCCAGCTGTTTTTCTGGACTTACCTGGGTGAATTTGCTTTCTCCGAGTTAAGAGATCCCTATTCATCCATTAAACCAAATAAGGATAAGAAGAAAGAAGAACTAGCCCTTGATGATAGCGACAGCATATCAAGGTAGGTAGATTGCATTCAAGGTAACTGTACACCGTATTGATGATATTAAATCCACATGCTGGTGGAGATTATTTGTAGCAGAGTAGATTTATTCGATTTTAAATTGTTCGGTACAATCATCATCCAATGTATCTAATTTTTAGCATACTATCTTAGGTTACCCATTCAATAATGACAGAATTGTAATAATACTGTATCGATGAATGTTTAGAATTATTTTCTGATTAAATATCATCTACTGTACGTGAATATTCACAAAGTATAAGATGGACGTTATACGAGCAGCTTTGATAGAGGTAGTGCGTATGACTTTGCTAAACCACCACTAAGCTCTACAATACACTTAACTTGCAGATCTGAACGAGCTCAATTAAGTCGAGCATCTACTCGGGTAAGTACCGTAATGATGACAGAACTACAATTGACTCGCCAACTTATAACATTGAGGTGTTTACCTTTGCAATAATTTTTCATTAATACAACATAAAAATAGCTCGTAAATACAGCCTATAGGAAACTTTGTCGATTAATAACATATAATTAGTCTAAGAGTAATCAGATACGTTTAGCCATGCCAATTAAATCATCCTTTATTTCCTTTCTACATCGTTATAGATGAGAGTTGGACTTGCTACTGTATCTATAGTAGCTGGCTTAAGTTTCTGCGTTATAGGATTTTTTTATTGCTATAGGTATGGTTATACTTTGATGTTGAGCAATCATTTTTCTTGTAGTTTGCCTTTCCGCTATTGTTCTTATACGAGTTTTATTCCAAGTTGAAATTGATACAAAGTTTATTTGGTTTGTTGGATGATCTCCTTATCGACATAAAGGTGTATAACAAGAGATTAATATTATTATAAATTTACTAGATCTGTTAAAAGTTTAGCCTTAACACGTGGTGGTATCGATGTTAAAATAACAACCTATGGACCATTTGGAATGCATCGACAACTCACCGTACCCCTCTCTAATATGTCAGCAATGGCAAAAAGGAATGGTTAGTTAACATAATTACTAACTTAGTATGCAATAGCTATAGTTAATATTTTAATACTAAAATCAACAAGCTTTACATGCAGAATAATACAATAGTTATGATCGAACGCGATTATTAACAAATAACTTTCATCAGCATCAAAATTTATCAATTTAATCTTGCTTTTATTTCTATTAGAGACTGATTCTCCGATTCCGATACGAATTAGGAATTACAGCTTTTATTTTTTGGTAGATCACCAAGGGAAATTTTTAGAACCTCGTTTGTATGACCGTACCATTAGTATTAAGAGAAGATTGTAAATAGTTTAAGAAGACTTTAATAAGTTATCCATTTATCTTGAATTTAATTGTATGATATCAAATCTATCATCACCTACACATTTTAATGATATACGGAGCATAATTAAAAACTGGAATCATTCACTACGGTATATGTTCATAAATAAAATATGTAGGTTATGACTACTGCAATAGTATCCTATTTCTGGAAATAGTGACTGATTTTAAAAATTGAGCAAAATTTCTGTTGCGCTTAACAATAATGTTATTAGCTCGAATTGAGTCCGCTGCATAATATTTACGTAATATTTAGCTATTAAGCCAGGAGTACTTTTACGGTTTTACCAATACATAATCAATATAGACTAGTATGCACAAATGATCGTAGTTTACTTAAGGTAAACTTATAACCAATTAGAAATATCAGCTTTTAATAATTCATACTTCATATACTTAAATATTGAAGTAAATTATGCAATGAATTGGATTTCCATTATTATCAGAATTCCAATACATCTAGAATAAAGAAAGTAAACACATAACGAACATATTCCTTTATTTAATCCTCGAATTGATTTACCTAGTTCCAATATGACTTTAATATTAAATACAAATCTTTTTATCTTTTTAAAAAATTTTTAACCATGTCTACATAACAGTTCAAGGTTGCCAGTCTTACAATCGATAATCTGTAACAAGGTTGTCTGATATTTGAAGAAAAATCCAATTTTTAATATTTTTCATATAATCACTGCTTTCTCTATGAGATATTGATATGTAGCAAATCACTTGACAATATACACGTATATCGCTCAGATTACGCAATATATTTTGAGAATCGGCTGACGTTACGAATTTTAGCAGAGCATGAAGCCACGTCTTTGGGTTCTTAATGTTCCTATAAGGGCGTTAACTAGGCTATGCATTCGTACGTAACAAAGCATCGAGTATCCAAGGGTAAATGCCAACGAATGGTAAGATCGATTTTAAAAATGTTATCGCACAGGGCGTCATTGGATATAAATTTTAAATTAACATTTTAGTGCATAAACTTTATCCGGTTTCAATAAGATTAGCCTCTTTTGCCATCGATAAGAAGATGCTATTTTCCCTAGATAACAACCGCGATGGAGAATCAAATTCTGCAATTTTTCCTGCATCGATAACCATGATTCTACATTTAAAAAATAGATGTTTAGAATAGAAATAATAATTCTAAAAGGCCAAATTGTTAAGGGGTCTGCTTATATGAATTTTTGTTGCTATACATGATGAGAAATAGCTACGACACTCACATAATCGATAATAGTCTAAACAATAGCAAGCATAATTATCTAATTTATGGTATCCAAAATCTTTAGCATCATGCATTACTTATCACTGTCCATAATAGTATTCAAGCGATGCGCAATTGTCAAAATTGTGCAATCTTTGAACTGATTGCGAATAGTTCCTTGGATTAAGTTATCTGTCTCCATATCTACAGCTGCTGTGGCCTCATCCAAAATAATAATCTTATTGTGGCGTAACAACGCCCGCGCTAAACATATAAGTTGCCGTTGGCCAACGCTAACAAAATTAAAATCTATAGTTATCAGCTATCAAATTGTTAGTATACGTATAAGCTACTGCTATCGTAGAATTGTATCAAAGTCATATATCTTAGTCCATAATAACAGACCTTAAATTCTCTCCTCCTTCACTGATTTTATGTTCTAATCGTTCATCTAGCCCTGAGACGAATGTCTTTAAGTGAGCATTTTCTAGAGCAAGCCACAACTCGTCATCTGAGTGTTTCTCGAACGGATCCAAATTATTTCTTAGTGTACCACAAAATAACACCGGATCCTAAATAAAAATTGGTGTTGAATTCTAATTTAACTAATAATCTAATTCCGATATGCAAATGCAATAGTAATCATAACATTACAATACCTGAGGTATAATGCTTAACTTTGAACGTAATGTGTGTAAACCAATCTTGGCAATATCTACGCCATCTATGGTAATACTACCTTCAGCAGCTTCAATTATACGGAATAAAGCCATAACTAAAGAGGTTTTACCAGAACCAGTCCGACCAATAATGCCAACCTGTGAAATAAGACATCATAAAATAATAACTTCCACTAAATGTCTTATACTAAATTCAGGTCATAGCTATCACTATAATTCTAGCCTTTTGATATACAGTAAAAAATGATCATTCAATATTTTGACCTTAAAATTACGCGTATTTACAATTAATAATTTAACACTTAAAGAGCATTACGCTAGGTTTAACATATACAGACAGGTTATTTTTATTTTAATAAATTAATTACATGCTTGTTTGGTTTCAATGAAACTATTAACAAAGTTCTCAGGACAAAGTATCAGTTAGTTAAACTAGTACTTTCCGAAAGTAAAGTCGTTGCGATAAAGCAATATTAATATTAAATACTGTCCTTAATTATCATCACCCAAGCTATTCGAAGTGATATCGTCACCTTTTCAGTGGGCCGAATATTACAGCTGATTCCCTTCAGAACGAGATCGAGATCGGCGCGATATCTAACTTTAAAATTATTAAAGGTAATATCTCCATGACTTGGCCAATCCGAGCTTAAATTTTCTTCGTCAACGTACCAAGATGCCTACAGTATTTGATATGTCAATTGAATTAAGTAAGATAAAGATATTATATCCGATTTATATGCTTATACCTCTTTCGTTATCTCACTATATTCTTTAACACGCTCTACTGCAACGATGTTTGTCTCTAAGTCACTACTTTGTCTTACCATCCAATTTAGTTCATCAGTCATCTAAAAAGAGTTATAAAATCCATAAATAAATCTTCAATTTGAACTAATTAAAGTATACAAACGAGAATAATCATTTCCAGTTGTCTAAACCTGCAAAGCATATGTGATGGAAAGTCCTACAATTCCTGTTGGGAGAGTTTCACGACCCAGTACTACCAGTAGCGAAGCGAACAATACTACTAAGTTGCCGATAAACTCAAGCCTAATTGATAACCATCTGTAATATCACAAGTACATAAAAAGTTTTGTAAAGGTAGAGTTCGAAGTTTTAACAATTTGACGTTCCGTAGTCTTATGACAATTAGATGATCATAAAGCTTTGATAATTTTACCTATTTGATGAAATATATAAATAATATGCCATTTGATTTTCATCAATTTTAGTGTCACACTCTTTTACAAATCTATTCTGACTATTGTATGCTCTTAAGACGCTCATTCCTTGTAAACTCTCAGTAAAGAACGAGTATATAGGCGATCGCGAAACTGATTCCAGTCGTCGTAGTTGACGTGAAGTTGCTATATAAAAGCGCTAAAAGTAATTTAAGAACGTAAAATATCACTTTACTTTTAATCGATGTGATCTGTAATAGTGATATTGAATTATATCAACTACCGTAATAAAATTCTTGCATACCTGAATAAAGTAATATAGCAAAAATAGAGGCAAAATGACAGTGAGAAAGTAAGGAGTCGATGCACTAACAACAACCAAAATTAAGGCGACAACATAGCACTGAGCCATAAAACCGTCAATGGTTACTGGAATAACTTCATCTATTGTATTGATATCCTTAGAAAATCGGTTTAAGACGCGGCCCATAGGGTTCGTGTCAAAAAATGACATAGGCAAGCGAAGTACATTGTCTAGTAGATTATTGTGAAGTTGCCTTGATGCTTTTATACCGGCGAGTAAGATGACAATTGTGCTTAGCAAGGAGATAAAGATCAGTATTCCTCCAATTGCACCATAAATACCGAGGTAAAAGTCTCGTATTTCAGGTACGGAAGAGTTTTTAGCCGAGCTCCATAACGCTAGCCAGGCGTCTACTCCTGCCATGCATCCTTTATCTCCAGCTTCAAAGAGTAAATACATTATAACGAATTTCCAACCAAAAGATTTGATATACGATGTATATACAGAATATTTGACCTATCCAGTAGTAAAAAAATAGCAAAGAAAGTGGAATATATTATAGTGTATCGTGTGATTGCATTATATAGTAAGGTACGTAGTTAAACAGTTTGCAAGCTTCATTGGGTATTTGATAACAGAGCAATGACGGCTTTGTATATATACTGTATATACGCGTATGCTAAAGAATTTATAAGTAATATCAAGTATTAAAAAGGCTTTATTTACCATGCTACCTATACCATACTGTACTACTCAAATATTACTGACCCTTCCCACTTCTATGCTTTCATCTTCAACAAGTTGAGCACCGTGAGCTGGCGATACGACCTTGGAGTTATCTGATTTTACACTGTCTTGTCTCGAAATTGACCTTGATACGACATCTGGATGACCTACAGCTAACTGTCTTGGCTCGATATTGATCTCTTCAATGATGTTATCTACCAGAAAAGGTTGCAACAAATTTAAGTAAAGCTAATTTTGATTTCCGCTCGACATAAAACTGTCACTATTACCTCTATCATTTTCCGCAGTATTAGCGTAAGCTTGTATCAAGTCTGAAAATGCTCCTCGTCTATACATTAATTCTGAATAGGTACCCGTCTGTACGATATGATATTTAGCATAATTTTCAAAATTTTAATTTTAAAGTATATTCTTATGGTTAGTTGATAAATTTTTAGCTAGATGAATCATATAATTACCTCAATTATTTCACCATCCTCTAGCATGATAATTTTATCTACTTTCGACAGGAAGCGGAGATTATGAGTTACCAAAATCCTTGTCTAAAATAACTTAAGTTAGGTGATGTATACGTATGGATAATGCATTAACTTATAAAATAAGTATTACTGACTTTATCTCGAAGGCGTCCTTGCGGCCCAATTACTTCTTTAAATAAATGTTTACCAACATGAGCATCAACTGCGCTTAGCGGATCATCAAGTAAATAAATATCGCGTTTGGCATAAACAGCTCTAGCGATACTTATACGTTGTTTCTGTCCGCCACTTAAATTAATTCCCTAGTGCATAAATCATTCAAGAGTAGTTTCAGTTGATACGTCAATCAATTATGCGATATGTACAATACCATTAAATATAGTTTATATGAAAACACAAACTTTCTCTCCAATTTCTGTCTCGTCCGCCCCTGGTAAAATCTCTAAATCAGGCTTTAGAGCACAAATTTCTATTACTTTACGATATTCATTTTTATTAAAAGAAGTTCCATAAAGTATGTTATTCTTAACGGTGTCATTTAGTATCCATGCTAGTTGAGGCACATATGCAATCGATCCCTTAAAATTTAAAACGTAAAATTTTCAGCCAGATACTAGCTTTAAAGAATATTGTTACATTTACAATATATCTCCTTATATCTAAAACCTCTTCATGTGATTGTAACGTATTTACGATAATAATAATTATTTATGTACGACATATTTACTAACATTGACAAACACGTTTCCATCTTTTTTTTCCATTTCACCCAATATGGCAGATAATAAAGACGATTTTCCACTCCCTACATGGCCAACAATAGCTGTCAGCGAACCACGATCAATCTGGAAATTAATTCTATTGAAAGAAAAATTTATTAAAAAACATGTCGAAGGTATAAATAACACGAGTACAATTGCGAATATACGACGTATTCCAGGGAGTTATCGATTGAAGAACTGAAAAATAATAAGCTTACTTGCGCAGTGCTCCTTTACAGTCTTCAGGACTCCAAGAAAACGTACCGTTCTTAATTACAATAGTACTGTCGCCTAATACGTAATCAAAGACAGAGAATCTTCGTTTCTGCTATAATTAGTAAATGAGGGAGAGTAATAAAGATATTAAAATCTAACCATAGTTAGGAGGCATATCTTGCTGCACGCTACCGGGATCGAGTTCATCACTTATTAAAAAGTCATATAATCTGTTGATTGAGACTCTGGCCTAAAAATTTTTAATAGAATTACATACAATGCCTCAAACAACTTTTAACCAATAAGTGTATCAACAGGGTACGAGCAGGTAAAATAATGTAGCAACTATAGTTAACCTACTGGTTAAAAATTGAGTAAGAGCTTAATAGAATAACTGACTAACCTGTACTAGAGAAATAACTACCAACGGCAGTACCCCTACTGCAAAACGAAGTATGCTAAATAACGATAGTGCAACAAACGCTCGACTTGCTAGTAATTCTTGTCCTGTTAAAACATAAGTCCCAAATGTTGCCAGTCCAACCTGAAATGAAAGTCCAACACAAGTGATATAACAGTCGAGCTACTCATAACTAGAGCCATAAAGATTAAATTAAAGTAAATTTTGAGAACAATAATAATGTCATTCCAATACATTTTACTGTATAACGTACTAGGAACCCGGTTGCAGACCAACTACACTCTAATGTTGAGTATAAGAAACCATAACGACGTAAAATTTGTAGTTCTTTATCTCTAATATTTAAAACCCTTTTTATGAACGACTGCTCCCAGGCGTACAGTTTTAACACCTAATGAACAAATTACACATCCTTAGACGATAGGCCTTACTTGGAATATAATTAGATTTAATTTCTCTGGCTTTAGTTAAAAATATCAATTACCTTTATACCATTTAAAATTTCACTCATTAATCTGATTCGGTCGTCTTTGTTAATCATTTGTTTTTCCTACACAAATAAGTATGAGAATAATAAATTCATTTTCGCTTTCTCCGTAGTGAGTTAACTACAGTGAGTTTTAATGTTAGAGTAATTGCCTTGCCATGATAGTAATTTACCTGTAATTTCTGTATTTTAGCTGAAGTGATAGCATTTAATGGAACAATAAGAATAAGGACAGCCAACCCAGCGAAAACTGATGGTCCCATAATTTGATATAAGAAGTAGATGGCAATAGCAATTTGTATAGGTGAACACCAAATGCTGTGGAGGAAAGGCGTTAAGTCGATAAATTGCTGAGCGTCGACAGACATTAAATTGACAATTTCTCCAGTGGTCAACTTTTGACGGGAGTGACTTGATAATATAAGAGCCTATGTACATAAATGGAAATTAGTAATTTTAAAAATAGGTATATGAAGATTAATGGACCTGTTATCATCAACGTTCAACTGGGAAAATAAATCTAAAATCTGATAATATGAGCGATTATATATTATTACTTTTCTGTAAACAGCCCAAGTTACAGCAGTTTTTAATTTCATGCCAGCGCCAAAACAACGGTGAAAATATTGCTGTAATATTAATGAGCGAACAACCGCTAGGAGAAACATTGATACAGCGAGAACTAAACCCAGCCATATTGGCTGACTTTTATCACTTGAAAAATTAATCAGTAGTCTGCAATTAAAAGAAAAATGAACATCAAGTGATCGTGCTTATAGTGCACAGTATAGTTTAGTATCACATCGATTTATGAAATAGACAAGGAGTTTAGTAGTACGATAACATTAGAATTTCTTTACAGTAGTTGACATTTCTATAGATTGGTGCAGAATTATTACTGTTAGGGACAACAATTAGGTCAGTTTTAACAATTTAAAGTTTATTATACCGAAGTAGCTGAGGGCTTAAAAATGCCAAAAGATCATTCACAAATTTGAGTAGACCGCCTATTATAAATGGACGACCAGCAGTTCGAAATAACGCTATAGCTAATGACCACTTTCCTCTTCCTTGAATAAATTTTATGTCCTGATTTAATTCGCTAGGCTTACTATACGAAGTTAGAATTTAAATTATGGCCGTTATGACATTGAGAAATAGTATTTGCTCTCAGTGCGTCGAACAGCGTAAACTTCAGAGATTAGTTTAGAACGACTGACCTTTTAGAGTTTTTGTTTGCTCCTTTTTCCCATTCGTGTTGAAAGCGAGGTCCAAGTATCTTTGACATATCGCATTCGTTTAAAGACGATAAATTTTGTGCAACTAGCGGTTTTTTATATCCACTGGTGATCAAGCTACTCGTATATGATGTCAAAATAAAATATGTAAATCTTTCCAATCAGAATGCTGTAAAGTTATTAAAATTAAACTTATTTCCTATCCTTGATAAATTTCAATACGTCATCTATGTCGTTTAAGTGATATATAATTTATAGCGGAAACTAATATTGCCGCTAAAATTCGCTTCCTTTACGATATTGTATGAAATATAACAGAATAGCTTCAAATGTTCATGTTACAATCTAGAAAAGGAAATTTATAATATCTCAGCACCTAGTCATCCACCAAAATGTTAAGCGCGATAAGATTGAGGCTGTAGCTTCGGGGCATGGTTGCTAAACGCATGAAGAATGATGCTACAGCTTAGAATTGGTTAAAGAGATGAAAGAAATGATAAAATTTTATAGTTACAGTACATGATTCCTGTTAGCTTCTCTAAATTTGCGTGATTCATAAGCATCAAGATCGGAGAAAAGGGATAATACAAAGGATAAAACGATACAGCAATAATTGATGGTAAATATCACAAATCGGAAAGGCGTTGGTGTCATTGCCTGTCATAGCAGAAAGGCCCAAGTGATGATTAAATAGTGTTCTAACACAATCATTATTACTATTTCATCATAAAATTGCATAAACCGGTACGATGATGGGCCGAAAGCTGTACAATGCATTGTGCATACCTGCAAGACGATTAAATTATATATTAGCGTTCTGATCTTGATAGAAGTGGCGATGAGTAGTAAAAACCAAAATAATGGAAGAAATCCGGCAGAGACGATACCATTCATCTTTTCTAATCTCATCACAACTATCGCTAGAAGCTGTACAATAGTATATATATAATTATAATTGATGGTGACCATATAGTGCTAAAAAATTATTCTTCTGCATGTGATAGCAATCTGTCATTTCAGTATTCTTTACTGTAGTATTTGTTTACTAATGAAATTTTTGCAACTCTATAAGCCCACGTTGCAAAACATGTACTGTATTTGCTCTTTTATCATGATGGTAGTTTAACTGCTGCAGGAGAAAAATTATAATCAAGTCCTTAATTAACTTTAGCGCGATCATTTAAACATTATTCACTGTCATAATATGAAAATTGAATTACTGTACTAATATACAGATATATCTATAGCTTACCATCGTCAGCAATAACGCTGAAGGTGTCAACATAAACACACCAGGTACTGAACGATGCTGGCATTCATAAATAGTATCGATTAAGCTAGCGAGGTAGAGAATAGCCAAAAAAGCTGTAATAACCTGTTGATTGAAAACGGAAACATTTATTAGGCTAGATTGGATACTTTAGGTCATATTGCATATATCATTGTTGCAGAAAGTGCAGCATTATCATACCAACCGCCCGCAACTGGTGTACTGTATACGTATAGAATCAATTGAATACAACAGGAAATTTGAAATAGTACATACGTATAACGATATTACTTTAATATTGGCTTCAGTAAAGTCAATAGACAAAGCTGCAACTGCGTATCGTAGCTGCATTGATATGAATGTTTTGCATCTTACTAGCAACAACTAGACATGCTAGAGTGATCACAATAACTATGGATGCAATCGCTACACAAGCAACATGAGAGGATTCAGTAGCAGTCTACGCTGTGCGCGTATAACTGAATATACGGACATAAGTGAATGAGATTCATTTTGGTATCATTAAGCAAGTGTTGAAGACATGATTATCGTGCAATACGGCAGAAATACTTTATTTCTTACTACTATGCCTGCATCGCCTTTATCAATGAAGGTAGCTATTAATACTGTACTATTGTATCTACAATTCTAAATCATACATGACTTACTAGTTTCAGGATGGATAAACTGGTCATTTTTCTTGCTGGAATTTCAAGATTAAATTCTTCTTTGGTATGTATATTTGATCGTCGATCAACTTGACGAAGTAAAGATGGAATATAGTGTAAAGAAATTAATAACAAGAAGGTAGAAGGTACCATCATAATGATGCCATCTTCAAAGCATGGAGTGAAATCTATCCAAGAATCATTGTAGTGGATATCTACCTGTGAATAATATAATGAATGAATAAATGAATGAATTAGAATTACGAATATAATCGATTAAGAATAAAATAGTACTTCCATAGGTAAATACAATGTCATCCATGCTACATATTTAAACTACAATGTACAAGATTAGAGCAAGATTGAAGTATGCATCTCGGTCTTTAAAGCTCTAGATTGCAAGTCAAGGAGTTGGAGGTTGAATTGATCGATTTTGCTTCAACTATTGCACAGCTAGCTCAACATCGCATCATGTACTTTGCAAAGGTGAAGGGGGAATTGAAAAATGTTAGGTTGGCTATGCTGGGTAGGCATGCAATGGTTTTCTTCACCGTCATTCAAATTAGCATACGTCAACTATCTGTTATGATGAGCACCAAGCAAGACTGAAATGAATATTGTTGAAGATGCGATCGTCATCACGAGGCTAGTCTATTTGATGATGGGTGGCATCTAGCATGGATTAGAAAGATACTGTATCTCGGTGAAATGGACAGTATTGCTCGATATGGAAGTAAAGTAGGCATTTTGAAGACATGATCACATCTACAGCCCGACTATTCAAGCTTGCCTACATTGCCTAGAACTATCCATGATGCTTACCCAAAATGAAGAATGTGCTTGACAAAAAGATGTTATACCAAATTGGTCACTCTTACTCTGCATCTTGTCAATGGCTTGAATTTTATAGCGTCAACACTGAGGTCAAGGACTGATGCTCAATGGTACTGTAGGTATCAGTAGTGACTCTATATAGTGTCATCAATTTCAATTGAGCAATCCAGGCTACTACTGTACTACTAATAAGCTTTAGTATGGATAATGTTATTGGAGGATTAGGCTCAAAAGAGAGAGAAGACGAATGAAAGTGGTTGAAAATTGCAAACGTCTGCAATTTCTTGCCGTTGCAAATGGCAAAGAATGATGTCATAGCTGGTCGCTATACAGTACAGTACTGTACAGTCACTGTGTACCATGGAATGGTACCGCACTTGGTAGGATAATGCGTTTCATTTCAAGATACGGTACGGATTATTTTATTCCTAATATCACCATACTATACACTAGTATATAGTACTGTATTTATTGCAATAATGGATTTATGAAATTTTAGTAATTTTTGCTATTTTAGTGACAGGAATTTTCGTCAGGTAGCTTTTACTACTTGTTTTTACTATCCAGTACAGTAAAAATAAGTACTGTAGTTATATACTGTACAGTACTGCATAACATGAATTGGTTACAGTACTGTACAAAGTGTCTCAGAAAGTCTGTCCGTACAGTAGTACAGTACACTAGTACACTTACTGTACTTAGTAAGTACAGTACACTGAGTACAGTACTGTACAGTCAATCGCGTTATACTGTACAGTGTACAGTACTTTACACCCGAGAACCTGGAATTTGTGGTTGGCATACAGTACTGTACTGTACTGTACTGTACAGTACACTGTACAGTACAGTACAGTACAGTACTGTATTCAAACTTTTTCCACACGACTGTACTGTACACTGTACAGCAGTTCACTGTACAGTACAGTACAGTACAGCACTTCACTGTACTCAGTACTATGTACTGTACGTGCTGGAGGCTGACTGTACTGTAGGACCTGCCCGCTTTTTATACTGTAAAAAGAGAAAAGAGGACACCAAAAAGGTTCATTGGCAAATGATGTGTGCAAGCCAAAACTTGCAAACGGTAATCAAAAGCAATTGACAAGTGATTGGCAAAGCTTTTCTTCACCTATTTCCTATGTGGAATACAAGATGGCTACCCAAAGTGTTCGGTAAGTTCAAAATAATCAAAAAACCTATCTCGACGTTCAGTAAGTACAGTAAAGTGTTGTCATTGGAATAAGAATGCATTTGCACTGATCAAAATCAGCAAACTGTTCGTGAATCCTGACCCATGTTCGGCAACCAATCGGTTGATGTTGTACAGTACTACAGGCATCCTTCACACTACTATCACACATGAGTACAGTACACTACAGTAAGTGTTAGCCAACTTTGCAAGAATTGAACTTTTCACTAAAAAAAGTGGTAGCCAACTTTGCAAGAATTTGAACTTTTCACTCCAAATTTGGCCTAGTCATTTTCGTGACTACACCGACCACACACAACAGTGTAGACCGTGTGATGGTGTCGGCCATGGCCAGCTCACAAGCTACCTGCATACTATTGCTTGACGTTACACTTACTGCAAGTACAGTACTGTACAGTACATTGACTACAGTATGGCAAACTCCGTCAACGGTTGGCATGACCTACTGTACTGTACAGTATCATGGACGGTATGTACAGTACTATACACTGTACTGTACTGTACTGTACTCACAGGATTCAAGATCGGCCATCTACTGTAGACATCATCGAAAACATCTTCAATAACTAAATTCCTATCATGTATTGCACAAAGATTGTCATTATACTACGTTGATCAAATTTACCAACAGTTGCTCTCTTGTGTATATACAGTATAGAGACATACTCTTTAACGTTTTGTTATTGTTTTAATGATAGGACTAAACGTAAAAGTAAATGGGATCAACGTGCTCCCAATGTCAATGATAAAGCCAATTTAACCACAGAAAATAAGGCTGATGATAATCCACCTTCAACTGTAAATGAAGAGGATAAAGCCGCCGTAGCCAAAGCTGCTGCAGCAAGATTAAATGCTATCTTAGCTGCGAAAGGCAAGATTATCAAGAGTGAACCACCTCCCGCTCTGGTTCGACTGACTACAGTATTCATTCTTCTTACTCTAGATGACAGTGTGCCATATTAAAGGAACAGGATAGGACAGTTTCATTTGTACTCTACATCATGCTATTAAGACGTTCACAAACTAAAACATACATTATTGAACTACGTGTACTCCACCCTGACGATTTCTGTCTTGTAAAGTGTAGTAAGGAGAACGCGCTATCAGCTCATATTAATAAACCGATATCAGTATCAAACATTTACGATCGTTCTTCTACGCATAGCTACTAAAGTACAGTACAATAGCATCAATCAAGATAGTCTACGTAAATAGTGAATCGATCAGCCACTGTTCCATATTTTAAAGATGCATACTCTTACAATACAACTTGCTTCATAGACTCTCCTACAGGTATAAACATGTTATCAACCATTTCACTCATAATATTTAGGCTAAACCCACAACTACAAGTAGTGTGACGAATACAAGTACGAGTAGTACCTCCGATAACAATGGAAGCAATCAAGCTTCGAAATCATCTCAACCAGCAGTAATTACAGCCGAAATAGAAATTAATGACTTAATTAGCAGGTAACCCACACAAGATGTGAATTTATTATTATGGTAATGCCGGCAGTATGCAATTATGCCTTAGATATACTGTATTTCTGTTTTTGTAGGACTATTCTATGTAAAGGCCTAACTCAGGATGATGTAAGTAATCAATGTGACAAATTTCTTTCGTAAAATAGTCAAGTCGATATAATCTCCACCATTCATGCCTTACTTTATATAGTATAGTCTAAGCAATGGAAGTTAATGCATTCCATTTTATCAATTTTTTTACTATCAAAATTTTGTTCAACATTCAAATTCTATGCATTGTATATGCTATTTTACATAGATTAACAGACAGTCCGGTGCTGCCGTATCAACTAAAGGGCGTTACATCTCACCCAGTGAGAAACTAGGCATTGATTTAACAGTGTAAGGCTAATAATTTGACTTTTATTAATGAATCTTAAATATTATCTGCTTGTTCTAACATTGCTCCTTCAATTACAGTAGTAACAATATTTATAGCGAATTTGTGTTTTATTCTTGCCATAAACAGAGATAGACCTTTATACCTACATATTCAAGCAGCGGCAAAGGAAAATATTCACAGTAAGCTTTTTTTAAAAGATTATTTCTTCATCGCGTTATCGCTGTAGGCAAAATACTCTTATAGACGAAATAATTATCTTCTATTTTATATCTAGCTGCTGCTAGAATTATTTTAGCAAAGATTGCCAAAATTGATCCAGCAACTAAACCTGAAGTTAAATATACACCAGCAGATGCCGCTCCATCATCAACTAACGTCACTACTACAACAGTGCCTCTTCCAACAGGGGTAGCTAGCTTTCTTATTTTTTTGGTCAATAGAATTTTGACCTACGATACCGTACTGTGTCAAAGTAACATCGATCTTATACTTTGTTATTGTCTAGCTACATTATGTCCAGGATAAGGTCTTTGTGGGTCTAAATGACGCCCCTGCACAATTTAATTTGAAAGAAAAATTACAGGGTTCAAATGTAATAATTTAGATCTTTGCTAAATTATGACCATTATCGGAAGACTTCATATTCGATTAAACCAATGAATAAACTCCATATTGATATATTAAATCTAGGGTAGCTTCTTCCTGCACATAATAAAAGAAACAGGCGCAAAGGTAATAACATTACTTATTAGTTCATTGTTGGGTCCAAGGGTTAAATAGACTAGCAACTGTCTCCTAATGTTGTTGTTGTTATTCTGTGTATAGTTTATAATATAACAATCCTTAAGCTTCACTATTGGTATCCCAATAGTTTGATGATATTTATGGATTTTGAACGGCTGTTGCGTTGATAGGTGCAGTTAAGAGGGAAGGGCTCTGGATACATCGAACCGACTTCCGGCAAGGAAGCCTTCGAACCGTTACACATTTATGTGAAGTATGTATAAGTGCTATTCTCGTATATAAAATAACTATATTATGTCGTACCTGGCTTAATTCGTTCTTCAATGTACTATATGCATTTTTTTTTATATTTGTTCTTATGAACGTAGTCATGGAACATACGAAGGCCTCGAATCTGCAAAAAAGCTTTGTCAAAATCTAGTTGACACGGTAAATTAATTTACAAATTATGCATGTAGTATTGCATTCCATTGTATGCATACCATACCGTATGTGATTATGTAGAGATAGCATAATTATAGCCTATTTATCATATGACAATTAATTTTAATATAGGTAAAGCAACAATATAAACAATTTGAAGAATCACAAGCGAAGGCTCAAGTTCCCATAACATATCAGTCTCCTTATCCAACACCTAGTAAGAATTTTCTCGTTGGGACAATTTAATGTACTGATAATTAATTAAGCATTCTAATTTCACGATAAAAACAAAAAACCTTAGGAGGGTAAAGAAGGTGGATAATTTCCTTCAAGAATTAATTATTCCATCGATACCACCCTCCAATAATAGTAGCAGTTTGTTTTAGTTTACTGTCTGAGAGGCATGACTGCTTGAAATTACTACGGCTGCTAACATGTCCAATTAATAAAAATTGTAGCTTAATTAACAATAAGGATACGCACCTATGTACAGGTTACGAATTGATATTAACATTTTCTTTGAATTCTCCAAGATACAAATTATTTTGCATCTGGATATCCCCCACCTTCTCCGGTACTTTGAATATTATATAATTTTAGTTACAGTATATATCATTAGTATATATGGCATGTTATAAACCCAACAATGTGTTTTGTTCTGTATTTTCCATGTGTATTAGGTACCTTATCAGAATATGTATGGGTATCCTATGTATGGGCAGCAACAAGTACCTCCTGCTCTTCCACCTCATATGGTAGGACACTGTATCTGATGATGTGTAAATCATTTGGTTCTTATCTAGTATGCTTCATCAATTCATAGGTCTCACCTAATCCTTATGCCTCTCCATATGGACAATTCGGTAAGTTATGAAAATAATGCGCAATTAACATGATATATTTCGCAATAATTTGATTTTGGAATCTACTTTATGGCAAAAAAAAATATAGCAAATTATGGACAATCAAATCAGTATCAAGGAAATATGTACAATAATTATTACGGTTATCCAATGGCTACTTATACTCAAAACGAAATTCCTCAAGTGTCGCCATCAACCGTAAGTAACCGTTCTTGTCCAATTGTCCGTGTTGGTATTCTCTTAAAATGTTGCAACAAGTACTGTACTGTAACTTAATTGAATTATAATCTTGTATTCAAATTTAGTAGATTAGAGAAATTTCTTTCTTTGATTTGTGATTACTGTATCATGTATTAAGTATAATATAAAAATGTAAAATGCTATTTTCATACTAGACCGTAAATCAAGAAGAGCCACCGGCGAAAAAATTAAAAAATGAAGAACCAAATAGGTAAATTTCGTTGGGTTGTGTAAATTACTCTTAAAAATTTGAAAAATTAAATCAATCGATTTCCAATTACAATAGTAGTTCAATTGCGGAAGATTCCAGTGAACTCCCCCAAGATATCGAAAAAGTATGCTGTAATTAGATAGTGTAACAAATAAAATTGATTGGATTTCGAAGTTAAATGTATTAAATTTTCCTATCTGATTGTCCCAACTATTGTAGATGCCTAATCTACCTGATTATACCAATACTCTAAACGCAATAGGGAAGGTATAATATGACTAACGGCTTCTTAAATTTTCAGAAATTTCCCACAATCCGTTGCAGGGATATGGTGCCATTATATTATTGTACTAACGCGAAATTTTTTTTGCTTTACTTTATTACTTGTTGGCTTTGTTTTTCGCCTATGTAATTGATAGGATGAGATTTCGCAGAAAGTAGGGAATAAAGCTATTGACGTGCCAGATCCATTTGGATTATTAGGAACTGGTAAATCTAATAGTAAACCAAAATCATCAAGACAAAATACTGAAACATCAGCAATGAAAGATCGAGATTTAATGCCTCCGCCAGCATTTCTTCCTGTATCTAATCCAATAGGTAATGGTTTGTTTGAAAATAATTTCGCATTAGACAAATTTCATACATTCATTGAAGTTTCTTTGCGATAAAGTACCGGACGTGAAAAAGATGTAGCAATTTTGTATGGCAAAAGAGATAGTATAAGATGACTATTTAACAATGATATTTTAATTTCAACTGAAATTTTGCACCGTATTTTAGCAAGTCATTAATTTTTTTACAAATACTATTTCATATTCTTGGGAGTCTAAATGGTACATAGAATCCGTACAAGAACTATCTTGAAATTTTACGTATATTTTAATAGTTAAATTGATTTATCTGCTCGTGTTTTTATCTAATCCATGGTTTATTTTATTCTTTATGACTTCTTTTCTTCCTTAATTTCATACAATTTTGGTGCCACGTGATGTCTCGCCCCCATCAACAAATACCAACTGGACTAACAATCATACGTAATTAATTTACTAATGTCAAATTTGTTTTGTATTATTGGTGTTGTTTATTGAAATATAGCTCCTGGAAACACTAAAATCCAAGCCTCCAATGGTTTTAAATCTACCACTAAGCAGAAGAACTCAACAGGTGAAAGTAGTAAATCAGGGCTGTTGTCTTTAGCCTCTTACGGTTCAGATTCTGATGAAGAATCTTCCGACAGTGCAAGCGCACCAGATGGTAATCGCTTGCCATTTTGGGCTGCACATGATTATAAAAAGGCAACCGAATAGTGTAAAGCAGTTGATTTTTAGATTGTCTTATAGTATATTTACGTTAGCCTTCATCATAGTCATTCATTTCTAATATTCGTTACTGTGTTGTATAGCAGGTAGTAAATAATATCGTAATGTATCATAAATTTCGTGACTTGACATTGCTATAAATTAACTACTTTTTCATCAACATAATAGAAAATAAACATCATTTAGTATTTGTAATTTGAGCGATTGCTTTTCTTCCAACCTGGAAGATTGACTGATTGATAAATAAATACATATGTGATGAATGCATTGAGAGAGACATGAATATGTTATGCGAATATATCATTTAATCAAGTAATTTTGCTACATCATTATCGTAATATAAATTATTTCGAATAAAGAATTTATGTATTTGACAGATTATGCTGTTTTGTTTATTACATTGTGTAAATTTAATAATAAGCCTAATTTTGGCCTATAAAAATATACATAGTGAAAAATAAACTCTAAAATCAGAAACTTGAATTTATAATGTCATGATTCAGGCATTTAATATACAATATAGTACACAAACTATGAATCTATAATATAAAATATTATGTTCTATTCTATAAACTTTTTACGGAATCATGAAGTTGTTGATGACAGCATCTTAGCAACTGTATCGTTCTTCTTTTCTGTCTCGGTCAAGTGATTCTTTCATTATAAATCGAATTCATTTCATGTAAGCATTGTGGTCGAAGTGAAGTTATGAAAAATTGAAATAGGAATTATATTTTTGAAGAAATACTTTTCAAAATTTGTAATCTACCGAAAGTAGGCGAATGCCTGTTAATAAGTGATAAGACTTACCCGCCAGAGAATAACTTGGTTATCCACCCCACATGATACAAAAGAAAATTCATGACAATTGAGGAGTTTCTATCATTTAGATTGAAGCAAAGTTAATAAAACTGTTGTAAGCTGGTTTACTTGGCAACTATCATAAAGAGTAATATCAAGTTTTCCCAACTTCTATTCCCCCGGCATGAACGGTACAATCTCCAATTAAGACGGGTGGTCCGTAGCAGGTTTTAGGACCGAGGAGACTAAAGATGATTTAATAGAAGTAAGAAATGTTTATTTTTTCGAAATATACCATGTACTATGTTATTAACAGTCCTACTACTGTCAAGGTAGTACCTGCTGCCTAAAAACTTTCTTACGCCAGTAAATTTCTTAATGGTATCATCTTTAATATCTAATCAAGGAATATATCAATCATTTAAACCAATTTTATGAGTACCAGTGTAATACTTGTCCAACAAGAATCCTCAACTTTAGACCTACTAGCAAGTTACTATATTCAACCCAAACTAATATACCAAATCTCACCAATTGCGCACGACCATAATCTTACAGACCCGTCTTGTGAACTTGTTACTAAATACCCTCTAAAATATGGGGAAATAATTGATTTGTTTAGGGATACAAATAGTTAAAATACGTACAAATAGAGTACGTATAGTCTTCAATAAAATAATATGCCGAAAATCAAGTTCAAAGTTTTCTTTTTAACGAGGGATAAATCGATTTCAAATTAATGTCACACGTTATACTTACAGTGTTGATAGAAAAGCGAGACTAGTTACTTTCAAAGGATGAGCATTTACCACACCCGTCAGGGTAGTCCCTAATTTGATAGTAGCAATACGCGTATCATCATTTTATATCATGGAATTACATCGTATATTAATCAACTAGTAACCTCGCCCAGTATGAAACAAAAAAAAGCCATTTCCAACTGCAGCAAAAAGAAATTCCTATAATATAGGTATGAAGGAAATTTCAATTCGTTCGAATTAAAATTATCAGTATGGAGGTTACAATATATCTTTATCGACTTGATTCATTACATTCTCTAAGCTTAGTAATTCCTGGACACTGTATGGGAAATCATGAAATTGGCTATCTTCTCGTTTATAGGTTTCATGATTATTCAAGATACAGGTAACTTCAAAATTATCGGCTGATTCTGGTATAGACCAAATAACAACTGAGCCATCCAAGGAAGCGGAAGCAAAGCAAGTATCTGATGAAATAATGTAGATGATAGCCAAGATAGGGGTACGAATAGTTTACTTAGAACCAGTAAAAATTTATAATAGCAATAACTTTAGAATTAAAATGAACCTTAGCTTACGATCTGCCTAATTTACCTGATATCTTTAGAAGGTGTCGAATATGTTCGGGATGTGAGGTTTTAAGAGCATATCTGTGGCGTAGGATAACTCGACAATTATTTCCATCAATAAATTGTATTTGGAAAATTTCTATTCGTTTAAATCAAAAATTAGAGGCATTATGGTTATCATAAAATATTTTCTAGTGCAAAATGTGAAGTGATTGTAATTAATCTTTATATTTGCCGAAAGAATGACTACACAAGTGTAATATATTTGGGCACATGACTTACGTAACTCATTGTCGTCAGAAGCAGCGATCAAGAATTCTCTTCTCACAATTAACAGACTATGAATATCAGCTAAGGTTAATAAGAAAACAGAAATGTTCTGTTAACACTTTTATCATATTGGGAGTCAATAACGGACAAGATAGAAGCAGAATTAGGCTTACAATGTAGATTGCTTGTCATATCCATGTCATGTATTGAAAAGCCATGGTAGGTAAATACATTAAGTCCACCGCCGGCAGCACATACGACGTTTTGGTCTTGAATGTTAATAAAAACCTTGAGTAAAAAGTACATCAAAATGAGATATTATTACATAATTATATGTACGATTTTATAGGCCATACGCGTATACTACAATTAAATCGATTTCATGATCACTCACTTTAATAGAGCCTATTAAGGATTCAACATGTGTCATTAAACGTCCTTTTTCCAATGACCAGAACTGATATCAGCAGGGAATAATACATTTTTCTAGCTCAAGAAAATCTCTATTTTTACATAGTAATTTTCATTTTTTTTCGTAGGCAACATCTAGTATTAACTGTATACCCATATTGACTGTTATAACAATCATCTATTCTAGTTAGGTTAATAATAAGTAATCTGTTACTGCATAAAAGAGTGGAAATAAGGCTACCATTATACTATATCGCTTAATTAAAGCATGAAATATCACAAAATTGAAATGCATGCAGTATAATAATTGTTATAATCAGATAAAGTTGTGTGCATATAATATACACAGTTAGAAAAAAAGTATAATAAACGTGGGTTCTACTAGTATTCATTGATCGAACGAGCTCACCATTTTAGGGTATCTAATACAAAGACACACTCGTATATATATATATTAGGTAGGATACACAAACTGATTTATCAGACGATCCCGTAATTAACACCTTCCTTTCGTCCACCACAATCATACTTGTTATAGGTCTAGTATGCTGCTTTAAGTGATGTAGTAAGATGCCATCCTATAATATGATTATCGAATTATGTCAAAAAAAATGATTTGTGAACCATAGCCGTCTAGCATTAGAATAATTTGATCTTATTTCACGATCATTTCATTGCTTTAGCTAAAAACAGTGGGTACAATCGGAGTATAGTTAATCATCTATGAAACTCTGAACTGCAATTGATGTAATCGCTACACTCTCATAGCAATGAGCATAACAGTCAGCTGCATAAGATAAAATTAACAATCTCTAAATTACTTTCATTATAGCTACAACTAACCTCGATATCCCAGATGATAACCGTACCATCATCGCTACCGGTTACGATCCTAGTTCAAAGATCAAAACAGATATCATTAGCTGTAACGATATCTAAATTTATTCGCTAAGATGCTGATATATCACGGTGTATTATGTTACAAGTAAATATAGAATATGAAAGATAGATGATCAGATTGCTAAATATTAATATTTATTGTTGATAGCCTATTTCTCATGGAACTTTCCAGTTTAAATGGCAAAATGTGAATAGAATTGTATTATAACTGTATAACACCAGAATAAAATTGTAAAAGTAGCAATATAATTTATTCTAATATGAATAATACAGTATATGCGGATGTACGGTAGTATGCAATTCACTACAATACGCGTACAGTATGTTGTCTTAGATGTTTACTATTATTACGATTTGACAAATTATTTTACTATGCACGAGAAACATGAACGCTAAAGGACAAACAACTGGGATAGTACTAAGTGGCATACCTAATACTAACCGATGACCATCACTACAAACTATAACAGAAGTATTTAGAAGGTATTTTAGTAGTTGATGTTGTAACAGAGAAATTTATAGATTGGAAATGAATGAATCTATCCTGTTGATTTGAGGTTACTGTGTTGCCATGATTAGCGATATGAATTTACTTGTAAAATTCTATTTAACATTATTAGTACCTATCATTTCCAACACAAAGCAAGAGTCTAACAATGTCTGTATGCTTGTTTAATAGTTGTATCTCTCTGTAATCATTGAATGGCTGCTCATTATCCAGCTCAGGAACCTCGCCATCATGCTACACATCAAGAAGAAAGAGACAAGGGAAAATATTTAGTTAATATCTACATGAAATAAAAATTAGCAACGCAACTGTGTCCGCTACAAGTCACGCTTTACTAGACAGGAATTGATGTCCTATCGACGTCATGTATTCAAGACTACATTAATTAAGTCTGTAGGGTTCAAAATCAATATGCCATTAATCATCATCATTCTTAAATATCAATTCGATAACTACGAAAGCAAAGATAATTAATAGTTAGTCGAGATTATCTCATTCTATTTATCTGAATCTGAACACTCTTTCCATCCATGAAGCAGGTCTACTGTAGATCAGACCTTAGCTATTCAAATTTATTGTACAGTATCAAAAGCAAGCAATTGGATGCCTGAAATTGATTGAACTGAATACAATTGCTGGTAGTCCTATGATCGATATTGATCGTTCAAGTCTTATCGATGCAGCTAAGCTTAATAATCTCCATCAATATTAACTGACGAATACTGACGAATCATTATTAATCTGCTTCATCATTCAACGTCAACAAACGTGGCTACCGTAACGATAACTAGTAGCATTTTATTTAAGAGTGGAGATTTAACGACATACAGAAGAGAACATTGATAACATTTTCCAATCGAACGAATTACATCCTTACTATTGCAGGTTTATCCGGTCCAGTGAGTAGTTTCCACAAATTTCGGAACATTCTCTACCTTGAACGAATTTAGCGTGTTGACATTATCGTTGGGCATAGGGAAGTATCAGCAGTTATCATCGGATCGATAGCAGTTCTATCTTTGAATAAGACACAGTTGATTTTTCTTGTCATCAAATGAAAAAAAGGTTGATTTGCGGGATTCCCAGCGAATCAATTGATCTTTTCTACTGTATATTAGCCCACCAAGGTAATTTCATCAAGATTCCTGATCAAATCGACTCTAGTTCTGTACTCTACGGATCATATTATGAGCAATGGCATATTATTAATACTACTACTATTCTATCACCATAAATATTATTATAGGATTCTGTATCAGACGCTAGTTGCATGCTAGACAGTACAGTACTATTACGCCATGATGCACAAGCCTTCCCAATGCAGTGCTAAAATGGTATAGTATACTAATAGAGATGGCGTGAAAATTTTGCTGGTGCTTATTAATTATGTATGCATGCAATTGTTTAGCTTTAAAACCTATCCACTTGTCATTTTGGGATAACAAAGGGCAATCTTGGAGATGGAGAGCGAGAGTGGGAGCTACTCCTGATCTCCTATTTCTAAGCATCCAAGAATGATGGTATGGGAGTAGGACACGTTCCTCGACTACTTTCATTACTGCTAAACTCTATGATTGTTCATATTAAACGAGATTGTAGCCATTCTTGATCGCAGTTTAGATACAATGAACGACCTTATAAAGGTATTTTTAAATGCAAGTAGCTGCTAGAATATTATGAGATCTTGCAAACGACAGGGTTATGCTTTTCCTAACTCGATTGGCACCGCTAGTGTGCCATCCGGTGCCATTATAACGTAGTCGCACCATGACTCATAAACTGGATGATTATTCATAGTAAAATTATTACAGTCATACAACAAACTAGCTTATAAAGATATCTTGCTTTTTAATACAAGTATCTGTAACTAAGGTATTATGCTTTTGCTAGCCCTACTCACACAGATAGCATACCGTGCATGTGCCCGTACAACTTAGCTTGCTGACTGTACCTATATGGAACAGCTTGGCGTAAATCCTTAAGCAAATATTCTAAACATAACTTGCATTTATCGCTCTAGAAACAAAAAGGTAATCATATATAGATACGCATCTAGTACGATTTAATATCTATCTTGCACAACTTGTACCTATATTTTATCCCTCTGATCACTACTTGAACAAGTCTACAATCAATTAATAATATTTGCAATTTATTATAGTACTGAATGTTACATTAAACTTAGAATACGATACTTTGCTCAAATTGCATTATTGCATTAGTAGCACAAAAGCCTGCAGTATTGTCATACAGTGTAAGACGGATACAAACATTACAAATGAAATGAAATAGTTTCAGCTTTATTGCGGATATCGTCAGTTGTCTTATAATTTTTCATTAATTTATGTGAGTTATACATCTATGTCGATCGAATGATATGTACGAAATTATTTACTACATCTTATAGTGAAGTAGGAAATAAAGGCATTGCCTGATGATTTGTACTCACAGTGATAATCATGACGGTACATTATGGTAAATACACTTAGAAGATTTTCACACCATATTGATACACCGTCTCCTCGCTAAGGCATCAGCAGCTATTAGATTAATTTTAATCTATGATTTTGCAATTTAGAGTAAACAGCTAATCTATCAATAAACAACACTGTATAAAATTCAACATGGTAATCAGGGCTTTATCGGATTCCACCCTAACAACTAATTTTATTTTTTAGGAGGTGAAATAGCAATAATACTTTAGGATTACGTACAGACTTTGATGCAAATACTGAATCTACAGTAAACAAAGTTGAAAGGTATCAAAAATGGTTACTAGCTGATAATTCATATATATTGTTGTAAGTTATTCGATACACAGTTTTCTTAAGCATTCCATTAAATCCAATACTAGGACTGCATATTCATTCTTTGATGTAGCCTTTCAGAAAGTTATAGCAAAACTCTCAGCTCATATCTAATTAATTCAGTTTTGTAATATCGATTCCTTTTTAGCCATCTCGATAGGATGTTTATTTTCGCCAATACTACAATGAATAAATTAAACGATTATGAATACAACTGTAATACGTATTACTGCTAATATAAAAAATTTTCCAAGAATTTAGACTACTACTATACCTGGGCAACCTTATGGATGTGTTCTACTACAACTGGAAATAATGCTGTGACACTTTCATCAATTAATGATTGAATATGTTTTACAGCTTCTTCATCTGATAGATCTAAAACAAATTTATCTTGAACCTAAGGTATCAAAATGAAATCAAGATATCAACTTACTATTGATGAAAAGCCATATAGATTCAAGCAAGTCTACTTAAAGATAAGTAACGAATCTTTAAAGGAACACTTTACTATCACTTTACCTTTTTCATAGTTTTATCAGGCTCCATAGCAATATCTGGAACGTTTGCATCCAACATCAGCGAGAACAAATTTAGGATCAAGTTTGCAGATCTTTAGAGACGAGAGATAATCAAATATTTAGTCACTAAAATACAATTAAATCAATTTTAAATTAGTTCATAGCTGTCGTAAACCTTCGAAGATGCAAGAACGCCGTATAGCAGAGTTGTCTAAATTCCTGGTAATGTTCTGTATACTGGCCTCCCATACCTTCCACCTTTCGTTGTAATCATCATAAATGATGTAACCATTATGGAGAGATAGAAACTCTAACAGCCTTTGCAATATAATTCTAGACTTACCATTTCTTTGCTAAGCTTCATTGGAGGGGGGAATGGTTTAGGATCTCTACCAAGGATATATCCAAAATCGATATGGAATAAATTACCTTGATTGACATTAAAAAATCACTTCAGTTAGGATCAACATGGCTACTACCACCACGCTATTAACTATCAAAAGTAGCTTTTTCCTAAAGGAAAACACTTCTGGTATACAAGGTTGTAATGCTGGCAATGTTGTACCTGATTTAGTTAATAATAAATTGTCCAAATGTCTATCACCAATACCAAGTAAATACGTGATGATGCAATATCCAGCTAAGCAACCATAAGTCATGGAAATGGCAATATTTAAAAAATTTAAAATCCAGCTAATATTGTACGATAATTACATTAGCATTATTAAATTTACTGATATCAAAAACTCATACCACAACTCTTTACGTAAGTATCCATAACTTCTGGATTAATGCTATATGGCGCGCCTTCACTTGGATTATGTTTTCTGAAGAAATTCTGTTGGTAGTATTTATAAAACATTTGTTTCAATAGAATAAATTCAGTGACAAATACTTTAGTAATTATTGAAAATAAATTCTAACCGTACCTGAATGCTACCTTCAGCACCTAAAACCTCAGCTACGGCGGTGGAAGTTATATACTGTACAAATCCTATCATTGAAATAACAATTAGCGGGAGCAATTGAACGTACTGTACTGTACAATCTATATTATTTGAAGATTTTATTAATTAAAAAAATTATGGATTAGATCGAATAGAACTTGCCACTCGTTGTACTAGTTGCTAAAACTTTATATGGAGTTAATTTCAGATCCAAATTTTCCATCCTTAACAGCTAGAAACGAAATTTATTGCCATAAGTTGTACTAATATTAGCAATTGAATTAAAAACAATCTATAATTATAATTAATCCAAATTGACTGATTAAATACCTTATCCATCAATGTGATTATTTGCAAAATCAACTGATCCTGCCTAAGGTCGTCACCATTCTTGAAAATAGTCTTAGATTTAATAAAAGGAAGAAATATTATAATGAATTACAAATCATGTACAATATTAAGGTGATAAATTTTTGACCCTGTCAATTAACATCGACATCTATTGACTATAAAATAGCCAAAAATACTGCTATAACTATACAATAATATTCACATGAGAAGTTAAACTTAAAATAAACATTACAACGTAAATATGATCATCTACTGTCTTGAAAGGTAATCGACCAGGCATAAGATTACTCTTAAATAGCGATGCTTTATCTGTGAAAAGAAATTATTTTATATCAAATATTATATTCACTGTTCACTTGTTACTTCTTATTTTATCGAGTGCCATGAATAAAAGTATCTACAATAGTGTACCCGCAATAATTCCATTTATATGTACATTGGGATCTAAAGGAAACTGTAGCGGGTCGAAAGTAGTAAACTCCATCGATTTTATGTGGATACGCAATCGTTCAATCTACAAGAAGATCAGAAGGATTAGTATTAACAAATTTAATCCAGTTAGGGATTGATTACATTTAATTACTAAATGTCATGGCCTTGATAACCTTTTTCTTTCGATTGCCACCTTGTGAAACAACGGTGGACATCAAAACTAGTAATTTATCGATGAATTTTTGCTGCCTGTGCATCATTCTAGCACGCATTTTATATTTGTAACCTCCCTAAAGAAAGATAATAGATCCGATTTTTTTTACAAAGCACATGCATGATTATAATTGATGGCAATTGCGATAAAACTACAACTTACATTATTTAAACGATTCATAAACATCTTCATGACTGCTTTGTACATGATAGCAATCTTATCAGATTTTTTTAAATTAGGATCTTCGCATTCCACATGTAAGTACCTAATTTTTGTGATGTAAAGTATTTTTATTACTATTCTGTATCGTGTTAAAGCTCAAATTTTGAATATTAATGGCTACACTAAAATTATACCAATAAAAGTAGTTTGCTAAAGTATCATTTTTGCACGCTCTATATATAAGAAAGGACGATAGATCCTGAGCCTAGGTAAAGGTGAAAGGAAAATTTTACTTAAAAAGAGTTAACTTTTACAACCGAGGGATTAAAATCTTACCAATTCTTCATCCTCTTCTTCTTCTATTGACAGCGAAGAGCTATCCTTTGACTGCTGCTTTAGCAAATCTTCAACTATAACGTTATAAATGTATTTTATAATCATTTATTTGTGACTATCTAAAATATCAATAACAACGAAATTGAAATATTACCGGACTCCTTTCCTTGAGTAAATTCTTGTTTATTAGTAATTATTGTATCAATGACCGTTCTTGACATTGGCTCCGAAAGATCGTCAATGTAAAGTTTCTGATATTTACAGATAATGCTATCCAGATTTTCATACTTTAATGCTTGCACTAATTGTAAAAGGTATAGCAGCAAGTGCTAAAGAATATTTTAGCAATTAGACAAAGCAAATATGTTAACAAGTCTATCCTATACAGCAAAATGCCGCGATTTATATAATTACCTCGTCATCGGCTTTCCATAATCTAGCTACAGCATAACCACGTACTTTTTCATGTTTATAATTTGTCGAAAGTAATTCCAACGCATCATCAAAATCCATTGGTGACCACTTTTCCAACAATTCTAATGCCTATGTAACAGCGACAATCATTCATATTTTAAAGTACTGAGAGTAGCTACGATAACTCAGTAGTACAGTAATTTGTTTTGCATCAATGCAAGTTAGATGTGAACCTGCTTAGCTTCTTGAGGTGTATCCCACTTCACACATCTTAAAAATTTAGGAAGAGCCTACGTACACGTACGGATATAGTTTGATAGCGTAAGTCAATAAATGACTAAAACGACATCGAGATAATTACATCAATTTTTTAGGACAAACTTTTTTATAACTGGATAAATAGAAACGAAATCTCCAGATTAAATCTTCTTCGTCAGCCGTTAAAAACTTTGTAGGCGGATAATTCATAATTATCTGTTTATGCCAGGAGTTCAAATAAGATAGTTTAGTGAAAACATTGCAATACAAATCCTTGCTAAACATTCCAAGTAAATGAGACAATTTAAGATAATCTAGATTGTCTACATTCAGTAAGTCTCTAATTTCCGCATTGGGTTTAAGCTCGCGTGTTCCTGTCCTTAGGGCTCGCATCAATTTATGGTGCTTCATCTCAGCTAAATTACTCTAACGAGGATTACGCAAAAATTGCAAAGCTTTAGACAGATGGGAAAAATGAAATGGAAATATCTGTTATTCCTTACACATTCCAATTCTGGATCCGGTAAAACAATAATATCATTTAATGGCTTAACAACATCTTCAGAAGTTGCATCCTGTCCACAAATAATTGAGTTAAGGATACAATCAAGTCTGTGGTACAGTGTGACATAGTAAACGTACTTGCATTTTATTCTAATGAATTAGCAATAGAACTTACAACTAGCTATCATAACCTACCTTTTCAAAGTATACAATGCAATAATCGTCATTTTCACGATGTATCCGTGGAAATTCCACCATTAAAAACATCATGTTAGAATCTCTTTTTTCTTTCTAATTAATATCAAAAATGGCCACATATAACTGACAAACCAATAGCGCTCATAAGAAGACTTATTTTATTGGTTATTATTCTCAAACGACACAACGAGCTAATTGAAGTTCATAATGATAAGAACGGTCATAACCTCATTAATTTGCTCAATTTCTCTAAAAGCAAGCCTATCAAGCCAATCGACTTCTTTCATTCGGCCTTTACGGTGTTTTTTGCTTAGCTAAAATTAGAGTAGGTAGGTGACGAGATAGTAGTGACGCCAAGTTATAACGAAATGTCTAGAGCGATTTTACGTTCAATTACTCCTGTCTAAAGTAGTAGTTTACCTTGCTTAATCGCATCATTTGTTTCTGAGAGCAGTCATCGGACATTTTACCTGGGGTAGTAGTATTAACCTTCCCATCAGCCTCAACATCAGGCCACACTTTAAAATCATGTATTCCGCGTCGGAAAATTCTGTGGTAGAAACAATGATACGAGTATATCCATATTTAGTTAGCTTACATGACACTACAGCAATCAGTAGTTTTGTAGTATTAATTAATTCGGTTAAAGCAGATTAATAACTAGCATAATGCTGGCAAGTATTATGATTAGTATACTCTTAATCAAGGTAGGTATTTAGATACAATAAGTAAAGAAAATTGCATATACGTGTACGTGAGTGTAAGTTGAAGGATTACTTTGATTGAAACCTATCGCAGAAAAGTATAGTACAATTGCATTCTGTCTATTTTTGAAATTACCCGTTCTTGCCAAATAGTGATACCGTTGTTGCGCCAACAGGTATAGCTTTCTTTGACCCGTAAATATCCCAAATGGTAATAGCAATCTATCATAAAGGTGTAAAGTAATGCAATCAAATGGATTGTTTTTCAAGTTAAGCAGTAAGTACTGCTTGTAGATCAGTCGTTGTATTGTAGATGAATGAATAGATTAAGCAAATATGACAACCATTCAGATACCGTAGAAAGGCTTTAGTATCGAGAATAAGATTACTGTACCTGGGCATTCCTTGGCAAATCGCTATACTTGATAGGTAATTTAATCCATTCATTCCAACTAAGAAATTACACGTACAGTATTAGAATCAATATGTAGTCATGTATCCAGTCAATTTGTATATGCAAAATTAGCAATTTGGATACCAGCTATAGCAAATAAACTTACTTCCATCTTCTGCTAAAAGGTTTGTAAGATGTTCTTGTTGGCAGTGTTAATTCAACGTTGTTGTCATAGACTTTGCATGATACAAATAGATCTGCTTTCTCACTATATGGAATCATAGTCAAGATTTCAAGTTTAATCTGGAGGCACAATACAATACTGTAGGATGACGGATGAGAATCTTTCCTACATTCCTCGTACTGTATGGAGGCGATAGCATTAATGTACTACGAATCGATGGTAGCGAGTATACGTCTAGAAATGGTCTGATTTTGGAAAATGTACTTGTACGTTTATCTATCCTCAATTAGCCTAGCAACATCATTGTCCACTGCTGGGATATTGATAGTATAAAACGATTACTGTAGATTGATATGAGGAAGAAGAGCAGTCATTGTACGTTCTATCTGTCAAACCACTGCATCGATTATCCTTGTTGCTATTGCAGTTGTTATTATTACAATGGTGATATAATTTCACAACGTTCTAATGATAGTCGCATATTGATCGGTATATCTTCTCATCAAGGGTAAAGCTAACTCATTTATAACCTAGACTGATTATTCATTGATTGCACTAGGTTGTGATTTTATATTTGACTTACCTTTCATAAAGACCTGAAAATTTTAAGACTGGATCGTCAACAAGAGCTTTTAAACACTTTCGATCTCGTTTCCCTTCTAAAGTTCCTCTACATATTTGGATCAAGATATGATTAGATTTTTCTCCTTTACATTCTCATGTCTATCATCGTATTCATTCCTTATTATTTACATCGACTTGGTAGAGAATGATTTAGTGTAGTCAATCAAGCATATTTATTGGTTATTGGAGAGAGACATCTTGTCTCGACAGACAGAATCTCTATCCAGTAGAACGAATGCATTGCTTCATGCAACAACTCTTAGGGCAGAATAACGACTTACTTTCCTATCCATTTACTTACATTTTAATATAGACATAAGTATCTAGATCGCAGCTGTAGACATAGTTAAACTTATCGAGTAGATCAGAAGCAGCCATGACTGTGTATTCCAATTACGCCATTGAAGGCAAGAAGGAGGAGGATAAGTTGCTGGTGGCCATTTCTCTTGCCACGTATGATGCAATGCTAGGCTGTCAGCGAATTTCGTAGAATTTCAACAGATTTTGACTCTACTCCGATGGAGTGGATGGAGCAGTATACTGTATTTGCAAGATTTGACAAATGACCCCACTCTCGGCAATCGCAGTATGTCCAAAACATCGTCCTACCATTAAAAGCTATTTGACTGAGTTGAGTAGTAGCCCATGATACACTCTATAGTAGACTGATATTCCTGTCAAGCGACAGCAAGTAATTATTCAATTAGACTTCGGTTTGACTGACTTGATTGGAGCGTATGCTACACTATCCTATATTCTACCCTCGAGCAAGGCAGTTGTAAATAAATAAAATGGCGAGCTGCTTGCATGCAAGTTTATAGCAGTCTAACCCTAATCTACAATCAATTAAAGGGCTTCCAAGAGGGAAAACTGGCAAAGTCCCTTGACCAATAATGACCTCCCTGCCTCGATTAGATCAGGGACTGATTAAATGTCCAGAAAAGAAATTGTGTTGTGAAGAATCTGCTATCATCTGCAATGCTTCTCCATTACGTTTCTGCTTTGCAGCTGGCTGACCTAAAGTAAGCCAGAATCAATCACGGGCTTCTTAATAAGAGGGAAAACTAGCAAAGTCCCTGGATCAACAATCCCTGCCTCGATTGGATCAAGCGACTGATCAAATTCCAGAAAAGAAATTGTATTCTGAAGAATCTGTCATCATCTGCAATGCTTCTCCAGTACGTTTCTACTTTGCAGCTGGCTGACCTTAAGTAAGCCAGAATCAATCACGGGCTTCTTAATAAGAGGGAAAACTAGCAAAGTCCCTGAATCAACAATCCCTGCCTCGATTAGATCAGCGACTGATCAAATTCCAGAAAAGAAATTCTATTCTGAAGAATCTGTCATCATCTGCAATGCTTCTCCAATACAGTACGTTTCTACTTTGCAGCTTGATGACCTAAAGTCCCTGGATCAACAATGATCTCCCTGCCTCGATTAGATCAAGGACTGATCAAATTTCTGATGATATGTCCAGAGGAATCTGTAAGCATCTGCAATGCTTCTCCAGTACTGCAAGTCTCTGCTTTGCAGCTGGCTGATCTAAAGTAAGCCAGAATCAATCACGGGCTTGTTAATAAGTGGGAAAACTGACAAAGTCCTTGGATCAACTATGATCTTCCTGCCTCGATTAGATCAGGGACTAATCAAATATCCAGAAAAGAAATTCTATTCTGAAGAATCTGTCATCATCTGCAATGCTTCTCCAATACAGTACGTTTCTACTTTGTAGCTAGATGACCTAAAGTCCCTGGATCAGCATTGATCTCCCTGCCTCTATTAGATCAAGGACTGATCAAATTTCTGGTGATATATCCAGAGGAATCTGTAAGCATCTGCAATGCTACTCCAGTACTGCACGTTTCTACTTTGCAGCTGGCTGACCTAAGTAAGCCAGAATGAATCATGGGCTTGTTCATAAGTGGGAAAACTGAAAAAGTCCTTGGATCAACAATGATCTCCTTGCCTCGATTAGATCAGGGACTGATCCAATTTCTTTCTTTAGTAGTCGCTGATTGTATGGCAGTATGTGTCATGCACCGTAGCGATGAAAGATGGCATGCACTGCGGCGAAATGCCAGAAAGAAATCTTATTCTAAAGATTCTGTCATCATCTGCAATGGCTCTCCAGTACGTGGCTACTAGGCAGCTTGCTGACCTAAAGCAAGCCAGAATCAATCAGAGGCTTCTTAAAAAGAGGGAAAACTTCAAAGTCCCTAGATCAACAATGATCCTCTTGCCTCTGCTAGATCAGGGACTGATCCAATTTCTTTCCTTAGTAGTCGCTGACTGTATGCACCGTAGCGATGAAAAAATGCCCAGGAAAGAAATTTGATTCTGAAGAATCGGTCATCATCTGCAATGCTTCTCCAGTACGTTTCTACCGTATACTTCTACAGTGACTGTCATAGACTTGCCGATTACTTTGCAAGTAATGGACAAGTCCATGGCATAGTCTACAGCATGATTGAGCATCTCTTGTAGACTGCAGCCCATTTCTTCTAGCGGTTAAAGGATGATTCATTCATGCTTACTAACTTGCTTTTTATAAATGTGTGACAAAATAATGTATTATTATTATAATAATAATAACAATGTATGAGTCATGGCCACTCGGGGATTTTACCAGCCTACTGAGCACTGCCGGCGGCACTATCATATTTGTTTTTATCTTGGTTTTGAATCGTTGCTCTACTATAAAGCTTAGCGACAAATTGAAAGACTCAGCTCCAATCAATTTGCTGTGCAAAGTAGTCTCCAATTCGACCTGGTGGAAAATAGCCTCAAAGCTATTCATTGCTGACAGCTGAGCTCTATTTTTATTGTTGCTGGTCAGACTTTCTACCCTATTACTGTCTCAAAAGGATTGGGGGCTTAATTTCTGAAGCACTGAGCAATGTACAAATGGTACATGCTGTAGTCTGTAGACTAGTCATTTCATTTAGTCAAAACAATCGTTGTCGGCATTGGAGGAGTATCGCTGTAAAGGATTAGTATAGCAATTTTCAATAGTCCATCATGTTGTAATCGTCGCTTATGCTTTGCTGCTAGGACATTTTTACCAAATGCAGCTACGTCCTGCCAGCTCCATTCCATTTTTAAGGAATTTCTCTTATTAATTAAGCATCCCTGTTATAATGCTATACTACTTGGATATTTTTAACCAATGCTACTGCCTAGCTTAGTTTACTGCATCAACATTTCTACCTAATACTACTCTGCCTTCTGATAGCTCATTTCTAGCGATCATGGCCATTTTTATCAACTGCTAAACACTTAATAAAGCGTATCGACTATTTTTCTCCTCGTTTACACTGTACCGTATGACTAAAACCGGACACTACCCTATGATGTGGCATGGACATGATTGTTTCCCATAGTGTTTCTAGTGCTAGCACTGGTGCTGCAGTACATGACGTCATCACCACGATGACGTCATGTACTGCTGAAGATGACCTTTAGGTGGAGTGACGTGCAATTGTGAGTCAATTTGTGACGATGATGACCACCAGGTGCTCAGCCGGACACCATACTGGACGCGTCTTAAATAAGCTGCCGCTAGCCTACTAGGCATGCAAATTCAAGATGAATGGCCGTCGAGAACATCGTAAAAAAGGCAAAGCTTACCGTTGGATCCATCCATCTAGTGTCTTCGAAGATGGTGGTGGAGCTTGTTATACATCTAAAGTAAGTGTTAATTATCGATACTTCTTGATTGCTATTGGATCTCCATTTTGAAGGGTGCAAAAGATGATGATCAAGTTGAATTTTACACGCATCATCCAACAATAACAACAAGAGCGCAAGCAAAAAATTAGGGGGGAGGAGGACGGAAAGAATTGAGCCAGTTGAAAGGAGAAATAGCAGTCTAGATATCATCCAAGGGATAATCGAACTGATTGATGATGGACAAGATGATCATGTTGGATGGGGTTTATGAATAGAAGAGGGATTTATAGTTAATGGGTTCGATTTGGATTGATAAATTCATGATTCATCATCTCATCGCTTGTCCACCATGCATGTTTCGCAAGAGTAGCAAGCATGAGTAGAATAGACCTGGAAAATTGTCAAGACAACATGGCAGTAGCTCCATGTCTCTTAATTTTGTAATAGAGTCATACCTACTCTAGATGAGATGAGTAATCTTAGTTCATAGCTCTATTGCAGGGAGTCATGGACTCTGTGATAGGGTATCGCTAGTGGACACCTTTGATATTCCTTTTTCCTTGATGTGTGCACTCTACTCTTGGATATTGCCCAAGCCTGATAAAAAGCCATCTAGGCAATCGACTTGCAAAGTACAGTAGTTCTACTTCATGTTGAATGGGCGAATAAATCCATTGGATAATATCCAACTGCAGTAGCAAATTTTTCATATCCTTTCCAGTAAGTTACAAAGCGTTAAAATCAAGTACACCTTCATGATGGATTGCCTTATACGTGTCGTACTTCAAGTTCTACACGACAAAATCGTTTGAATAATTATACTGTAATGAACTGATCTACAGTACATAACTTTTAATCCTTCTGGTAAATCTAGTCATAAGATTCCTATCCAATGATCAATTTTATTCTACCTTGAACATGATCGACTAGATATGAATCATTCTCGATTACATATGGATTGAAATGCAATCTTAAATTGTTCAATTTACTAAGTTTGGCCTTCAACGTAATCCATGCTAGTGATTTTCTACAAGTACAATCATGTCTTCCATTTAACCTTAATTTTTGTTTTCACTAACCTACAATTTTATGCAAGCGGATGAAGCCATTTTAAAATACTATAAGAAGATCATCCACTTAATCATTCTATCTTAAATTTGATCTTTTCTAGTACATTGGATGCATTCCGATCATCAGTTCTATACGAACCTGTACAGACGAACTTCGCACGGAAATTATTCGGTAAGTGCAAGTATACAAGATTTACTGTATATCATGAAATCCTATACGGGTAAAATTATCACCACCCTATCTTTTTTTTATCCAGTCCCATTGCTTTCACCCTAGATACACTTTATAAATGCTAAGACTAAAAGTGATGCTGTTTAAATTTTTACAAGATCCAAGCAGCATGTTGTACTACGTATGAAATTTGAAATTTGAATTTTTTTACTGCACCTAAATCCCCATGTGAATTCTCATCACAATTTCGTCCAAATAGATGAACAATCAATAAGATAAATCATCCATTAAAAAAGATTGCCAATGTTTTATTTTATTGACCATCTAAACACTAGAAACGGAATTGAGTTTTATTGACATACTCGCATAGTAGATACAATTATATGATGAAATGAGGAAAGTATTTGAATTGTAAATAATTTTCTTGAACTGATCCTGATGTGTAATAGTTACTATTGCAAGACGATGGATACTTCTCATTTAAAACTTCCTTAGATACTGTAAGTAACAAAAAAATAATCAACGACTTGATGTCATCATTCTTATGTCATCGTTGTTCATCTGTGATTAATTTCCATGTAATCCGCTAGCGATGATTCACAAATCTACTCCATTGCTTTACCCTATATGAACGTATTCAATCGGACAATGCAGTACTGTCCAAGATAGCCATTCTATTTTTTCCACACCTGGTTCTTCTACCAACTATAACGCTTACTGTAACTATGCAAAATGTAATTAATTGAAGGTAAAAGAATGAAAAGACAAACTAAATGGCAGTAGAAGTGTTCATCATCGTCGTATGTAAATGAATCAAAAAGATCGAAATACCGCAATGGTTTGATCGCCATCGCTTCATGATATCGATCCAACAGCGACAATGTTTTTACTTATGCTCATTGCTGAATGTCGTCAAATTATTATTTTTTTTTTATAGAATGACATAAGAGGTCCAATGTTAAAATCAATCAAATTATTGTATGCCAACATAAACAATCCACACTTTTAAAAGGGCACTGTTAGCTATCTTAATAAAGGAACACATATGTTAAAACATATTTTTGCATCTTTTTCTACTAATCCCTTAATCCATAATTGGCATATTGATCTGTTACAAAAAAAAAAATCTGTTAGCCACTTGCTTAGCAACAATATCTTTGACAGCAAATTCGTGATAACTGTTGCCATTGACTATTTGCGAAATAGGTCAAATTATGAATATCCACATCCACACTACTATTATACATCTTCTATGTTATAGCGACAGGATTGAATTTAAATATCTAAACCACTAGGTCACTTGTCTTGGATGTTCTTTCCCGATAATTTCAGGACTGATGATAATTTGGCTTACTGTAATCAACAGTTCTACGGAATTTCACCATTGAATGAATTGCTGCCGGTACAAATCAAAACTGTCGGCATCGACATAATCAATTTTCTAACGGTGATAGGAACGATAACTCTAGTCTGATAGGCTTACCCGCAAACTACCAACTATATCTAACATATCGACGACAGTTCATGGCTTGCCTCTCGCCAACAATCACCTATCTTCTGCATTATACTTGTACCGTAGATACAGTAGTTTTCTTTTTAAATTACTTACTACACATACAGTAAACTTAATATATCAAGCTCAATGGCGCTATTAACATGTGATATCCCCTTTTGCAGCATTGATAGTTGAAACAAAAGTAATAGACATAAAAATGAGAAAAAAAGTTTCCTTTAAAGTTGTTACTGGAGTAATATTTAAAATATCTCGTATCGATATAGTTCTAGCTGCCAAAGCCATGCGCCTTGAATAATATCACAAAATTACTTTTGGAGATAAAAATGAAGAGAAAAATCAGTGATAGACGGATACTACGATATCTAGTATCCTGGCAGATTCGGTTATCGATCAAATATGGGAATGGTCAATCCGAGGAGATGACCAACTACAAAATGAGTTTTACATATAGAACGATCATATAGAGAGCAAAAGTGAGAAGCCAAATTGGGGGATGTACTGACAAATGCAGTATATATGGATCACTGTTGGAATTCCACGCTAGCTAGAGCTGCCAAAGCCATGCGTCTCAAGTCTTGACTAATTTCACAAGATTTCGAGATTAGCATTCGCATATTAGTCCATGATAGTTTTACGAGTACCCAATTTCTATGTAATGATATAGTTATCCTTGGAAAATAATATTTAGACGTGGATATTGTACAAGTGTGTAGATTGATAAACAGGATTCGGTTAGAATAAAACTAAACCCAATTCCTCTGATATACAGCACATGTATTCTACAAGATGAATCGATTACTTCTTATAGCTACGGGAGTCGCTCAATTTTTAATCCATCACTGCTCAGTGCTCACAATTATTATTTTAATGCCGCCGATGTATCAATCTTGAATCATTAAATTTGTCAAAAGTAATTCGGGACTTTTTTAAAGAAAGAAAAGTGCTTATAAATTGATCCATGTTTCAATTTAACCTTAATGTTCGTATATAGTGATGCCATTTCAAAATGCGCGATAGAAACAAAATGTGGCCCGTACAAGGATATGAAAAAACGAAAGGTACTGACAACCTCAACAAATCAATAATTATATAGGCGCACCTTCTCTAGTACTAAGCAGTCGAATATAACGCTGAAAAATGAATAGCTACAGCCTTAACCATAGACGTCTTCATAGTTTTCATCTCGAATATTCCTTTATATTATATTTCAATTTAGATGAGCAAGCAAGCAGCAAAGTTTCTCGGCGGTAATCACGATTACAATCAATTGATTGTGCCTATTGCTAAAGTGGATTGACAAATTAAATAGGATCTTATATATCGTTACTTGGATTACTTAACATCAATCATATTTGATCTTCATTTTCTTAGCTTATGCTAAAAATTCATTTGTTGGTCATGAAGTTGGTGTAGCCGTGACTGTAACTCAAGTGATTACTTATGATATCAAGTTAAACGAGGTATGCCATTAGTATATTATGATGCAGTATTCCTAATGATGATCAAGTTTTATACTATACTCGTATTGAGCAATAGATGCTAAGCGACTATTTTATAACATTTATACACATGTATTAATTATAATTTCATGTATCAGAGTATTTTCAATCACAGCGTCAAAGGCATTTCCTACGTTGCTTGCGGTGAAAAGGTTTGAATTTGATATATGTCTCATATTTTTTTATTCAAGTTTATCACAATATTTCCTGATAACACTGACCAAAATTTCTATATACAATGATAGGAACAATCTCAGTTTTTAGCCTATGTCGCTAAAGAATCTGCAGACAAAAGATGTAAGTTTAGACTTGAACGCTCATTTCTGAACAATCTTTTATTATTTGTGTTCAAGCCATAAGATTAAATAAAGAATGATTGGAAATTACTTCGAGACAAATAAAATTGACATATTTCAATTAATCAAGGCTGCTACGTCTTCTCCTGTGAAAATGACGTTGCTGACTGTTTGGTGGTAACACTTGGTCAAGCTTTTGAATTGTGTTATAAAAGAACTACCAAACAAGCTAGAGCAAGCGCTCAGCAAGCAGTCGATGGTGAAATTCCAAAGTAGGCCCTGTAGTCCTTATTTTTATATGTTCTATTCGTACCTATCTTTAACTATACTTTTTCATCTTCTCGCAATTTCTATGTGTTAGTAATATGTCTAAGAACAAAGATGTTAATGAGCTGGAATCTCAGGTACAAAATTTGCCAATTTGTATTGTAAGCAATGCAGCTCTTTCAAGAATGAATTAATAAGAGTATATTGTCCATGTATGTGTAGGCGAAATATATCAATGATGATATTATCAGAACGTTAACCAGACAACCGTCAGCTCCTCCTGAGTTACAAACCTCTGTTCCTCCTGAATTGCAAAGCGTTGCTCCTGTTCAATTGCGAGGCACTGCTCCACCAGATGATCAAAACTTATCGGTAACAAAGTTATAATCAATCAATTACTTCTTAGTAGTAGAGCATAAGTAACTTTTATTTTTAATCGAAAAATTAGGTACCACCTAAAGTTTTGCGCAGCCAATCAGCCCATATCGAAACCGAAGTTGCCTTAATCGATTTATCTGTAAGTCATTATAATTTTGAAGTTATACCAACGTAATATAAGTACCTATGGTATGGCAGTATTTCAATCTCTAATACTTTTATTTAAGCTATCAATATGTTTAATCGATAGGATACGACAGGAAATATTAATGATAGGTTAAAGGATAGCCATTTAGTTGCTACTAATGATCCATGGGCAGAAGTGATGGCCTCCAATAATCCACAAGATGTTTACATCAACACGAGCCCACCGGAATATTATAATATCGTCAATTTTGATGTATGTTATCAACTCATGCAATAATAACATGTTCGATTGATCTTCCTTACTGATGTTCTACTTTTTCCATGCATGTTTAGGTTCCATCTCATGTGGCTAATAGTGTCGGTAAATATCAGAATTTACAGTTTACTTTCCTAGAAATAATCATCGTTATTTACAGTATATCGATAAGATCTTCGCTACTGAATTCATTAATAGAGTAATAACTTTAATTAATGCAGGGTTAGCAAAACTCCAACGTGAACTCTGGTATCATGGGGGTCTTAGTCGTGGTGATGCGGAGAAACTATTGCAAAAAAATGGTCAATTTCTAATTCGACAAAGTGTAAACAACCCTATGCAATTTGTATTAAGCGGCATGATCGATAACGTACCACATCACGTTCTTGTTACTAATGAGCAAGGCATAGTAAGTCAATGGACTGCCCAATGGCTCTCCGATAACAACATCCTTTGTATACTCAAAATTGCAGTATTCTTTTATTCTGTCTCTGCTAATCTTAATATATTAATCTCACACTTTTGTTATTATCATTGCAGGTTAAAACACAGGACTACAAATTTGATAGTGTCAGTCAACTTGTTGAATTTCATCGAAAATCCGATAAACCTTTGGTGTCGCAAACCGATCATCTTTGGCTTAAATTTCCTATTCCCAGGCAGTGTTAGGATCATGGCTAATAGTTTTCCTTCTTAATAAATAGTAATTTTATTGCTATAAACTTTAACGTGACATGGAAAATTTAGGATTGACAACTAGTAAATTTGTACAAATTGTATTTGATCATGCTAGTAATATACGTACATTATTTATCATTACTTTTTTAAAATAATTTACTAGAAATCATTTAGTTGATAATGCATGTTACATAATTTGGTCAACTCTATTATTTGTGACATCCTTATACATATAATCGTGTATCAGTAGTACCTATAAAGTAAGTAGGTTTACATTAGTTGCTACATTGCTGATATCAAATATTATCATGGCGTTAAGACTAGTTCAGCCATACTTGCACCGAAGCAATTTCGATATAAATGTTATTAACCATGGCAAGAAGATGGATGCGATACAGTTACACTTAGTTTAATACGGCGGAATGAACCACTTTTAAAGTAAAAATTATCGCTGTTGAAAAGGCTTATTACATGTACTTACGTCGTTGCTTCAACGTTTGTTTGATGGAATGTTAACAACTATGTGCCAAGTCTCAATAACAAATGTTCGTCGTTTACTGATCGTTAAACATTAAAATTGTAACTTTGTTTTATTTTGATAGCCCTTTACCAAATAACAGAACTATATCCATCCATTCCTCATTTAATTTAGATGGATATTAATGTAATAATCCAAATCTTATCATTATGTATTTTACTAGTCCATGATGGACATAATAAAGAGTAATAATCAAGTACACTCAACCTTCCTATATATTTTTTTTACCCGAAATGACCCAAATTGACGTTATGCTTGGTATTTCAATCAAATCCATTAAATGCTATCTTTATAAATATCTCTTCAAGTAGGATCAACTTATAGAACAACGTATAGCACTTGTAGTTGATTGGTTACCGTAGAAAGGCAAACAAAAATGATTATACAATATTAATAAGTGAAATGAGAGATGACACTGGATAGAACACTGTAAAAGCCGATTTAAATGCTATGAAGAATACTTACAGAATATTAATTAGTATTGTCATTACTAGATAAAGAGTAATTAGAAGTCTAGAAAATGGACTTATCCGAATATTTTTACAACTGCCACAGTTTACTCTTCATACCAACTTGCTTGTCGTAGTAACTTCATAAATAATTAATTTATTCAAAGCGTAATTTGAAGAGCAACAAATTAAACTCAATGCACCGCTTTATCGCTTATAAGTGTTTTTACTGTACAAGTGTTCATAGAAGTAATCCAACAAAAATGATGGTATCGTCTAATAGTAATCACAATATTATACCTCATAGTGAACAGTGATGCAGTAAAACCAGTATAGAATATATGATAACAAATAATTTCATGAAATAAAATTTGCATTTTATACAGTTAATATTATTAAATAACAAAGAGCTGACCAAAAAAATTTCCGTGATTACATATGTCCATAATTTATATTAACTACATTCATCATACCAATATACAGTACATTGGATTTTAAATGAAATTACGCAATTACTTATGTGCTTGAAGTAACAAATTGTAGCAGCAGAAATCTCTAATTTATTAATCAAAATACATGATCATTGAATACTAATAGATTTCTAACAGTTTTTAAAGCATGCAAACCTTGGGGAATTACAATATTATACATGTACAACAAGAACATTTAGAACCCTCTTGTGTTACTACTCTAGTTGGAAAAAGATCAAATTCTTCATCATCCGTTGCTTCATCCAGTCGAAAACCATCTTTCATTAATTGCTGCTTGATTTCAAAGATCTTAAATAATGAACAAAAGGAAAATCGATCTTTCATATTCGATGCCATGTATGACATAACACCTTATTCTTATAATTCATTATATAAAATAGGATATGAGTATAATACTGTAACAACACGTTCACGATTATACAAGTAGATAAAAAAACTTACTTCTACAGGTTGCAGCATGGCACTATTGTCGCTTTAATACAAAAATGTAAAAGAATAATATTATTATTTATCTTTATTGAGTAAAATAATTAAAATCTTATCTGATTAACAATTGATTAAAGCGTAGTATTGATGAACACGGAATTGCATTATTTTGACGGAATTTATCCGAACTACTGCATGTGGGTAATGCGGAAACGTAAAACATCTGCACGATCTACTAACTAAACCTTAATCAGAAAAACTTTAAATGAATTTCAACAATCAGTTACATACTTAGCTTCATGATTTAGAAGTTGTTTTCCGTCAATTTTACTATATTTTGGTGGTCTAGCATAAAACAGATATTTAAAATATCATCATATAAATCAGTTTTGCTATGAATTAAGATGTAAAAGTCTACAAAAACCGATTTATTCAATAACACTGGCTGCATTGAATACAGGTAATCAATGTATAACATAGTATATTCAAGACGTTCAAAATTTTATCACAAATGTAGGGTTATTATAAAGAGCATAGAAAACGATAACATCGCAAGCTACTTCTAGGACAACTATCAGTAAATCTTCTCATCGTTTTATTCTCCTATGTTATTTATGTCACATTTTATAATGCAGAATCACTAATATGTTACCAATCCAATGCCTTTATAAATTAATAAAGTTAAAATAAGTGTATTACAGAATCAATTATAGCTGAAATTAATCTATCTGTACACTAATAAAAAAAAGTAATGGTGATTCAATAAAGTGACATCTTTATCCACTTTATAGCATAATTACCGTATACCGTATACTGTACATATATCACAAAACCTAAAGCTAAGTTCGTAGCTGCTGTTTTGATGCTCGCTCATCATTGACAATAATTGCCTAATTTAATCCATTACCTATTTGAACTGCTTTTAGGCAATATTCTCGTTTTCTCTTTACTTTTATCATTATCTAATTTCTTCGTCATAATCTTATGATCCTCTGTAATTGTTTTAAAAATGGAAGACATTTCTTAACACTATTGATATAAGAATGAGATTGCAAATCGTATAATCTAGAAGTTATAAAATGATTCTTACACTTTTTTTAAGCCTACACTTTTAAGGTAAATGACAATTTGTACGGTGTTATAAAAGATAGTTACAGTGGTCAAGAATTTTTGAAGTCATGCTAGGAGTAAGTAATCAAACCACAATATAAATCATACGGACTAAATTTACCTATTATAGCTAAAAGAATCTCTAATCACAGTTACTTATATTAAATAATTGGCAAGTTAGTATGCCATAGTTTAAAACGGAAATTTTGCGTTTGCTATACTACATTACTGCGACCACTAAGCATTATTCATTAGCAATATAATGCACAATTTGTGAATTACAAGCATTTCCAAGTCATAATCTAATCCATGGCTAGTATTAAGGGATTCTAACTGACTAGGTGTGCTACATAAGAAGTGTGATTTTGATCATACTGCATTTGTCAAGATACTGTGGATAGCCTGTGATCTATTTATCAATTAGTGGCACCTTACCGATTTGCTGTAATCCATGTGATGGTTTCATTACTTTTTTAGTTAATTTCTTGACACGACTTTCGCGATTATCGACTTCGAAAAGGACCTTTTAATAAATAAATCATCCAATTCAATCAAATGAGTAGCAATGTTATCACATTTTATGTAGCCATCCATCCGATTAATTCATAACTGGCTTGACGATAAACTCATTCCACTGTATAATGGTAATAATTTAAACTAAGAAACTTTTATAAAATTAAGCAAGCCATCCATTGCAGGCATGATAACAGGTAAAGTACAGTTTTAGGCTTGTGATTTGACGTATTTTGAATCATCATGGAGGCATCATGAAAGGGAGAAAATAGCGATGGTGACTGTTTCTATATATCTGAAGTAAATCGATAAGTACGGTTTGCAGTTGCACTGATGTTGTTTACCGTGCTCGCATGGCGGATGTGAAATTTGTATTTCTGTTTTTAAAATTTACCTGATTAATCATCTAAAAGCTAAATAGCACGCTGTTGGTTTGCAATGCCGTAATTAATTCTTTTAATGTAATTATTTAGGGTACCCCGCATTAGCGTGTCCTGTCAAGGACAAGGTAAAGATTAAAGGTAGCCAATGATAGAATCGCAGAGGTGAAAAAGATTACTCTATGGATTGAAGTTAAGAAAAGCTGTGAATATTACATAGTTAACTGAGACGTACACTATGGCATCTGATCTCTTTTAAGTTTACAAACTGCAGCCTACTACAGTACTTTCATAATAACATAAAACTTCAATTCTTGTCAAGTTAGTGATAAGAGAGTTTCATCATGTTCAGTTGATGGGTAAAATGAACCAATTATATTATCGTTTTGGAGTCTAAACTTGTTGAAAGGCAATAGAATCCTATTTTAATACTACGAAAATCAATTCTTTTCCAATGATAATGGCTTTCACAGATGAAATAGTTTGGTATCAAAGTGATGATAATTGCATATCAATATTTTACCGAAATAATTATTACTCATCATGACAGAATATCCAATGTTCACATCATTCATCACCAGGTGAAGGTGAACGATTATTCTAACTGCGGATTGATGATTGATAAAATCATGATCGAAAAGAGTCTGGATGATGATAACTACAGTAGAGTACATGAAGAAATCATGTTAGCCTAAAACGATACCAATCCTGTATAATCTGTCTGCCGACTATGCTCGGCTAGTAAGCGTGTTGATTTTTTCATTTACAAGACTTACGAAATGGATGTTAGCCATTTCTATGTCATAAAATAGGATAGCAGATGAGAGCAACATCAAGACACGGTCTACAAATAGTACACAGTCGATAGAAGGGATTGATTGTAGAAGGAGCAGATATTCCATTCTCTTAATAAGCTACATCAAGTATTGTCAATCGATAGTTTAAATTGAAGATCTTTTCTTCTAACAAGGTAAACTAGCTCCATTATTACTAAGGGATAGCATAAAATCATTGCCTATAACGTAGCTTCTAAGTATTTTAGAATTACTTCAGCTTGGTGATGGACTAGCTACGAGTATCCGTGCGTTGTCGTATTGCATTCAAGTATTGGCATTGACTGTTTCTATCGAGAAATAGCATCGTTTGTCGAGTGTAAAGTGCAATCCTAGCTTGACATAGTCGTATTGCATCCATCTACCACGCTATTCCTCTTTCTATGTATCATTGCAGTAAAACTCTTGTAGGCCATGAATTATATACGCGGCATCCTACAGCATAGCAATATTACCTCTTCATCGATGTCAGCATCGTCAGCGGTGGATGTTGACGATGTATGGCCATAACTAGCGAATCCTCCGATCAGGTTTACGTTGACATTTCCCGTAGGCATTTTCAATATCTCATCCAGGACAAAACTGATCGATTGACAGGACTTTCCAATTCTACCAACATTCAATAATAGATTTTTAACTTTGTAATTTCATGAGATGCTTTCAACTGGAGCCTACCTGAAGATGAAATACTGCTGGTCAAGAGAATGAAATCGACAATGTCATAATCCACTTTTACTGGCCTACCCCCAAAATAGAATGACGATCAATTTTTCGATCGAGAAGCTTGTACTTACAAGTTCTACCTTAACCCTAGCTAACTCTGCAATGATCAGCAGGTATTCTCTGTCCAGATCTTTCTTCAAGCCAACTAACCCACTCGAAATGATTTTCCTCCTCAATACTAGCAGCCTTTTTGCAGACTAAAGAATTACTTTGTTGAAGAATGATGTTGTTGCTACTGCATGGACTAATCCCACTATCGCATGTAGTGTGTAGTCGATCGTGAGTATAGCTTTACTATGGCCAGCGATGGCAGGCATACGATCAACTCAATTTGAACCAATCGTTTCTACGACGCCCTGCTAATGGCTTCCTAAATAAATATATTCCAACACCGTCGGTAAGTTAGCGTTGCCTTAATAGAGTTCTAAGTATAGTTTGAGTATATTAGCCGATGATATTGAATAGGGATATGCTAATAGTTTGCTAATATAGTATGCTAATGATGTCATAATAACGTCATCATTGCTTCTCGGTGGCAGAAGATTAATTGACCTCGGTTCGATATCAACAGAACGAGAAGTAGGAGTGCTTGGCCTTGCAAATGGATTCATTTGACATACAGTAAAATTCTAGGTAGAAGAATCGCTTGGATTGGATGCATTTTGATTTGGCTTTTAGCAAGCTACTCATTTAGGCGCGTGTTGGAGATGATTTTTCCTTCCTTGTATTCTAATCAAGTAGGTGTGCTATGATAAGCTGTGTGTCTCCAACAGGCAGTCCTAGGAGAACAACTGCAAAGCTTCTACAATAGTGGACTCTACGAATGCGGTAGTGAAAAAGCGAACCGATTTGAAATGGGCATGCATTGATGGACAGATTCAACTGGCACCCACGATCTTGGAATCCATTTTGAGATGGCACTACTTCTAACGATAATTACAGCCTGTCATTCACAGGTTACTGTCTACTAGGAACTTCAATTTGCACGGCACTTTGAGCGGTTATGTATTATAAAATCAAGAAATATACAACAGTGACTAAGGCCACTTATGCCAGCGCATCTTCAGTTACCACACCAACGATTCAAAACTGGAATTCTTGCTCGAGGTTTACTACTTCATATTTTGTAGTACTTACAGTAACTACAGGACTTTATTACAAATCACGACATTGCACTGATGAACCTCGTCAACATCTACTGTACAGTAAAATCCCCCTACCATGGTCCTACAAATGCTACCTACTTTATATTGTTGTATTTCTCTTGCAAGTTTGAGTCTCTTGCCACCATTCCTAGCTAGAATCTACGATACTCAAATGCGCCTCTCGTCTTGACTCTACTGTTAAGGGCAATCAAAGCTTAAAATAATTGAGATTATTAATTGATGAATTCATTCTACAGTATAGTTATCACTCGTTTTACGAGAATATCTTTTCATTTTAGGCAGTTGATCAAAAATTCCAGAAATAAATATCGCATGTTTGTCAAGGATTTCAATTTTAATGTCAAAATTTCCATGGCCTCTATACTGTATAAGAAATTTCAGTATGTTATCGATCCGCCATGATTGAACGGATGCCAGCAATTTGCGCATCTCTACGCAGACTCAAACCATAAGCGGAGTAATTATGACTTGGTATTTATACGTATGGCTCGCCTTACTGTAACTTCGTGAACTACGCAGGTCTGCTGTACGCTAACAACGTACAGCGCAACTCCAATCTAAACTCTCAATGTATAGACTGGCGTTCCCACTGCGGAAAGTTAGATTGAGCTCTCGCTATCTTGCCCGCTCGTATTGATCAGCTCGCGAGACGAAAGAGCTCTACAGAATGCTTAGAATGTAGTATTAAGTATTAACTGGCCATGGATGATACTGTCCTACTGTACATACGTAGTAAAATGTGAGAAGTTGTATCTTGTCTTTTTGGACTACAAATTCCACAGCATACGCGTAAGCTGTTCATGATGATGATGAAAAATGCAGATTATCATTTTAATGGAAGAGTCCTAACTAGCTTGACGTTAATGACTATAGCTATTTATTAAGGCGTCATAATTTTATGAAGAGTCATTTCATTCAGACTGCAGATTTTTTGAATTACATTTCATGGATCACTAGAAGAATAAGCACTAAGTATATTTCGAGTGGTCCATGGTACAATAATATCTTCTAATACCAGAACAATACAAAAGATTGCTACGGCATCATGGAAAACGATATCGAAACCCTTCCCTTTTCGACCATTACGATAAAATACTCGTATACTATTCGTCAAAGTAATATGAAGCATGATACTGACGTATACGAAGGTAAAGGTGCATATAGATGAAATAAACTTGCAAACGTTTCCGATGTCGACTTTATGAAAGCGAATAGCTTCGTAGCCATTGAATCAAGACACAATTTTATACTCGTATGCTATTCGTCAAAGTAATATGAATCATGATACTGACGTATACGAAGGTAAAGGTGCATATAGATGAAATAAACTTGCAAACGTTTCCGATGTCGACTGTATGAAAGCGAATAGCTTCGTAGCCATTGAATCAAGACACAATTTTATAATTTTACCCCCCCCCCAAATCTACAGCATAATACGCGTATATTACCGTATAGGAATTTCACACCACATAGAACCATTTTCCACACTATGGCAAAACAAGAAAATACCATAACATGATAAAGCTTGACATGCTACGTCATCAGAACAAAAAGAATTAAATACATGATTTCAAAGATTTGATAATTGTTTATATCAGTAACTTTATCCAAGCGTCATAAATAACTTTTATATGAGTCTCGTCGTATAAACGGTAAAATAAATTGTAATTTACAGACTGATCTATGACAAATGACGATAAATTTCAATATTTAAAATAACATTAACTATAAAAGCAAACTAGCATACTCTTACCAAAACTTCTAAACCACTTTAATCATGGTTAACGTTGATTATTATTAAAAGTAGCAAATTACAAGCTTTCTCAAGTAACAATATGAAAATAAAGACATGTGTACACTCAGATATATATGCTTATATATAGGTATATATCTGTCTGTATTGATACGATCTTGCCAAAATTAATCCAAATCGTGATGAAATCATGCGTGAGCAAAGTAAACCTGTAATACTAAATTCATTGTAGCGGTAATAATAGAAATAGTCAAGTTGATACCGTTAATCTATCAAATATGATTATTAACTTATGTTACTGTATTTTATAACCGACAGCGGCGTTATTACATTTTACAAATAAGATATTCCTTATTTACCCAGTAGGGAAACAATAAATATTAAAGCGGAAGATTTAAAGGTAAAAAGGCTTTTCTACAAAATGTAACTGCAGGGGCTGGAACGCGATCATAATCGTGTAATTGATCCATATGTGCAGGAGACAAGCCCCGTAGTCCAGAACGAAATTCTTTATCAAAATTGTCTTCAAAGTAGACCAAAAAATATAACCATAAATAAATTGCATTCAAAAGTTTAACAAAATATCATTATAATATCTCTACTGCCAGATTAGCACTATACTTACATAGCTATCATGATATTTCACTTACCTTGTTCAATATATTGACTGCAGACACAAGCTAGGAATAATAATTCTCTGTAAATACTTCTAAAAATTGAAATACACACTAAATCAATCCTTTAACTAGGGCAAGATGAATAGTCAATCGAAGCACACAGTAACACAATACAGTACTGTATCGAACGTATTTCACTTTTTCATACCGGTGATGCATCCGTAAAGGATTTTTTATTCTTTCTTCTAACAATAAGGTAATTGGAGTGAAAACATTGTTCTTTTGAAGATTCGTGACGATAGTTTGAACCAAATCAACGTGACTGTCATGAAAAACGTAAAATTGTTCTATCGAAATTTTGTGGGGGAAAAGCAACTTGCAACATGCAAAGTATTTCCTACGCGTATATGCAAAAACATACCAATTCGAATGATCTTCATAAAAGTTTCCTTCATAATCATCTATGTCGACATAATTGTTATCTAAGAAATTTACAATAAAAGATCAATATAAGGACTAACGTATACCCAATATAACCATAAATATAGCGTACCACTCAAGAACTGCCTATATAATGGAATCCCATCACTTTCGTCATATTTCTCAAAATCCCATATAGGCAGTACAGCAACTCGCTTTACGTCTAGACGCAGCTGATATTAGTGAAGCGCAGTATGTGTTAATGATTTAATATTGGTACCACATATACTTCATCTAACAACAATGGCAGAGTCAAGCATAAAAATGAATTAAGCATGTTAGCTAAACCTTAAGAGCTTCTCCATAATGTTCGATATCTTGCGCCTGAGCTCTTTTTAACAACAGTTTTGGTAAATTTTTCGAGAATCCCGTTCTTGAGAAATACCAAACCTAAAATCAACATTATATGGAATCATCCTTCTACAGGTATCAATTAGAAAATAAAGAAATACAATACTATACCAAATTCCAATAAACAGTGCCATGGTTATCAATAATGGCTGGATCAGCGAAAATATCAAGACCATGATTATCAACCAGGCTCTCTAACTCCTTCTGAAGTACAATTGGGCTTAAATATGGTACGGATATTGATTCCTCTCGTATAGTATGCTCCGTGTAGAGTGCAGGCATTGACACAGAATATCCACCCGATACCTTAACATTACCATCATCTTTTACATCAGAAGTATCGTTTGGTACCATCAAATCATATGCCAATGTCTCTTCCGGTTTGTCGTTGATATCTAAATCATTTACTTGTTTTCTTAAATCACTCATACTAAATGACTTATGGGAAGAATGTGAATTAAAAGAATGCAAGCGTCCATGGTTTGTCATGTTATCATTTTCAATCAATTCCTTGTAGGGTTCTTCGTACTGATCAAGAACAACAGCATTCGTAACCGGTGTTAAAACTGAACTCGGATACGCAGATTTTGGTGGAAACAAATTATTAATATCATACGAAACAGGATCGCCGTCCTCGAATGTATTTTCCCGTTCTTCTGAATCTAAAGATCCTGACATATCACTATTTGGTAACGAAATAGTCCTGAAAATGAAAATGATACAATATAAACAGCCTAATATCCTAATTAATACATTATCTACAAGCCAACTTACGTTGGATGCCTTTCTTGATACAGCGGTCGATAATCCTACAATAATCGATAAACATATAATTATATATTAACGGTTAAAGTTATTTTTATAAAGATCATACAGTAATACAGGCAATGCAACTGTCACTCCTACCTTGATAACTACTGTTAGGAATGCTACAAACTTGGCACAACAATAACGACAGCTTTTACGAAGAATAAACAACATCATTATTATATAGATACAGAAGCAAAAAATAAATAGAAAGTTATAATCTAATATGAAATATCTAACCTGTTACAGCATACGAAAGCTGTAACAATAAAGCAATTTAGAATTTATCAAACCTTGTGTTTAAGTTCGATTCATTCGCGGTCCATCCAGCCATAATTTCTTCATCATATAGAATAGCACTGCACGAATGACACTTTGCACAGCTACTTATCGTAGCTTCAACTGCCAAATCTTCATCTTCATCATCTTCGTCATCTGCCTCAAGTAATGTACCATCTACAAGAGTACCATCTAAGAAATTTGAAAATTCGTACTTGCTGTCAAAAGATGACAACAATCCAGACTCTAGCTTAGTATCAAAAGATTTAGAAAATCCATTTTTTCCACGTTTAAAGGTTAGACGTCGAGAAATCGAAGATAGAGATGAATTTAGAGATGATGACAGACTACTCGCAGCAGATAGCGTATCAAATGAACGTCTTGATCGAATTGAAAAAATGTTTTGTTTTCTTGAACTTGCACTAGATGACATACTTGTATTCGAACTAACATTTCCTTGATTTATATTATACGACTTGCGAGGTGTTTTTACAGGAGTATTACAAGGTGGAACCCTTTGCTCCGAAATTATTCTGTGATTTGCCGTAGGTGATGGAGTTGACGCCATAAAAGGCCTTGTAAAATGTTCTGAATTATGAGATTGAGGTAACACCTCAAGACTATTATATAATTTCTTATATAAAATCGTTTTCGACATAACATCGTTATCTAAGTACTCATTTCTAGTGATGCTATCGTTGTTATAAAAGTTGTCGCTGTAACTCGCATGATCTCCTTGGGCTTGCATCGTGTCAACATTATTTATTTTTAAGAAACTACGAAAAATTGCAATAGCAGTAACTACATTTCGGAGAAGAGACCACAACTTTGGGCCTGTTTTTTCCGGCCACGGATTTTCACTTACCGCCTAAAGAACAAAATTTGTTCAAACTCTAGAATAAATAACTACAAGTAATTTTTATAAATCTTTATACCTTGTTGTAATAACCATAGGTAACTGCATTAGGGTGAATGCCGACAGCTCGCATAATTAATAAAACCTACGTAGTGGTAAAGTTAGTAATGAATAAGTAATAATTATACAGCAAAAATAGATGCAAATATTGCAATTATAAAGATTTTTACTCGTATGGCTAAAATTGGCAGCTTGTAAACCGCACACAGGTGCATCATTGATCTGTAGCAAAACTTAAAATGTTCAGGATGTTAGTTTTCCCGTAATATTTCCAGTAAATATTTATGATGTCAATATATATCTATATTATATTCAAATTACTTCGTCTTGCATGTGTAATTTTGATGTTTGCATTTGTAATAAGACCTACATAGTAAGAATATTAAGATTTACTACACTTAGCGGAAATATCGCTGATGTACCATATACAATATAAAATGCTCCTTCAAACCTGAAATCCTTTTTTGAGCGCACGATTGGGCGATGATTGAACCTTCACGTAAGCAGGAAGATACATGAACCAAATAGTATAGCAACTTCTTAATAAGTATTTTGCCCAAAGTAGCGGACTTTTCGACTGTTTTCTGGCGATCTACATGTAAACATTAAGCTAAAAATTTTAGCATATGCTCTATATTCCATTTTACAAACTCAACTTTCCTATTTAGAAAACTCTTCAACTTATGGAAGTATAGAATAACCTCAGCAGCTTCTTCCCTTTCTGCTTGTGAACGTAATAAATTTCCTCGTATTTGCGGCGAGTACATCAAATCTAACTGATAGTCTTGACATTTCGTAGGCAGAACCAGGAGCGACTCATCTAGTGCAGGAAATGATGAGTACCTAAACATTCATTATAAACATAAGTCCTCATGTTAAAATACAGCACTTGCTACTATGCTATTAAGCCAATTCGTACTCGTATTTTTTATTTTCTGGAAGTCCTTCCGTATCTGGCGATGGAATGACTAAGGTTGTGTAGTTTCTAGAATATGTATAAAAACGTGGCGCAATATATGACTTGAAGATATCAAACAGTCGAGCACTTAAATTGTATTTATGTATTACTTTTGCTTATGGTCGTCTAACTCCGTAAGGGAAATACCATTCTCAACCTTAAAATGTAAATGATACCGATAAGACTCACGCGGTAGTAATTAATAAAGAAATATATGATAACTCAATAAACTGAGAACTAAAAGTAACGCTTTAGTTTAAAACCTTGTTGATATAGTCATCAAAAAATGCAAATTGGACATCGACAGGGGACACAAATGATCTCTGCTCTATGAATCGCGTAAATAACTAAAATATGTACGGATAGCAACACTTAGCTTAGATGTAACATCACTTTTGTTAGGCCTACCATATTAATACAAATGTAAATAAACCTGAGTTTTGACTAATTGAGAAAAAAATTTCTTTGCTCCACTAGATCTACTTTTCAGAAAACCTGTTAAAAAATGAAATGCTTTGTAAAGCAATATTCGCCATCCTCTATTAAAAGATAACTATAATTCTCTCACCTTCAAAATCAAACAATGATCTAGCATCGTATACATCTGAAGATGGCGATTTCGTTATGGGTAGCAAAAATCGCCTATTTAAACATAGAGAAAGTATGAACGTTGTAACGATAATGTAATCAAAAGGCGATACAACTGCTAAAGGTGAATAAATTTTGGATACGTACTTGTAGCCACGCAATAATATCGCTTGTATCGCTAAAAATATATGCTGTATATTTGAGCTAATCGATCTCTGAAAGAATGGTTAAAATATATTTGTTACTGATCAAATAATTCCTAAAGTTTTCATAGCAAGTTAAATTCGTTAGCAAACCAATTTTCGCTTGATCGTCACATCGTATTCTAAAGGCGCAATATCAACGGCATAACTTAAACTATCTAAGTTGCCTTGATTCTCTAATGCTATAATATAATGAAACAGAGTTATTTCAAACATAATTTTCGTTCCTCGACATTTGGTTATAAATAGTCCGTACACTGCAGTAACTGCTGATGAATCCTTCTAAGCTGTTTAAGGACCACGTCTGCGTATTTCTATAAAATTTACGACTAGTTAAAAAGTTGTCTAAGACCCAATATTTCAAGCAAGTTATATTGTAAATAAATAAAAGTTCGTCTCGTACCTTTGGTAATATTTTCCAAGTGATAGCCCTTTTCTCTGCCCCACTATCGGACGAAATTTTTATGAAAAGTAAAATTAGATTCGTACAGAATTCACCTTTAGCTCACTTATCATGAATTATACTTACTATGATATCGTATTTGTATCTAAATCGACACATGTTAATTCAAGAGGTGGTCGGTAAAGATCAAAATACTTAGAATCAATGCCTGTTAAAGATACAATACAAACGTTTTCATTATCATTTCAATATCTAGCTCTTAGATATCTAGTACAGCATGAAATACCTTGGCTATACAAGTACAGAAAGGAATTAATTCAAAGACAGCAAATTTAACACAATTCGATTTATATCATACTATGAATCCTGCAGAGGTACTAAGTAGCTAAATCTTAATATAGTTTAAACAGTATTTATTTCTAGCATTAAATATTACCAACCGACAATAAATGGACATGGTGCATTAAGAACATCAGCTAATTTGACCGGACACAGAGGAATATAAGGACACTGCCATTCGAATGGGAATATAATCTGTGGTAGTTTATAAAAATTAATTAATAATCAATTAATTTTGTAACGCAAAGATACTTCCAATGAAATTCTAGATTTATCTGCATAGTATCTATAAGAAGGCATTATACAGTAATTAATAATATAGGTTATCAAGCAAAATCAATTTACTGAAGTGAGCGCTTCAGCTACGCTTGTCAATAATGCCGGTCGGCGACAGTGTAAAAGAATCTTTTGCTCCGTCAAAGCTAAACATAGCAATGTTAAACTATTTTCAGGTCCCAGGCAGCGTAAGAAATTAATAAAGGAAGCACCACTGTAATAGAATAAAAGTATGTATCAAAAAATTTTCTTTATAAACTTGTGAGATGGTAAGGTCAAGTACTGTGTCAATAATATTCCTTGTAATAATATGCATACGATCGTCATTACTTAACCTTAATGGTAAAGGAGAATCGACAGGCCTTTGCAAATAATGCTTTTCATGACCCATCTGTAAATGAGATGTAATTGTAACCATTACATCAACGGTATGGTACTTTATAAATAAGACTTCCATCGTACCTGCAACAATATCTGTGGTCGATCGGGTGGTGGAAATGGTACAGCATCCATAAAATGGGTTACATACCTGATGAAATCCCATAAAACATTGGTTACAATAGTTTGTATATACATAAGAATTTTAATATTCATAAAATTCTATGCTAGGTTACGTGGTTCTTTACAAGCAAAGTATAATAGTTTTAATACCTTTCGATTGGAATCTCAGTTTGTGCAGATACAGATATTCTATAAAGATTACGTAAAAACCACCGAAAAGTATCAAAAAAAGGCCAATGAGATAGAAGACAAATACACTTAGTCGCATAGGCTTGCTTAGGATCGGATTTCTGTAAGCAGTAGGCAAACAGAATGAAATGTCTTTTGATAAGTTGCAATAACCGTACTTAATAATATTACAGTAAACGTTGGAATGCATTACTGTAATTACTAACGGTGAATCAATTTCTTTACCTTAAAAACTCGTTCCATATATGGTGTCCACATATCAGACGGTAATTGTTCATAAAATGTTACAGCAGCACCATATACCTAATTAAATTTTAAATAGTATTGAAATATGGTAAAATAGGAAGGTAAATCAAGACTTTCATATTACATTAATTTTTAATTATCCATCATACATTTAATAAGTAGAGTAGAGTACAGTACATCATACGATTTGCCGATACCTTATCACCCGATTCCTGAGTTAGAGCAAACGTTGAAAACATCGGTAATGGATGAACGGCATGGTCTGACCAATACTCAACAACAGCTCCCATAGGCAGACAAAATAAAACAACACTATCTGGCAGAGCAAACCAGCTATGATCCTTTAAAGGGTATCGACTTAGTACGTCTAATATTAAGATTAAATTAAAATCAATGTCGGTTTTATATCCAAGCGATACGTTCAACGAAGTCGTAAATTGCCTTGATGAATGACGTTAATATCAACATTAATTAATGCGAACCTGCTTTGTAGCGAATTGAACGAGCTTGTACTATGGCTTTATTGTAGCAAAGATGAACTTCAGATCCAATCTGTTATACAAAAAATTAAACATACAGTATAATAAGTCTCAAAGCGTTCTAGGTGTGCTGTATCTTTGCATATAGGGTTACATAGCGTATTTATAATCCAACTTGAAGATTTGTAAACAACTAAAGCTGTTAATCTTACAATGCTTTTGTTAAGACATCTTTTTACTATATGGAATGTATGCGGTGGACTTTCTCCCTAATACATAATAATAAGAATAAATTCATTTTTTTTAAATGAAGAAAAAATGAACTATACTGTTTGATTGTAGATGTTATTCCTGTTCCATAATTATTTTAAAAGTAATTTTCCCTCTTGATACCTTGCTGCTGAGTACAACACCAATACTTGTAATTGCTAACTGATTATGTCCACCAGCTGAAGCGGCACGGCGAAATGCCAAGAATGTGGACGGCTTAGACTTATAATTCAAATCTGCTGATCTCCCATATGCCGTCGTCTTAACTATTTGATAGCCACTAGGTAGTTTCTCTTTACCACCATAGTAAACACTATTCGCATTAAAAGATGAATAAGATGAAAACAATTGTAGTGGAAAATTGCCATATTACCATTATCAGGGAAATGAAAATAATGGTAGGAGGGAAATTCAAGTTTATAACAGCTAAGTAATTATCGTGGGAACCCATTCTACCGCAGTGTGTGCTGAATTAAGGATAGGATAATAGCATTTCTTTTCTACTTTCAATTTACGAGAAGGTAGTACAATTTTTTTTACCTAATATCGGTTATAGGAGGTTCATCGGTGCCACGACGGAAGCAAAGGTAATAAGAAAAGCCGCGGAAGCTACCATAATTGAGATCAGCAGCATACCCACTTAAAGTATTTTCTACGCAGGTATAACCTTGACCGTGGGATACAAAAGATATTCATCTAAGTTTACGCACTGGAGCACAATACATTACAAGCCGTCTGTTTCTGCTTGTTTCACAGTTGTTAAATTATAAAATCTGGGGAAATGCAGCTTCCTTCATTTTTTGACTTTTACTAACTTTTCCATTCTATGTACAAGGTCATGAAATGATTTGAAGTTAAATTCCCCCCCCCCAAAAAAAGAAGAAAATAATGTGAAAAATGAAAGAAGCACTGGTAATACGCGTATGCCTTCAGGACTTGTAAATACACGTACGCCGGTTTACTTTGCTGAGTATTTATTGCCCGTGATATATGGCAACTAATAATGGAAACTGTCAAAATGTAGTTACTGCAGTAAATGGAGTATCAATAAAATTAAACAATTCATTGAATAGCATCAAATAACAGAAAGCACAGTCGTATTTCTTTTCCAGGTGAAATAGATTGTATTACATGTTGTTGAAGCGTTTCCATTTACAATACTAATCAAGTTATTTGACTACTACGCGTTGATGGTGAGAGAAGAATACAACTCTCCTACCTGGAGGTACATCTTCTCCAACACTTCTACAAATAACAGTAATATCGGTGATGGGTTCAGTAGGCCTGGGGACAACGGTATTGCCTAAAGTCTCATTACATTCACGTTCTTGCATCGGGCTGTCTGTATTTTGCAATCCTACCATAACAAAATAATCGGCAATACGTTGTGCTCTTCTTGATTGATACGCCATCTTGATATCCAATCAATTAAGCTTTTCTTCCCATCCAGTATCGGCTCGTAATGTACGTTGAATGATATTGACTTGAAGAGCGATAGACCAGATATCAATGAGAACTGGTAGTGATAATATAGTAATTGAAAATTCAGTGATGACTAGGCGTTAATTCAACAATAATTTGTACGATCTACTCCAATTCAACAAGGCCATTGCATCCAGTACTAGCGACGTCTATAGCGGAAAAAAAATTACCAAAGTCCAAGACTGACGAATAATATCTATTCTCAGTCAATTTAAAAATCCATGGATACCCTATCAAAAGATCGATACCAGTCAAATTGGATCATGTTGATACTCTTTTAATCGCAGTCATCGTTCCAAAGTCTTCTATGAATCAAGATCTTTCAATGGCTAGCAATAGCATTAATTTATTTATTCTACCAATTAATAATTCTATGCCGTAAAATGCAGTGAATGCGGGACTTGGAGAAACGCCAGACCTGAACAGGAAGTGCAATCTGGACGGTTTTATACCCACACTACTTACAGTACTTAGTACTGTGAATCGAGAGTAGTTTATACTGCAGCACGACGAAGCTGAAGTCATCCGTGGCCACCATAGTCAAGAGCTAGCAATCAAACTTGCTGTTTGAGTAGCTGATCGTAATCGTCATCCTTGCCCGTCCTACAGTGCATTTCACTGCAAGACTCATTTCTACGGGTATTGTCATGGAGAAAAATGACGTACGCCAAACGCCGTATGTGGACAGAGCATTAATGGCTCGCTGTTGGTTTCTTGCCATTAACGTGGGATGATGGCTACAAAAGTGTTTGTTATTCGTCCTACAGTGGGCACTAAAAGTAGGTAGTGATACTGGTGGATTTTCCATTTTGAAGTAATCCCCATAGGACGAATAATAGGGACTAGAAATGATTTTCAACATGGAGAAATTGAATCATCATCGTGACCAATTGACTCTGAGATGGACATCGAGATATTCCATTTATCTCGATGCTGGCTGGCTTGCCAAAGCCTACAATCTCTGTGTAGTCAATGGGTTTACAATACTAAACTCCAAATTGGAACGATTAAAATTGACCAAATCTCGAATAACGTGATACAATGACTGAAACTACAAGCCCGCAAATAGAAAGAAAAAAAAAATGAATTCCATCTGACTCGCAGTCGATCATAACCCATGCATTTATTCAAAATTTCACAACAGATTATAGAGCTCGTATATCAGCAATGGCTATCATTTCCTCCAATGGATCTTCTAAGTTGCCAATATTTACACAAAAAGTAGCAGCGAGCGTGGATAGGCAGACCAGCAATACTCGATAGTTTTGGATAGTGTATTTAATTTTGATTTTGGGGGGTGATGGATTGATTGATTTTATTATAGCATTAAAAGAATCACAACGTGGTATTATATTCATAGATGTGTATTGAATTCATGAATCGCATCTTGGAAGTCATTTCTACGCATATGATCATGGTTGTACAGTATTGTATTGTCAGCTGTATAAAGTACCCTTTTAATATTCCGGTGTTGAAGTATATAGTAGAATAGAGAGTACCGAAAGTGGGCTATGCAAATCAGTACAGCTTCGTCATTTTGACACAAATTGTAAGTCATCAAAAGCGATAATTATACTGTAATACAAACCATAAATTCATCATACTCTCTTCTTGCTTAACTAAACGACAAATCTTTTGCTCATGGAACACCTTGAGAGTATCTACTACCGTTACATAAAGTATATTACTCCATCGAACGCTAGCTAATCTTGAGCTTGTCATAACAATTACTTTCAACTTGATGTAGGTGGATGACTTAAATCAAGGCGCAATCATTCCAATCTTAACCTGTTTATATCATTTCTACTTGTAATGAATAAATGAATTAATAAGTGAAAATAGGTAAATGAACAGTTCATGTACCGCCTATTCGTCACATGCATTGACAGTATATATAGACTGTATATATATAGTATTGTAAACTAAGAAATAGTGCGTGTGTGATCAAGAATAACCGTGGAATGTCAATAGTCAACATTGTAGTAGAAATGGATTTCATGAAACAGCCTTCGAATTCGTAAATATGCGTATTATAGAGCCCAGGGTAGCTCAGGGAATGACACTAATTTTTTTAGATTGATTATCTCAAAAGCGTATCTAGCAAGCTGTGGTAGTTTATAGCCGCAACTTTGGATGTTTTCTTGGAACAATAATTCGAAGTTATTTGCCTGATGTATTAGCATTCTTCTTCTCTTTGCTAACGCAAATAATTTGCATGGAGATTTATAGAAAGATCGTAATAAGACATATGACTAAACAATTGCGTTGTAGTTTATGAGTCATAAATCCACGCCGATTGTTACCTACAAAGATACCGTAAAAGTGTGTGGGGGTTGATGAACATGATGATGGCCCGTATGCTATAAGCACATAAGTTACGAAACTGTTGGCAATTCATTAATGAATCGTCATTAAATGACGATGATCATTATTTTACCGTTTACACTAAGCGTATACAGTATTCTATCATGGCTGTAAGCCTTTCTGCTGTACTGTATACGTACAGTAGAAAAACAACAATTTTCCAATATACGCACTTTACAGTTTCGTTTAGTTGAGCCTTAATACGTAATAACGTAAAACGCTTACGAATTTATAATCGCCTTCATGCAAACATAAAACTCGATTTTTAGCTTATGTAAATCCCAGAATTAGAATTAATCAATGAACCCTTTTAAATTTCTGTATGCATGAAACCGTAAGGCGAAATTCATTGTTGGTCTATTGTCATGGAAAGAGGAAATCAATATGGCTTTAAATCAATAACTATTGTGCGAACAGAAACCTCTAATCAATAAATAATGATTTAATTAAAAGGATTACGTAGTAATACGCAGATATTCTATGCAGTCCTTGGGTATAGATAGTAAATTGCATGTTTGACTGCTGGAAACTTTCAATTTAAATTTATCGTAAAATAATCAAAGTTTTCCATTGCCAATACAGTAGTCTAATGATACTGTACGGCCAATATGCAAGCGTAATACTATACAGTACTATAGCACGAGCAATGAATAGCTGTGATTTTGCTAATTAACCGCTTTTACAACAAAAAGAAAAAGATGCAGTTATGTTGTGTGCACTATGCGCCTCTAAAATAATACTGCACAGTATTGCCATCTTTATGGAAATTCAACCTTTATTTCTGTCCGGTTCCAATTGGTGTCAACATTTTAATTTTTTTTATTTTCTTTCTAAATTTTAAATTTATGTTGACATACTGTGCAATGTGCCATTACAATACTGCCAATTTGAAAAGCTGCTTAGTCATACAAATCAAAGAAAGAAGAAAAAACATGTTGTACACTTAGTGGTTTATAGTACTGTAGTACTGGTCTTTAGATGAAAAGTACTAGAGGTAAAAGAAAAGAAAACACTATAGTTGTGATGCTGATGTTGATGGAGGTTTCTATTTTTCTTTCTTTTATCGCCACAGTTCCGTAGACCGAGTACGGTAGTAAGTACCATATGAAAGCAAGATAATGCTAAAGCAAAAGGGACGCCAAGACAAGAGTGAAAGATCGACTACCGTATCATGGACTACTAAAATACAGAATACACTACAATAATCATATTTTAGTAGTTCATGACTGTACACTGTACAGTATGTAAAAAAGAAGAGAGGGGACCGCCGGCGGCCATTAGTGCAAGATGATTTTTTCGGTTATTCTTCGAAATCGTGTACAGTAATGTACTGTACATAGTATACAGCACACTGGGCCAGGGACTCTTTTTAAGTCTCTTCTTAAAGCAGAAAATCGTTGAGTAATCCCTGACTGGGCCCAGATATTGCATATAATTAATTATTAGTCAACGGCCGTAGGCTGTGGGTCTAGGACAATTTGACGTGGACAATTTACCGCTGTACAATGTCGTAGGATGGAAACAATATCAATCTAGATTTAATATTGCGAGGACGAATTGAATACTTTGCAGCGTTCAATCCTATACACCGTAAATAAAATTAATCGAATGCAGTAAAGTATCTGTTTCGATATTACGAGGGTGGATTGAATAATTTACAGCATTCAATCCTATACAGTGTAAAATTAATTTAATGTGATAAAAATTATCCGGTTGATGTCGATACCTTTAATAATTAAGCGACTTACGTTGAGTATTTAATTAGGATATCGACATCAACATGGCTACAGTCATGGACTACTCAGTCAAAAATTATACCCGTTGCATAAAAATTGTCACCTTCACTCCATTAAGAGAGTAACTCTCTTTTCTACATAAAGGTGACAATCTTTATGCACAAGGTGACGATTTCAATCAAGTAGTCTTTACTGCCGTATAGTACTGTATGTGCACAAAGAAAATGTTTCCCCATGCAAAAAACGAACTTGTGTTCTGTCTGTCCTTCTGTGTTTTGTATTGCATTAATGTGCGTCTGCGCAATATGGCACCGCATTCAGTTCCACTGTACTATACTGTAGAATAGAATAGTGATTGCCTCATACTGTACCATGTACACTGAAGACTGTATCACACAGTACTATACCGTAAGGTACTGCACACTGCACCAATAGACAGTACCCCCCCCCCTAAAGCTTGTTTTTCTTTACTGTAGCATACAGTATACAATATTGATGGATGAGAAAGCATGGCGGTTGTAAACGGTAAGATTGAGCAAGTTAATCTTCTTTTTTACCTTGTTGAAAACTGTAAACTATGGTCGATATTCACACTAATTCTAGATACAACTTCACTCGATCATAGTATACTTGTAGAAAATGCGAAATGTTGCTTTTACTAACCAGAATGACAGACAACAGCGTAGCATGAATTACGCGACGTAGGGATATGAAAACGGTATTAAGAGCTGAATTTTTTTTTTCTTCGCCTTTTATTTACTTATCTTAGCATTTCGTCGAGGAATTTTATTAAGTGAAGGCCAGCTGTAAGTCAAATTCTGCTATGTTGTATTGCATTGAAACAACGCCTGAAATCAAACTACGTAGTATCTATGTTACGAACTATACAGTAGAGTAGAAAAGTTCTTTAGCCTATGGACGCTAACTTACCGTAACCGCACAGTACTAAAGTCAACTGAACACGTTGTCTACTGCAACTGCCTTCAAAAATAGCTCGGAATCTTCCTTTTTGGTTATAATTGACGATATATTTACTAAACTTTCAACCACATTTCTCTCTACAAGCAGATTACTAGTTTCATTCTTTTCATAATTGCTACTTGGCTGTTTGTTCGCGCACTTTTCTTTACAAAATGACCTATTCAGTAATATAGTGTTGCTTCTGTAAACCGTGCTTATACCATACAGTATATAGTACAGTACTGTACAATGTGGAACAGTATGCTGTACATATTTATGCAGTACTCGTTTAATAATATAGTTTGCTATTGCGATACTTCTGTGGGATTACATCTCATGATATTATATTTACTGCAGCCGGTGTTCCTCTTCCCTATTTTTCCTACAAACGCGTAAATTATATCAATCACGCCAGGAAGAGCCTAAACATGAGAAAAGGTAACTTACTTTACTTGATGATAAAAAGTATAAAAAATAACCACATCTACTCCGTCCTGCAACGTGAAAACTCATAGTTGTGTACTCTCTACTAGTCTAATCCCATATCGTCAGCAAAGTTCAACTACCGCTCCTGATCCTGCTTTCAAACCTAATAATACCGCGGAATTCGTTGTTGCTAAAGTCGATGATGTCATTAATTGGGCAAGAAGGGTAAGTCCTGGTAATGTAATGGCTGTTTGAAAAACAATCTATACCGGTTTAGCATATTGTAGTCACAGTTCTATTTACCAGCCTCTGCTGAAGAAACTTTTAAAATTAGGACTGTAAGATAGAATAGAATCTATTACTACATTATGATTATTGATACTGTAGATACTTTTAGCGCAAAAACTTTTTTAATAGCTGATACGCACAGTACAGTACATATCGAGCAGAAGTCATTTACGTATGCTTGATTAGTGTTGAATGTTATACTTCTGCTGTGCTTAATGACTATATATATATGTAGAGTTCCTTATGGCCTATGACGTTCGGCCTTGCTTGCTGTGCAATTGAAATGATGCAGTTTGCTGCCCCACGGTAAGTGATAAAAGAAACAGCATAGCAAGCAATTAATTTAGTGTTACTGTAGATTAATAATGCTGATAAGAAATATTTGGAGAGTTTACGAAACTAATCTGTCACTGTTCTATATAGATATGATATGGATCGGTTTGGTATCGTATTTCGCGCTAGCCCGGTACAGTCATGATGATACAGTTAATACAGTTAAATAATAACTCTGTTGACATGTTTAAAAAGTACGTGTAAAGTAATAAACTGATGCTTATTCTGACTAGCGTCAAGCAGATGTAATGATTGTAGCCGGAACCCTAACCAATAAAATGGCTCCCGCTTTTCGCAAGGTCTGTATTTCTAGGCCATTATATCCATCTTACTAAATTATAGTATGCTTTATTGTTCATACGTACGTATACGAACCTTTAAATTTTGACTTTCCGCTTAAAAAAGGTTTACGATCAGATGCCTGAACCACGCTGGGTGATCTCTATGGGAAGGTACTCTATTGTGGCTAAATTTAATGTCATTATCGCAACATGAATTAAAATAAGGAGTTTGTCAATAATGTTACCTGTTGCACTAATTAAGCCGGCTTGCATACTTGTAATCACTGTGGTATGCTCGTGTCTTACGGTGCAAATAGAAACGCAGTTATTTCTGACCTTGGCTCTTTATAAAACATGAGCTCAGGTCCTGGATTTCTGCAACAATTTATTCTAAACAAATAACAGACTATGTTATATAGGGTAATGACTAAAAACACTCTTTTTATACTTTTCTGGCATTCGTCTAATTTCCACTAACTAATTTTCTAGCTGTGCTAATGGTGGAGGATATTATCACTATTCATATTCGGTTGTTCGAGGATGTGATCGAATTATTCCTGTTGATATTTATGTACCTGGTTGTCCACCTACCGCTGAGGCTTTACTCTACGGTTTCTTGCTACTACAAAAGAAGATTAGGCGATCAAAATCTGTTACTATGTGGTTCAGGAAATAAATATGGATTAATGCCGACGATAATTTGTTCTAGGCATAAGTTCTCCACGTTGCTAATTTACGCAAAAGTTTTAATAATTGTCCATTGATATTGCTATAATTTGATTATGCTTCATGTAATATACACTATATTCTTTTAACATATAGCAAACATCGTGACAAACTATTATAAACATTTGTGATAGGGTTAGATAAAAGATACAGCTATGCATACGAGTCATTTTGCTTTGTACAGTACAACGTTAAAAATCATTTTTATTGAAATTATTTCTAACCGCAAATTATTTACTTACTGTTATGACAGACAAAACTAAGTAAGCAGTATGCACTGCCTTAACCTAATAATTAATAAATATTTAAATTTATACGTCAAGTATAAAAAATTGATTCAAACGTACTTCTTGTCCTGTGCTGATAGCAAATCTAGATATAGATGACAAAATCACTACTGCAACTGGATCAAAGCTTGTACTACACTGTTAGAGTCAGAACTATCCAACTGGCACCATTAAAGTTACATACTGATGTAGCAGTCATTTTCATTCATGACTATGCTACTTATAGTAGCTGTCACTTTTGTGTATCGTTACAAAATTAATGGCCAAAAATACGAGTTAATACGTTACAAGTATGATTGCTGAAATGATTAATACGCCTTGAGCCCAACTTGACACTATCGGCCGTAGTTTGCTATTTGTAGTCAATCAAACGTACAGTACTAAAGTTAAAATTCAACAAGGGCTATTTCAAACAAAGTTTTTCTATTTATTTAATCGTAAGCATGGAAACTTACTAATATGACCAATATTAAATTTAACGATAGAATTTGATAGCATTCAAACAAAATGACAGATGATATACAAATTGGATAATTTTAAACTTTAGATTATGTCTAATCAAGCCCCTTTCATACAATGGAAAGAAGGTAGCGTTAGCGAGCAAAATACGTGTATCCGGCATACACGTGTTCGTAAAAATACGACATGATCGCCAGGCTCACTAATATAGTTTATTGAATCAAAACGGATACATCTGCATCATTAATACGCCTGATAAAAGAATTATTTTATCAAAGTTAACCGTAATGCACGATATTATCGTAAGTTGTAGTTGACATGTACAGCATACTGTACGTGTATGTACTAAGTTTTCATTTTATAGTTTAACAAGAACATTATGCTCCCTTTAGCCATAAGATAAGTAACACAATTAACTACGGGAATTTGAAGTATAATTTACAGTTTAAGAGATGCGGCGGTCAACTTCCTCTTAACACTTGTTCTCTTAGCAGTTCTACCTTCAACATCTCGCTTGGCTTCTTTTTGTAATTTATCAAAAAAGGTAGTTGATGACAGTGTCTTTCTACTTTTACTACTATTTCGATCATCAACAATACTAACACTATTTAAACCGCCTTCTTTTTTCAAGCGTTGTATAGCTTCCTTTTTATCGTGTTTACTACCACGGCCAATATTCACTTTTGCTAAAGACTTGTTTTTCTGACTCATTTCTTTAAATCTTAATTTTTTACTTTTCTTTCTCAATTTTCTTTCTCGTAATTTATCAGTGGTAGTTTTCTCACTTTCTCCCTTCAATTCCGATCTAGACTTTGCTTTGACTTCTTCAGGTGCTAATAAAGCTGCATCGCTAACGCTTACTGGTGCAACCTCTTCCATACTTATAGCAGGTGCATTAACAACCACTTCAATCTCTTTCTTTGGCTGTTGATTCAATAATTGACAAAAAAATACAATTACTTACTGTTCGTAAGGAAAATCATACGCGTTTGTTCATTTGCTTAACAAAACAGTAGCAGAGTAATAAAAGTATTCCATGCAAATGTAATAGTTCAAGAAAAAATCAACTTTAAACGTATCTATAGTGATACCGATGTAAGCAAGCAAAGCATACTTACCGGCTTAGGGGTAAAATGAAAATTGGATAAGGCATCTAATTTCGCAAACAAACTCTTCATTAATTCTTTGCCTTCAGTAATTTCCGGCTTCTCTTGTACTTTAACACCTTGTGTTTGTTTAAGATATTCCTTTTCGTAAATTTCACTTAAACTCAATTTACTCTTTTCATGATCCAATTCAATCCTTTTTCTATATTCAAAAGGTTGCTCCATCGGTTTTTCTTTACGTTGGACATCATCCCATGCTTCATCTTTAATTCTTTGCTTTATAACATCTTCCAAAGTCAACGACTTCTCTTCTGTTATCACAGGAGTTTTATTGGCTGCAATATCAAAAATTAAGTCTTCCTCCAGTAAACTATTTGCTGGTCGTTGACGAGCTGATACTTCGCCATGCAACTGCCAAGGTTTATCCATTAAACTAGCTTCTTCGTAATCTGATATGACAGCTTTCAATTGATCTTGACGCTTTTGATGCATAGAAAGTTTCTCATTTTCCTTCTCGTCCGACGCATCATCATATTGGATATCACTGTTATCATCATCATCATCATCATCGCCAAAAGTGGCGTTTAAACTTAAATCAACTTCATCTTCAAAGTCATTATCATCTTGGGAATCCGATAGGTTATGATCGATATCCTTTAATTGCATGCTGGCTCCTTTACTTTTCTTACCAATAGAGCTTTCTTCATCCGGTGGTGGATCAAAAAAATCCTCATATTTGATTTCTTTCTTATTTTTGTCACTACTCGTCTTACTTTTACCGACCAACTTTGCAGTTTGGCGTATAGCCTGTTCCCAGTCTTGATCGTCCTCGCTGTCCACATCAGCGAACATATCTATATCATCATCGTCATCAGCATCATCTTGGAGATGATTTTGAGTTTGATCATTGATCTTTTGCTCTTCTAATTGTAAAAACTGATTCATTTGATCTAATTTAAAGAACTGATCATCGACCGCGCTCTTCTTTTTCAATTTATTTCCCTTTTCGCTCTTTGTGACTGAGCTCTCCAGGGTGTTTGCACTATCGATATCAAATCGTACCCTTTTGGATTTCTCTGCATTATCATTATCATGATCCATGGATTCTTCATCCTCGACGTCACTATCGGCCGAATTTCCTTGACTATTCATCTCTGGTGGGTCATCATTGGCAAGCATTAATCGCCAGTTACGATCTTGCGATAATCTCTTTAAATTCTTGGTTAAAATTTTGAATAAAGGCTGATTTTGTAATTGTAATTCTTGCCAAATCTGCTCATGAGTAAAGTTGTCAATGATCAACTCCTTTAAAGGTGATAATTTATCTTTATCGATTTCATTTTGCTTGATAAAATCGAATAATGCTTTGGTACATTGCAATAACTTGGCATTGGTATTGATATCATGATTAATAAAGACAGTTTTATCGTCAACAACTTGATTAAAGGATTGTAAAATACTTGTAATATCGGCCATCTCTGTTGTACGTGTTGTCATTTTGCTCATTCTACATGTTTATCCTGCATACTATCCCAACTTTGCAATATTATTCTCCTTTATTTACAGCTCCATTAAGCAAAACGACATTGCAAATTGACACTATTCGATCATGTGTATCATTGCGCTAACCGTCGATTTAATTTTAATATGTTCTACCTGTCCAATACAATCCTTTTGGCCTTTTAACGTCCTTGATTGCAAATAACCAACACTCTTTCCCTGCAATGAGCTAAAATAGGATTGAAGATGCTGGAGCAGCTCTGCTGTGTTGAGGCTTTGATCAAACCGATCGCTATGCAATCGTCTTATCATGGACTCTACCAGAGTAGGTGTACTTTCATACAAGTCCCTGAACAAGATGATTGTTTCCAGCGCTGGTATAGACTGTCCAGTTGTGTTATGCGCTGAACCATGTGCCTGACCTACTAGCCGTGTGTAAAATAGATGTCGCAAAAATAACACACTCGCCATGTCAAGTCTTTATGCTATAGTTGCAATGGTCGCCTTCACTGCCCCGACATCTGTTTTACACCGTTACTGTACACTATGCTGTACATCACCACTGGGACACACAACCTGTCATCCGATCTCACATGGCTGACGTGAAGATGAGAGTCACCCATGAGACATACAGTACAATTCTGTACAGTGTACAGTTCCGTCATACAGTACTAAAAAGTACTGTACACTGTACACCACAGCAATGGACGCGTCACTTCGCCCAGCCACGGACTACAGGGGTGTAGATGTCGCAAAAATAACACACTCGCCATGTCAAGTCTTTATGCTATAGCTGCAATGGTCGCCTTTACTGCCCCAACATGTGTTTTACACCGTTACTCTACACTATGCTGTACATCACCACTGGGACATACAACCTGTCATCTCACCATGATCCGATCTCACATGGCTGACGTGAAGATGAGAGTCACCCATGAGACATACTGTACAGTACAGTACAGTACTGTACAATACTGTACAGTGTACAGTTCCGTCATACTACAGTACTAAAAAGTACTGTACACTGTACACCACAGCAATGGACGCGTCAATTCGCCCAGCCACGGACTACGGGGGTGTAGATGTCGCAAAAATAACACACTCGCCATGTCAAGTCTTTATGCTATAGCTGCAGTGGTCGCCTTCACTGCTTCGACATCTGTTTCACACCGTTACTGTACACTATGCAGTACATCATCACCATGATCCGATCTCACATGGCTGACGTGAAGATGAGACATAAAGTACAATTCTGTACAGTGTACAGTTCCGTCATACAGTACTAAACAGTACTGTACACTGTACTGTACACCACAGCAATGGACGCGTCACTTCGCCCAGCCACGGACTACGGGGGTGTAGTGTACCGCTTGCAGACATACGCTTCACTTGAAATGACCACGTTCGCCTGCACAGCGCACACTCGTAGTCGATTGTCTTATTTTGAGTGACATGCTTCTATGCCACTAGTCAGGTGCTGTTAACATGCAGAATATTGGGGCTGTCATGGAGTGTGGCTGTGTTTAGCAGCTCCTTTGCCTTGCGATTCTTTTCCGTAAGGTCAAGCACAGTATGACAGTGACTATTAGTACACTGGTACTTTCTTTTTTACAATTTTAAAAATCCAATTTTGACTGAGGGACTGAAAAGTGCGATGAAAGTGACTTCACACTGACTGAATAATACTCGTACAGTATACCAATGGACTACTGTACAGTACTGTATTACTCGATGTATCCAGTAGTTCCATCCCTTCCATGACAGTCCTGTGCGTACGAGTGGCTGTCCGTCCCGTACTGTGCGGGGGAGTTGTAAGACAATTGCTCATAACTGGACCATTGTACCCTGTCGAGTCTTCTTCACAGACACAGTGCGCGTGCTCGGCCAAGACCACACGCGCTACGCGATGCCGTCCCGTCCTTTCCGTAGCCGACTGGACGTCGCGCTTGCGTATAAGATCAAGTGTTCACCCTGGTGACGGTCCTCTTACCACTCGACTCCAAAATGGTGAGTAAGCGATCATGTTAGTCTGATGAAAATCGTTTGACGATGGGCTATTTGAAATGGCCATCTACTTTTTCTTCTTTTAAATATTGCTTCTTGGCTTCTATTTTAATGCTATCGTCATAATATTAATCGTTCTATCTCACTGTAATGATGGATTATTCCGTTTCTTTGATTCTTGATATACTCGTACATTTATTTTGGGCCGCATACACACGCTCTTTACTCAGTCTAGTCTAGTAGAGTAGTAGATCGAGAAAGGGATCAAGAGGTCTTGAAGTAAATCGTTCTTGCCTTATTGAGTCGATATATCAATCATTCCTTATTACTTTTGAAATAATAGAGCAGCGAAGTAAAGACGAAAAGGCGTCCCTTTAAGAAATTCACCTATCGTGGTGTAGATCTAGATCAACTCTGCGAGATGAGCAGAGAAGATTTGGCCCAACTGTTGGATGCCCGGGCAAGGCGTCGCTTCCAACGCGGTACCAAGAAAAAGGAAACTAGACTCTTGAAAAGATTGCGTAAAGCCAAGAAAAATGCTCCAGAACTAGAAAAGCCTGAATGTGTAAAGACTCATCTACGAAATATGATAGTTTTACCCGAAATGGTGGGCAATGTTGTCGGTATTTATAACGGCAAAACTTTCAATCAAGTGGAGATCAAAGTAAGTCGGATAAAAAAAGTAATGGCTGATCTTGATTCCTACAGTCAATTCACCATCATCACTACAATCATACAATGTACGATAGTATTTTTGAAATTGATGTAGTACTAACGACTTAAGATAGCTTCCAGTAAATCGATCCAACTAAATTGTAAACGCAAACCATCAACGTCTACTATTCACTATGCATACTCGCAATAGAAGATCTTGAAAACAAACTTTGTTATAGAGCAGACTTGAAACGATTTGTTACTGTAGTAAGTACTCGCCAGACGATGTCTCCCCTATCCACCGATAGGATTCCTCCTCCTTTCTTGTAGCAATAGTCATACTGTACACTTACTATCCTTTGCTATTTCATCACATTACAAAAGTAAAGCGTCCAACTCTCGTCGTTCTATGCCTATCCTATTGTATATGTATGTATTCCAATGCACTGATAGCATATTCCTCTTTCTATCTTTTAATAATCTATAGGCCGAAATGGTAGGTCACTATCTTGGTGAATTTTCCATTACATACAAACCAGTTAAACATGGTAGACCTGGTATTGGTGCAACTCATTCTTCACGTTTTATTCCTCTAAAGTAAAAATAGCGGAAGAGATAGATTTGCAAGATATGTGCTATAACTAAGGCTATGATGTTGTAACAATATTCCGTCTTTTCTTGTATAGAATAATAAAAAGACTCTTTCACAACTTACGCTTAGAAACTGATTCTCTAATTTTAGATATCATCAAATTATAGATCTTTAAGCAACCTTCTAAGCATCTACGCGATAAAGTACTAGAAATTTATACAAAATTTTAGTGCCTTGCATTAAGTTAGCTACTGTACCTGTAACGATCTTAGCCAATGAACCATTCCTACAATATTGCTCTTTGCAATCCAATCGGTTTCAATTTTGATCCTAACTACTCTATTAAAGCAATGAACATCTCAATTTCATTCCCAACCTTAGTTAAAAGCTTTAAAAAGCAACCATTGATTACCAATTTTGGCTAAAGTGTCCAAGGAAGATATCAAAAAAATAAGTGGTTAACTAAATTGTGATAGTAATACGTAAGCTTTGTACTAGTAAATGAATATACATTGTGTCGAACATTCATATACTGTAATATAATAATTAAAAGTAAACAGGATAGAATGGACCACTGTATCCCAGCACCAAAACCATTTCTCCAAAGTAATACTACGAATCGATGTTGAAGTACATCTGTGTGTATCGCATGAAATCTATCAGTTACAGTAGGAAGGAACTCTTTGAAAATCGACTTTGACAAACTAGCCATGATCTGTATTCTTTTTAATCTTTAATACGCTCTAAAGGAAAGTTTTCAATAGCTTGTAACTGCATTGCAAACATTGTGCGCATCACTAGTCGCTGGATAGATCTTAACCTGCTTAACGAAAAATGTAGGAGCGTAATTCCTGCTGAATTTTGAACAAATCTTAACATAGCTACTCCGATACATGAGCGTAAATTCCGTTGAATATTTATGCACTCTCCATTAATGCATCCATTTTAAAGATTCTAATCAACACGCAACAGAAATGTATCTTATAAAACCATCTAACTGCAAACTTCGTTGTATTTATTTCATATAAGTTAAATATGATAATTTTTACAAATTGTTAAAAAATATGCAATAAATGTATAACTAAAGCATCGAGTTATAGTACATTGATACAAATTATTACATCTTGCAGAAACGTTATTTACATACGAGTTGATTATCTTCAGATAAATCGCGATATTTTTAAATTTTCGAGTAGAGAGTAATCGATTATATAATTTTAATCGAAATTTTCATATAAGTTAAACAATAGTGAATGATTTGATTGCGAGAAATAAAGGAAATTCCATCCGCAAAATAAAGTATAAGCTCTAATATCGGGCTGTATCCGTATTATCAAAACATTACATAGCAATTGCCATTATTCTTACATCCTTTACTACCTACGTACTTCGGTATTGCAATTTTATGAAAGTAATCTTAATAAGTATGGCTATATCTTTAAAGTATAAGTAAACCATTTAGAAATGGTTATTATACCACTAGTCAAAATGAACCATTAGATGTTCAGTATTACATCACCTATTCATTAGTATTTAACAAGGCATGATAATTCTATTTGATAAGTACATTACTCTACTACTAACAATACGTGGAAATAACTCTTATAATATTTATGAAATCATTTTTCCATAAAAAATATTATTAAAATAATATTTCAAGCTAACATAAAGGAGTATGTGATGAAAATAGAGGACTCAATAATATAATTGGCAGTCCTTGAAATATCTAATTGCAAAAGGTGAGTACAGCGATGTAATAATTCGTACTATTTATCTGATCATATTACGGTAAGTGTTGTTACACTATAAAAATTTCGCAAAAACAACTTCAGTCAAAAATTTGACCAATATAGATCAACATTACAAATTTCAAAACAATCTTGCGATACTTGTACTTCATCGTTGGTAGCAGAAACGCCAATTAGTTGATCGTAAGAAACCTTTAAATAGCTTAATTTAAAACAATTTTCCGCTACCAACTAGTTTAAGTAGATACCGCGGGTTTATTTAAAATGCTATGAGCAGGATGCGATTCTAGTAAGGACTTTTTAAAGAGCAACTGCCGTAATCGATTCGGATCACTATGATGTTCCGATAAGTAAGATCGATAATGGGGCGTTGGAGAATGTGATCCATAAAGCAATTCATTTGGACGTCCACTTAAATCAAAGGCCTGGGCACTTCTGGTGCGTAATCTGTGAAAAACAGTTTATTTAATATAAATGACGTTAATCTGAAAAGAATTCATTTCCACTATAATGACAAGTTATGACATAGCATAAAATCTATTCTAACTAGTCCTAGATTAAATAATAGTAGCGACACCTGAATTTAGTCATAAATCGACAAAAGCAATTAATCCAACAGGAATAATTCGTCAGCTACTTGTTGCTCTTACCTCCTATTACTACTGAAATTTATACCACTGTCGGCATGTTCACCATGAATTAGATTTTTGTAATTGTTATGTAAGTTAAAATGTCCAATTCGACTACTGTCTTTGTTATTTGGATATGGAAGCTAAAAAGCCGAAAAATTACAATTATGAAGCAATCGAAATCATGGGAAATCTACTATTTAAGAAATTATCCTTCTTAAATAGAGTCCGCAGTTATACCTGATCATTCCGATCTAAAAGATTAATGGAATCATCTCCATCGGACTTATCAATCTTCGTGGAACTACTGAGTGAAAAATTCGTAATATAAAATTTTAGCAAATTAACTTTATAAATTCACGCTAATCCAGTTCTGATTACCTGAAATTAGTTTTATAATTTTGAACTTCACTCTTATTCATGCTAGTTAGGGCCAATTTAAGTCGAGCTACATCACGCTCTAGTCCACTAGCCCTATAGTACAAATCCAATATAATGAAATTAACTCTTACGTAAATGCACTACGCTTAATCGAAATCTATATGAAAGCGTCTTGCACAATCATATTCTGAACATACCGGTTGCTAATTTCATTATGAACTTCAAATGCTTTATCAAGATTCGTATTAATAGACTGATTAGTATCTTCTACAACATTATCTTCAAGATTATCTTCGGAGTTATCAAGTCTAAATAAAAGTTTAATTCAATTTTAAAGTATGTAAATTAGTACATGAATATCTGCTTAAACGATTAAGCATGAAAAGAATCTGCAACGAACCGATTCATATAAGGGGATTCAGACGTATTTGGAGCCATAACTTGTAAATGTTTAATATCAACTAACGTCTTGAGTTCAGTAATTCTTGCCTAAGATAAGAAGCCAAGATTACCATGGCTAGCTTGACTTTACTTCTTACAGTATAGTATAATTCATTATTTTAAAACATTCCCACAATAGCAGTCAATCATTTTCAATATCTTCTTACATTTAATCCCTTCGCCTGTTCTTCGAACTTTTCAGCGTGATTCTTATGATGGTCGATTGTGACTTTGGCCTCCTTGAGCTCTTGCTCCAATTCAACGACTTTATTTTTCTCTTTTTCAAGTAGAGACTCATTATAAGTTAATGAAGTCTGAAGCCGTGCAAGTTCTTTACTCTGATCTATCTATAATGCATTAAGAGTAGAGCATTTAATATAGTGAAACAGTACGATATAGCCTTTCAACGCTTTCTTTACTCTCTTACTTGCAGTTGTTGAAATTTTTCGATAGTCAACGATAACTGTTGAGACTTTTGCTGGGAAGCTAAGCATGCCTCTGACTATTAATTATAAAAGTTTCAATTTTTAATGGCAACGGAAAATTATCGTCAAACAAATTAGACTTTTAAGATGAATCTTATTTAGTCATATAAGGCTATGACTTCTCCTATGCTAGCAACTAGTGGAGTATAATATTTCTTCCAATAATGACTACCATTAATAATTATTATTCTGGCTATATTTCTAGTGATTTCAACTAGCCTTCTTTAAATATCATTTTATCGCAATAAAATACTAGATATCATTACTTGTTTAAGCTAGATAGCCGTATGATTCGAAGCGCAAATATGTTACCTCTTCTCTTGCTTTCAAGCGACAGGATTCTACAGTTCTATCCAAGTTAGAAACTTCATCCTTCAATCGGTCTCTACTCTCAGTAACGTTTCTAAGCTTATGTTCCAACGTACTCAAACTTTTACGCAGCTGCAATGATTGTAATAATACGTATAATCAGTTTAATGGCATAATTACAGTACTCTTTTCCTTGTCTGAACGATTAAATAATTACCTCAATCGCCTGTTGCTTATATTCATTTGATTGCGACAATAGTTCAGAAATTTGGCGTTCACTGTCAGCTTTAATAACTTTCACGGCATTGAGCGCTGAGGCTCTTTCGGTAGACAAAGCTTCTTCAAGACTTTCATATCTTTGCTCTAGTCGCTTAAATTTACCCTTTTAGAATTTGATTACAACGAGTTCTTAAATTCAATAACAATTTCAGGAATTAAATATAAATATAACACCAAATAAATCTTATTATTACATCTAGTTGTAAATTTGTTGCTTGCAAGGAATTAATTTTCTCATTTAATTTTGAAATCTTATCTTTAGCTGCTTTTAACTCATCTTCTAGATCGTAATTGCGATGTTGAAGGTCAGAAGAGAATCTATTTACAAATAATAATAAATTTCAATCAATAATACTACTTCAAATATCTCACAGTATCTCAAAAACTTTTAAAAATTACGTGATCTCTTCCTGCAGGGACTCTGATGTTACATCCAATGATTTTTCAGCAGCAGTTAAAAGCTCATCATGCCGAGTGTGATCCCTTTGCCTTACATTTAAGTGATCTTTTAAGGCCTTGATCTCTTTCCTTAATATTGATTCAGATAATATCATTAGACAAAAAATAACAGCAATACTCCTTCAAAAACACCATTATAAGATGACTGAAGTTTTGTACCTAGCATCTTTCAGTTGATTTTCGAGTAGGTCACGTTCTTGTTTATGCGAAGATGTATTTGCACTTTCGCGTCTTATGCTATTCAATTCATTCTTTAAATCCGATAATTTTTTCGCCGAAGTAATTCTTTCATCATGAAGTTGCTCATTTTCGGCTCTCAATTTATACGTTAGCTCTCTTAGAGATGTTATCTGTTCACTGGTACTTTTTATATTTTGCGCTTTCAAGA